AAAGTTAATGGCACGAGCGGGATTCGAACCCACGATCTTCGTCTAGATACGCCCTGCTCTACCACTTGAGCTATCGTGACCTCGATCCACTCGGACATCAACTTCCTATCTCAACCCCACCTTATGAGTTTTCCCTCCTTTTTGCCATTTTTCAAAAATTAACTTTTTTTCATCTCTACTAAAAACCTTAATTAATTGTAATGTATTAATTGGTCAAGCGGACCTCGAAATTAGGGAAATTTTTACGATGTTGATCTTTTCTAATGAATTTCAGTCGTAAAAAAGTATTTATTGGGGAAATAATTTTGAATGTTTGGTATTCACGAACGTGTCGGGGGTTTTGTGTTCGTTTAGGGCAGGAATTTATTCATAAGAAAACGCGCAAATAAAAATGGTAGTAAAATATAGTTAGAGGAATATCTATTAAATGGATTTTCCAATAAAACTACAGTTAATGGAAATAGAGTTGAACATGCTATGAACAGTTAAACACAGGGAGACATAACGAACGGAAAACCCTAAAAATAAACTATGATTACATCTACCATTATAAATACGACTACTTCATCTCATTGTTTTCAATTTTCAATAAAAACAAACATTTATGTATTATAGGAACAGTTTTGGATGTGTATTCAAGAAAGTGTAAGGCTTTCTGGTTTATTTCGTGTAGGGATTTTTTTTTTATGAGGAAAAGTCTATGGATAAAAATTTTTTTTCATGCTGAACGGTGAAACACAGCGAAACGTGACGAACGGAAAACCCTAAAAATAAACTATGATTACATCTATCATTGACTACTTCATCTAATTCTTATGTTTTCAAATTAATTTCGGTAAAAACAAACATTTATTGATTGTATATCATAGTTTTGGATGTGTATTCTGGGTTTTCTGGGATTATTTTGTATAAGGATTTTTTTATAAGGAAAATTCTTTACATAAACATAGCAGTAAATGAAATTTGGAGTAATTTTTGTCAAATTGATTTTCTACTACAACCAACGGTTAATGAGAAAAAACATGGTGTGAACGGTCAAACACAGCGAGACTACCCGCACTCAGAAAACCCAACAAAAAGACATGACAATCATTATCAAAATGAATACTCCAGACGATTTTGATTTTTTTAAATAGAAATTTTGTTTATTTATTTCTTAAATAAAACCTTAAGAAAAGTTTATATTATTTATTATTATATTATTGGATGCTTGGTATTCAACATTGTATCCGGTTTTCTGGGTTTATTGCGTGAGGGATTTTTTTATGAGAAAAAGTCTATGAATAAAAATTCGAGCATGATAGATTTACAATAGTTTTTCTTAAATTGATTTTCAAATAAAAACAAGAGTTAATGGGAAAAAGCGAAAACATGCTGTGAACGGTCAGACACAGCGAGACAAGGCGAACCCAAAACCCAAAAAATTAACTACGATTACCAGGTCGATCATTATAAATACTATTTCATAAAATTCTGATGTTTTCAAATCATTTCAGTTTCAAAATAACCAGCACATTTATTTATTGTAGGAACATTTTTGGATATTTGGTATTGGTGAACGTGTCTTGTAGGAATTTATTTATAAGGAAATGACTGTGAATAAAAAAGCTGATCGGTGAAACACAGCGAGGCAATACGAACCAAAAACCAAAAAATAAATTCTGATTATCAGGTGATCATTATAAACACGACTACTTCATACAATTCTGATGTTTTCGAATTGCAGCTTCAAAATAACAGAGTTTTTATTTGGGACAGTTTTGGTTGGAATTGTGTATCGTGTCCGGTTTTCTGTGTCTCACTTTTTATTTTGTATATTCCACACTTTATGCCTTGAAGATGTCACGAATAAAGGTCGGAATATCGGCAAAAAAAGGTGTTTTTCTAAACTACTTCATCCTTGACCGCTCCTCAAGACTTCAACAAATTATTTTTATTTTGTGTAGAAATTGTTTATAAAGAACAAGTCTGTGAATAAAAATTAAAGTAAAAGAAATTTTCCAATACAACCAACGGTCAATAGAATGTGAACACACAAAATATATATTTTTTGGAGAATTTTTTTTTTTATATTTGGTATGCAATGGAATATTAGAGTCGACGAGTTTGAGAGTTAAATTGAGCATTATCTTAGTGTCTTAGGTACTGTTATCCTACTCCTTGACACCAATAATGCTTTATGAGCCTAAAAAAGATAATCCTTTTTACTCGTGCTGAAAACAGGTTGGAGCTTATTAAGTTATTATATTAGTGTCAAGAAGTAGAATGACCGAAGACTAAGTAGACACAAGTGATTTTGTAAGATAAAGTCCCAAAATAAACTAAAAACCCCGGTTTAGATCAAATTTGTAATGAGTTCTACTATAATTTTAACATCTACGTGGTAAAATTATGGTTTCAATTTATTTAATGCGTTTCGGCTCAGATCCCTAAAAAGTGGTCATCAATTGAACTAAGGATACTATTTAAAAAAAAGGAAATCCGAACGACTCGGCTAATTATAGAAGAGTTGCTCTAGACTCATTTTTAACATTAACAAAAAAATGTTATTTTAATAGTTAATAACAGATTAAGTACTTGGGTCATACCGGAAGAGCAGACAAGTTTTAGGACGGGTTGCAGCTCTCGGATAGTTTTCCTTATCATTGTCGTAAAATCTACATATCTCCAAGCCAAAAAGAAAAGCTGTCATTCCTTGCTATGAGATAAGTTAGCCTCTCTTGGAAATAGTGACAAAATGGTATTCTAAATTATAATGCAATCCAAATTTAATAATCAATCACAATAATGAGTATTAACAAAATATTGGTAACTGAGTGTTACAGAGCGAATCCTTATCATCATTGATTTTTAATCTTTTTATTTCGGACATGGTATTGTTCTTTAGTCATGCCGGGGTTTGAAGGTGTGTCGAATTGCCCTCCTGCGCATTATGTTAAGTATGTTATCTTGGCAGAAATCATAAAGCATATTGCGATAAAAATGTATTAAAATGTTAGACGTATCTACCAATTTTTTTATTAATGAATAATCTGGAGCTTATGGTTAGGATGAAACAACAAATTCAATTGATAGCTGCCTTGTTTCCGACCTATTTTAACGTCGTCATCAGAGCAAAACAATCTTAAAGATAAAAACAACAAACAACTATAAATTACTGCCCTGATGAACTTATTATAAGTACAATGCAGGACGAATCCGCAACAATGGGTTTTTGGAAGTTACGAAGTCATGCTTCATGTACGCTCTACCTAACCAACATCGGCAATTTAAGTGTCATGGGTGGTTAGAGATAGTTACCGAATTTTAAATGACATTGTTATTTAAATTTTAGTTGTGGGATCTTATAACAGAAAAGACCCGAGTTAGCTATCCAGGAAGGGTAGAGGACATACAAACACGTTTGTTGAAGTGCATCCTATTATTGCCTAATTCATCATTGTCTGGTGAGGTTAGAAACCAGTTGGAGCAATGTGATGACGTCTTTGTTTAAAAAATGCTCAAGAGACAGAATTCCCAGCTTTCGAGCCATATACTGAGGGTTGATATCCTATCGAGCTAAACTGGGGGCCGCAGTTAAAGGAGCGAAAAAATTATTGGGGCGGAGCATCTTTGGATCCATTAAGATACAAAAAGTTTATCTGAATTTAAATAACCCAAAATCTGCACAAGTAGGTACCTATATACACGCATACAGAGTTGTGCCTCGCAGTCCACCGGAATTCCAGCTATTGTAATTTTCAATAAATTACCTTGGGTGTTGGCAGTCAGGGGTCAGACCTCGGTCTTGTCCGTCAATCCAGCACCAAAGCAGACCCTAGATACAAACCCAGTCACATTTTCACTCTTAAATACCTTCCCTCCTATTTACATACACTGAGCGTACAGCCCTTTACACCTATTTTATAACTAACGTAACCGAGGAAGGTGTACTCAATATTCTGCCATCGACCGTCTCACACTACACATTCACGCTAATAAATACATTCACACTCAAAACAAGTTATGTACCCAAAACTACCAGTACTATATTTAATAAAACAAACCCCCAAAGATTCTCTGCCATGCTGGAGCGAATTCTTACCTCGTGCGGCATTCCTACTTTCTCCCTATATGGAACTAAGGAATGACACCATTCAATTAATTTTTGGGACACATTGAGGATCAAAGTTTGTTTGGTTTTCAACAATTTGGTATTCAAGCTTGTAAATCACTAAATTTTTGGATATAAATATAGACTTAAACACAAATACAGTGTCCTGCTTTGGTGAAATTTAAATATAAAACCAATTTTAAAAAGCTGAAGTTTGTCAGCTAAGGTTAGGCTCGGATGGCATAATTTGTTTCATTTTATTGGCAGATTTCATAAAATTGTAATTACTGAGGTGTGTACATTGTGTAACGTTAAAAATAAATAAATAAATAAAACAAATATTCAAGAACAGATCGAGTTTTCTAAATTTATTTCGTTGAAATACTTGTAGTAAGAAGCTTCTTCAGCAGGAAACAGAAATTTAAACGAATTTGGAACGACGAGAACTTTGAAATGCCTAAAATATCTAAAAATGACGGCCAGACAAGATTGCCGCAAAACCATAAATTCATTTATAATTCAAAAACCTAAATTATTTTATTATTTTCATAGATTAAGAAAAAAAACAAAAAAACAATTTGATAATAATTACATTATACACAGATATCAGAAGATGATTCCGGCCTTTTTTGGGGGTTTATGACGTCCGAACGACCACGTGGGTGTTTTCCTGTATATTTTATTCAATAAATTATTCGGCGTTGGTTTAATATTTAAAGCTTTAAATAAATTAATCGTTTAAAAATATTGCTTGGACAAGAATGGGATTTAGTAAACATTGTTAGGGGGTTGCCAATGGATACGGGACTTGATCATGAGGTGGTCGTTTGTCTTTTGATCTCACCTGAACGGAAATGTTTAAACATTGTCGTATTTTTTATAATTAGAAGATAGATAATTTTTTTACCAATCTTTGTCGAATGCCGTGAAGCAGGCGTCCATAATAAGCGTTTAAAACGTTTAACCATGCATGGATTTAAAAAAATAAAATAAAATAAATACTCCACAGCTGCTGACGTTAATTTTCGTTATCGCTGATCGCGTGTTTCTCTGGGCAGTTGCGAAATTTAAAAAAAAAAAAAAATGAAGTCCGACCAAGGAGCAGTGAACCTTTCCGGGAGAAGCCGGCCTTTCGACTGGCGGTTCTGCTTCTGTAAACCAAGCCCTTTCCCACGACAGGTATTGATTCCATGATTGCCCAACCCTGGACGAGAGCGTGCTCGATCCGAGCAAACTCGGGATGTCGGGCCCGGTTATTTATTCGCGACAATAATTTGAGAAATTTCGTACGGGGAAATAAATTTTAAAAAGGCAGACGCCGGCGTGGGCCTTGGTTCGACTGCGGGTTCCCGTGCTCAATGATCGATCCCCTTAATTCAAAGTTGTAACAAAAAATGACCTCAACCCCTAAAGTCCTTTTACTTATCTTCCTTTTACTTTTACTACTTTTACCCTTACAGGATTATTCTGGTCCATCATATATAAAATATTCATTTTATAACAGTTAAACATTCACGTCAAATTAATTATGCATTCAGCATTATTCAATCGTGTTTTTTTCTCTCAAAGACTAGCCAATAACCTAATTATATACGATATATATAATATTAGATAATAGATAATGATGTTTATTTACAATAAAAATTATTTTACAAAAAATATTCAGTACATAAAACATCCTAGACAATAGCCCACAGGCTGTCTGTCCAGTTGCCAAAAGATCTTTTATATATAATATATACGATACATAATTTCCTTGGGTACAAATAAATTTTCAGTGACACCTTTTTCTTTGTGTCAAATCTCAAAGATCGATGTTTCCTTAAACATTTGACTAAAAATTATATGAAATGAACACAATCCTTGCCTTTTGGGTTGTTTAAGTTGCAATTAATATTTTTCTGAACTAACTTCACAATTCGCTAAACAAATCTTGACAATCTAGACATATATATTCATTGTATTTACATAATAAATTGTTTTCTTTATCTTCTACCCTTATAAATATTTTTGCAAATAACACCATATTATGTGTAAAAATTGTAATGCTTATTAGTATAAATATTGTTAGCATGATGGGCTCTTTTTACGTGTAATTACTGTAATTCATTTATACATTTTTGTACAACGATTATATCTGTATATAAATAAATGTGTGTACGTGTATGTAACAATGTGTGTTTGGTTAATTATTTAATTATTTAGAGAATTAATGCATCAATATAGTTTTATTTAAAAAATTCGTAAATTTAGGACTCTACCAACCTCTTCTACATTTAACGTAACAGATAGCTAGGTAGAGAGGGGGGAGGGAATGTGTGAGTGATGAGTGAGGTGAGGTGAGAGAGAGAGAGAGAGAGAGAGAGAGAGTGAGAGAGAAGGGGGGATTGTGTGAATGAATGAGTGCGGTGAGTGAGGAGAGAGAGAGAGAGAGAGAGAGAGAGAGAGAGAGAGAGAGAGAGAGAGAGAGAGAGAGAGAGAGAGAGAGNGAGGTAGGTAGGGAGAGGGAGAGAGAGAGAGAGAGAGAGAGAGAGAGAGAGAGAGAGAGAGAGAGAGAGAGAGAGTGAGCGAGAGCGATTTTCTTTCTGTTGTTAATTTTTAGAGCAGAATGCTAAACCGGCACTACATAAAACAGAAAGTACCCTGATATATTGTTGAGCGCCTCAAGCACCATCGCCCAGTTTCGCTGCTCTGGACATCACAATAACAAATTGCCCACTCTTCTTACAAAAATGTTCTACATGCAGGTCCCACTTCAACCTCAGATCGAAGATTACACTGAGGTTCTTCAGGCTAGTAACTTTTTCTAGCCTTTCGGTGTCCAGATAAACCACGATACTTTCCGTGCCAGGGTTTACTTTTCTATAAAGATGTATGGTTTTAAACTTTTCCTTGCTAAATTTAATTTTATATTCTGACACCCATTCTTCAACCAGACGCAAAGAAGTTTGAATCCGAACTTAACTCAAACCCGTTTTTTCCAGTGATCCACATCAGCATGTCATCTGTAAAGGCGATAGCATTAATAAGGCTGGAGAACGGTAAGGTCAAGAGCATATACAGCAGTATCCGGGTTCTCAGCATGAACCTTGTGGACAAAGTTTTGTGGTCTGTTTTTATTTACTCCTGATGGCAACTAAAACTTAAATTGGATTTTCTATTTGTGAAGTAATCTCGCGAGTGAAGATACAGATTTCTTGGATAAGTTTTTATCTAAAAGCTTCAAGAGTACCTGGCTACCAGGTGGTATCAAATACCCTCTGAACATCCAAAGCGATTTTCCACTAACACGGTAACGGTTTTTAACATTTTAAGAGCGTTGTCGAAGACCTTTTCATCATTATTCTGTAGTTCCTGCAATATAGCAAATTTTTAATCTAGGTAAGTTTGTTTATATTGTCAGCTCTTAATTGGTCACCGAATGTTTCGTTTACTTCATTACAAAGTGACTCTCCGATCCTTCATAGCTGTAGTTTTCATGCGTTGCTCACCGATGTTCATTTTACAGGGATCCAAGTTTTTCTTTATCATGTTTCTTATTTAAACACTTTTAATAGCCTTAAATATGGGTTTAATGGCAGAAGTTGTTACTGTCGGCTTCGAGAGATGCCTATTCAGCGTAGCTCACGCTCATGCCGTGAAACAGCATTCAGAGTTTTCCAATTTATCTCCAAAATCCGTGATTTGTACCTATTTTTTACATCGTTTAAAACTTTATTGTCGTTGAGATGTCGCGTTTATGCTTTTTTTAGGTTTCTACTAACTACGCTAACGTTTTTTTAACATTTTAATGTCGAAGAACTTTTCATCAGCGCTCGCCGTGATTCAGTGAGAAGAGCGTGAATGTTATGGAGGGAGAGAGAGGGAGTGAGTGTTGGTGGGAGAAGAGTGAGCGAGTGAGTGAGGAACGAGAGAGAGTGTGTGTGACAGGAGAGAGAGACGGGGAGGGAATGTGTGTGAGAGAGAGAAAGAGGAGAGTGAAAGAGGAGGGAGAGAGAGAATGTCTGAGTTAAGAGAGTGAGAGTTAGGTGAGAGAGCGTGAGAGAGATTGCAAGGGAAGAGAGTGCGTGATTGACGAGAGAGAGTAAGTGAGTCAATGAGGAGAGAGAGAGAGAGAGAGAGAGAGAGAGAGAGAGAGGAGGGAGATAAAGAATTAAAAGAAACAGTGCACAGGTATATTAGACAGATTTTAGAAAAGAGTGTGGGTGATAGTTAGGAGGAAGAGAGGAAGGGAGTGTCAGTGAGAGCTAGGAGAAAGTGGGAAAGAAAGAGAGTGAGAGTTAAATGTGAGAGAGATAGAATTAGGGGAGAGAGAGAGTGAGTGATAATTAGGAAAGAAAGAGAGAAGAGGAGGGAGTGTGAGAGAGCTAGAAGAGAGAGAGAATGTATGAGTTAGGAGAGAGAAAGAGTGAAAGTTAGGTGAGAGAGAGAGTGGAAGGGAGTGTGAGTGAGAGCTAGGAGAAAGTGGGAAAGAAAGAGAATGAGAGTTAAATGTGAGAGAGATAGAATTAGGGGAGAGAGAGAGAGAGAGAGAGAGAGAGAGAGAGAAGAGGAGGGAGTGTGAGAGAGCTAGAGGGGGGAGAGAGAGAGAAGAGAGAATGTCTGAGTTAGGAGAGAGAAAGAGAGTGAGAGTTAGGTGAGAGAGAGTGAGTGCGGAGAGAGAGAGTAAGAGAGTCAATGAGGAAAGAGAGAGAGTGAAGAGGAGGGAGTGTGAGAGAGCTAGAGGAGAGAGAAAGAGAGTGAGAGTTAGGTGAGACAGATAAAATTAGGGGAGAGAGTGAGAGGAGAGTAAGAAAGGGGGGTGAGAAAGAAACAGTGCACAGGTATATTAGAAAGATTTTAGAAAAGAGTGAGTGAGAAAAAAGTGAGTAAGAGAGAAATTTAAACTCTATTTTATCAAAAAAATAAATGTATTATTCAACACTTAGCCCTATAAATGCGTAATACGCAAAAATCATATTTCATAGAGATGAATAACTTATAATACTAAATAAAATCTCCTACTTACATTCAAATCCAAGAGAACCGGCCCATCAGATTTTGTTAGAATCCACACCAACTCTTAAAAAATTATTTAAACAACGCTTCTTTTTTTAAGAAAATATTTAACATTTAAGGCTATATATTTAAACGAAAATAAATAAAATAATTTGTTTATTAAAATAAGGGAAATGTATCGAAACGGCCTCCCGCTATCATTGAAACAGACAACAAACAATGAGGTTAGAAGATTGTTATGATTGTATACAGGTTGTCAAGGGCCGGCTCCTGAGGTGAATCTTTTTCATTACATTTTAATTATTTTTAATTAATATATTAAACTTATTTTTGCGTTAAAAGTATTAATATTGTATAGTTACAAATATCTTAACAAATGAACTGTCTTTTTTTAATTTGATTAATGGCGATTTTAATTTGTTTAAGCCTTATTTTTATATTAACCCTAAGTTGTTAATTTAATTATATTTTATTTTAGCAAACCTTTTTATGCAATAATAATTAATAGGCAATTAGGAGCTGAATTGAACGGTTCAAAGAGGTTTGGAGAAAAAGTAATTAAACTTTCCCTTTTCCTTATTTGTTTTGGTCATTATATTCCTGTTATATAACTTTTAATTTTTTTTTAAACAAACGGTTTAATTAAGGTTTAATAAGTAAAAAAAGGCATGATTATGCTGAAACATTGCCCTATAAGTAGTGATAATGTTGATATTACCTTCATACTTATGATTGTTCCTTCATGAAGGTGGGATAATAGGTCATCTCAACAAACCACAACCAGTTTTTATCCACAACGTTTCGGATTTATTTGAATCCTTCCTCAGGTGAGTTAACGCAATGGTTAAAACAGTGTCCGTCAGTCATTAATATTTTATAACAGTTTATTTTAAAAAAGAGCCAGTGTGGTACATATTTAAGTCTTTCAGACTCTGAACAAACGTTTTAATATTTTGAACCTGTCTCATATTAAAATGTTTGTTCGGAATCTGAAAGACTTCAATATGTATCACACTGGCTCTTTTTTAAAATAAACTGTTATAAAATATTAATGACTGATGACCACTGTTTTAACCATTGCGTTAACTCACCTGAGGAAGGACTCAAATAAATCCAAAACGTTGTGGATAAAAACTGGTTGTGGTTTTTTGAGATGATCTATTATCCCACCTTCAAGAAGGAAAAGTCATAAGTTAAACTGTTGAGGTCGAAATATAAGATAACATTTCCTCCAAAACAAGCTATTGGGTTGTCCGGAAAATAATGCAGGATTTTAAGTTTTCATTAAAAAAAATCTATATAAAATATTCTGTTTACGTTTACAGGATTACTCATTTGTATNTTTTGATTAAAGAACATTGCTTTAAAGTAACTAGTTTCTTTTTTTTTGTTTAATACCAAAATCCTGCATTATTTTCCGGACAACCCAATAGTAAATAAAAAAAGCTCATTATAGCTTTGAGTTGAGTTAATGTACGTCAAATGGGGAAACCTTTTAACCCTAATTTATACATTGTTTCAATTTTTTAAATATACATGTATAAGACTTGTACGAACACAAATATTTGCTCTGTACATAAAATCCAAACGCTCAACGCATGGATTCAATTGCTGTCACAGTATAAATAACATCGTGTAAGCATTTTTTTTCTGAAAAAGGAGACGAGGCTTTTGTTATGGTACATGCTGACAAACTGAAGATTGGAGGAAAAGCAAGAACAACTCTCAGTCCCTTTGGACCAGAAATGCAAATCGACACTAAAGTACTTAAAGTTGAACTGAAAAAAAAAGGTGGTAAAAGAAACGATTCGATGAATTCACTTAGTATAAATCAATCAAAGAAGTTTCCCAGCATTTCAAAGAAGAAAAAAAATCTACTTCCCTCAGCAGGCAAGAATAAAGAAAATAATTGGCCTTACTGACAATTGCCCATTTAAGATCTTAAAAATACAATGAAAAATTTGCCGACTCTGCCGTGCATGGTAACATATCTTATGTGACTGCACTTTTATCTCTAAAGAGACACAACTAACAGGAGTAAAACTCAACTTATACATGTTTTGTCATTATGTGTTTGTATTTATTAGTGTGAGTGGTGAGGGGTGTTGGTTAAATATAGTCACCATCGCCCCTCTAGAAGTGTTTGTGTTTGGTGATGATGGCAGAATGTTTATAAAAGTACCCCATTGTCTCTAATTTAGGTAAGATTATTAATACTGTGTAGGTTGATGGAGAAATGTCCAGTCCTTCATCGACTGATCAGAATGAGTGCAATGCATGAATGTATTTAAATACAATGTAACGTATGAATTTATTTATATGTGTGATTGACTTATCTAATTTAATTAATGTTAGGCTAGATAATAGTTTGCATGTGTTTGGGGCTGATAGGGCGTTGTTGTTGATAACCTCTGTCAGAGCCCATTGGTAGGGAAGCGACGATCTATTGACCATCTGGCTTAAGGTGGATACCAGCGACCCAGCCGCTAGCTGGGTGGGTGAACTCCCTGATGTATAGACACTAGGGTCAGTACATCGGGGTGTGACGACCCTTCTGGGGGAAAGCCCAAATAAAGCTAACATTCTACAGTAATGAATTCAAACAAAATTTCCAGACAAGCTTAGCTACCAAAAAAATGGAAAAAGAGATCTCTCTGTCGAGAATGGCACTATCTGCTGGTACACGCAGTACAAGGTGTTCAGCCTTGGAACCAAATACTCAGAACTCATGGGAAAGAACACCAGTATATTCCAAGCTGAATTCCACACCAATGAGAGTTCTACTCTGATCAACCTGAACAGAGTACAAAAACAAGAACATAATGTCAGGCAGCTATCAGAACACTAAGCCCAAACAATATTCCCACAAAAATGGGCTGAATTGCAAAAATAAATGAATTAGATATGCAAAGTAAAGTTACTATCTGCTGGGTCCCAGGACATGTAGAGGTTGAGGAAAACAAGAAAGCAGACGCCCTTGCATGGAATGGTTCTGAGCCCTTCAATAGCATAGGGATTCACACTATCAATGAGTATTTTAGTCAAAAAGACAATAAAAACAGGAAAATACAATTCACTCATTGGATACAATCCAAGAATATCCTAGCGTGTTTCAGAAGGAAAGAAACAACGAATACATCAAGCAGCAGGATAAAACTTAGACTCCTAACAGGATTCTTAAGTGAACAGGCTTTTAAGGAAGGTTGGTGTAATTCAACACTGATTCTGCAAGGAAGTTGAGGAAACCTGAATATTACATCTACATGTGACTATAAGCTGTAAGCCGGAAAACTACTAAACGGTAAACACCTAGGGAAATAAGGAAAGAGGCCTGAAAAATAGTGCACTTTTTGGGTATGGCATATTAGCATCTATTTCACAATAGGTCGCATGAAGAATGAGAGAAGATTCTCATCAAAGATTTTCATCAAAAAGTTTGATTTGGTAGTTTGTTGTCCTACATTTTTCTCAGCCAATTTATAACATTGTGGGCTTCTTTATTGTAAAATTTTTTATTCAAAATGTTAATGAGCCTGACCTAGTATCCTCTGCATACTTAGAATATAATAAACCATCCTTAACATGTAAAATATCACCGAAGGGACAGGATTTCTGGATTATGATGTCCAAATTTAATTTTTTGCTGATGTCTAGTTTCACTTACTGCTATTTTTTAGCACCCTATGTATGCATAATGTTTGAAATTATTTGATATTATGCTGATTTGTACAGGATTTACCTTTTCAAAAGGCTGATTAGGGTAGACGAGGCATCGACATATTTCCTACAATATTCATCCACCATTTTCTTCAATTCACTATTCAACTAGCTCTTGACTTCTTTCAGTTATTTATGCTTGAAATATAATTTAATTGTGTACTAGTTTTAGTATTTACAGACCATTTAATATTGAAATATGTGGTTATAACATTTTTTTTTTTTTTGTAGTCCATCTAGAGCAGGTCAAAAATGTCAGGGCAGACTGAAAATGTTCAAAATTTCACCAATCTCACTGATGCTATAGAGGACTTCATAAAATACAGCAGGAAACAGCAGTGCGCTAAATGGTATATTTGATATTAAATCTTAACTGTTCAATTATCTAAAACTTTGATTGTTCAAGCAGCGTATTCATTCATTTCAGCTCCCAAAAGACTGTCCATTTGTATCGAAATTCCAAATGCGGTCACCCATACTGTTCAGACTGCCTCAAAACTATAACGGTTCCAGTACAGTGTTACGTTTGCCCGGAGAACGTCAGGCAAAAAACGCTTTATTACGACTTGGCCTACAAGTTCATGAACGAGTGGGTCAAAAATATGTTTCCAGCCGTGAATCAGGATCTCTCAAGAAACCCTGAAAACCAGTGGATACACGACTATGAAGAAAAGGACAGTAATGGGGATTCACAGCTGTCCTCGGAGGTCCATACGATACTAAACAATCCTGAAAGCAATACAGAAAAATTGACAAATCTCCTTAAAAATGGAGTTAACCCGAATACTTTAAACAGCATCCAGCTATCACCATTGGTAATTGTTTTTCTTGTAAATCAGTAAAATCGCAAATAATCTGGATCAACAACAAATTCAATTGTTACAACTAAGATTTTGATCCGTTTTAAGGTCATCAGGACAAAATAATCTTAAAGATGTCTAAAAATTTCAAATTTTTTTGAAGACCAACAGTCTAGCATTGCTAAGAGGGGGGAGCATGCTAAAAGGACCAAGTCGGTCCTCAACGAAATTTGAACCCATCTATTAAAAACTTAATTGTGTCAATTTGTTGACATTTTTAAGATTGTTTTTCCTTGATGATGACCTTAAAATAAGTCAAAAGCTTGGCAGTAACAATTAAATTTGTTTTTTCATCAAGACCATAATGAGGTCCAAATTATTCGTGACAAAAAAAAAGTCGATACATCTAAAAATTTAAAATAGGAAAAAACGTTAATATATTCAAATATGTTCTAGCATCAAGCTATTGAGGCAGGAAATCTTGAAGTCTTAGAACTACTCCTAGCTGCAGGAGCACAGCCAAATAGTTATCGCAATGAGGAATCGACCTGTCTTCACGACGCCATCTCAACATTTATTAATGATAATAATGAAAATAAAGAGACAAAAGAGAAAATTATACGTTCTCTCGTCAAATATGGAGCAGATTTACAAGCGAGAGATATCTACGGGGTCACACCGAAGTATAACCTCTAATTAATGTACATTATAAAAAATAGACCATAAAAACACACAAGTAACAAATTTTTGTGTTAAAATTTTAGAGAAATAGCCGAAAAGCACCCGGTCATCTCAGAGATAATTAATTCATGTGACGAAATTTCCCCCGTCCCTCAGCCTCCCAGGGTCTTTCCTCCGAAACAGCCGACTTTCTTTGCTTTTTCTAATGACTCGTATAAGAAAAAGCTACTTTCCACATTTTCTCAAATGTTCAACATTCAGTTCAAGAACGTGTTTATGTTTGTAACAATATGTAGTGTTCAAGTATGATTGGGTTGATTTTTAATTATTTTTGTTTTTAAAGGCCCACCACGACACATTTCATTGTTGACAGGGATAATTTCTATCCTGAAAATGATGCTTTATTAGCCATCCTCTCCCAGTGCCAATTCATCACAATGGACTGTAATTTGTTTGTTTTTTGTTTTGTTTATCAAAAAAATTATTCGTTACAATTAAACATGATTCTTTTTTTTAGGGATACTGTATTCTGTTGCTTTTAAAAGAATCCAACCACTGGACATGTTCGAGCCAACTGGGACGCATGACTGCCCTGGAAGTGATTGTTTTAAAAAATCAAGGATGAATTATTTAACAATGGTTCGTTTTTCTTTAAAAATACATATTTTTTTCTATTAAAGTAAAATACAATGTAAAAATTTTAGAAGCCAAGGCTATTCACAGGCGGTTCGTTTTACTTAAGTGATCCAGTAAAAAAAAAAAATCGAATGAGGTATGAGAAAATCATCAAGACTGGAGGTGGCATTGTCTTATCAAGTGTACCACAATCGTCGGACACTGATGAGAAAGTGAAGACGTTTTTGCACGGGGAAGGAACTCTCAAGAAGTGTTCTACAATCGTGTTACACACTTTCAAGACGGCCAAATTTAAAAGTACTGATCGCATCAAGCATTTCCCGATCCAGTGGATACACGAGGCCATTGAAACTTTCTCCGTTAAAGACCCGAGCCAAGCTTTGATGGAAAATCTAATGGACTAATCATTTTAATCCATTCTTTAATTTTTATCAATATGCAAAGAAATTCTCTATGAACCCTGACACTTTTATACCTTGTCATTAAAAAAAAAATTTTTAAAAAAAATTATAAGAAATCGATAAACTGTTATAATTTATATATATGCTGTAATGGATTGTCCAAGACATGGTCAACAACATACATAAACCTGATGATTTTTGATTCAGGCCTCTTTCATGCATATCTTAAATATAAACTTTATATAAAATATAAAGTGAGAATAGCAAGGGGCTAAGGAGGCAACCCTGTTGAACACTTGACTTTGAGTTAAAATAGTCTACAGCTTTGATATTTTATACAACACCCTGATTATTTCAATCGACATTTCTAGTAAATATGTTTGATATGTTAATTTTCAAATGTAATCAGTAGTTATTATGTGATTTATTATCCATTTTTTATGGTAAAGCAAATATCTCTAATTAAACTTGAATCTTTGATTTTATTTACAACAGTCTAAAAACTCCTTTGCTGTTTTTGTGAACATGAAAGTTAAAATAATTGTTTCATTTAAATAGCCTAGCTGATTGATACATTTCTTTTTAACGATTTTTATTAAATTCTGACAGCCGAATTATTTGTCATGTTGAACCGCACAGGGTCACTTAATGGGTCTGTTTCCACTCGCAGGTTTTTGAGTTATTGAAACATGTTTCGGCATTGCTCACATTCTTCAGCGAGGAACTGAGTTCACTGTAAATAGTGCAATGCCGAAACGTGTTTGAATAAACAACTCAAAAACCCGCGTCGAGAACAGACCCCATGCCGGTTCAACACGAGTGACTCGCAGACTAAAACCCATCATCAACTAGAATTATTTGTGATAGAACTTTCCAATTTAGTGATTGGCGTCTACCACTTGTGCTGTATTTTTAGAGAAATTGTTGAATTTTTGTTTAAAAGTTATGGTTGGATTAGTCACCTATAACCTATACGGATGTTAAAATCTCTAATGGCAAAATTACTGGGTTTATATTTTTCATGAATACTTATAGTTTGAAAATCATTGTCCCAGTTTTGCCATATATATCCATTTAGGGGTAAATCCGTAATTTTTTATTATTAGTTTTAAATAAAAGAGGCTTATCAAAATGTTTTAAGATGTACAAAATTGTTAATTAAAGTCTTGATCACGTTATTTTCTTGGATCATTTTTTTCCTTTCTTTAAAAATTTACATTCAGATCGTCAAAATGTATGACAATGTTTCAGCAAACCAGTGCCTTTTGCTATTATAACAAGAAGGGCCAGATGATACACAGGTCACACTAGGCTTACGCATGGACACTGGCAGGAGGTATATATCCATTATGTACCCACAGAGCGTAGAACTTATTGTCACATGCAAGTGGATTCTACGAGTATCTGCCAGGATGAAGGAGAATGTTGTTTGGAGGAAAGATGACTCCTTTTCTTAACCCTTTATTGAACTCGATTGTCTTTTCAGATCCCAACCACACTGCAACAAAGTGTAAACCCGACTCCCAATCTCTCCATGGGCGTAGGTGGCCCTAAACAAAGGGGGCTAATGGAGAACATGGAGCAGTAGGAGCTTATCCAGAATTATTAACAAAAAACTAATTAAAATTAAATTAGAGTGCATATATTTTCTGGAAATTACTTGAATTCGAAATTTAAAAACAAAAACAAAACACGAATCCTGAAAACAAAGCGTTTGGCAGTCAAAAAGTAGTCAAGTCAGAAAGTTGCTCATCATCAGTCGATCATAGAAACTGTACAGATCATAGTTTCTACAGTGAAGGCAAATGAAAATACAGTGACCATCCGCCAGTATTTCACAGGCCGATCCTCTCTTCAGAAGAAGCAGTAGACACAAAATGTTATAAGGTAATGGGTTCAGCCCTGTGTTCAAACCTGCAAACTTACAAATGTGTTTTTTTGTTTTTTTTTAACGCTGACACCCTGAGGAGTCATATGACCTCGTATATTGTTTGTCAGAGCGAAAGAGAGTATCAAAAACTGGGGTTTGAAACAATTCCTTAGGGAATGGAATCTGTCCCCCGGACACAGGCAAGGAGTTTGTTAAGGAGATCAAACCAGTAGAATTGAAATGGCTATTCTCTAACTTAAGGAAGGGAATTAGGAGGCTGATAGGTACTGCCCACTGAGAAGACACCTCTCTGAAATGGGTATTCTACCACACACCTTTTGCCGTTTTGTGAAATAAAAAAAGAAACCTCACAGAGTGCGATAGGTACGCTAGATCGATTCGAGACTTTTGAAGGGGAGGACATCACTAAATCACTCCCCCGAGAATAAATGGTCCAAAATCTTGGGGTTTGTGAACAAGTCTAAGAGGTTTATGCAGGACACTTGAGCCAACCAAGTCCCGGACCTTTTAGGGATGGGATACGAGTCTACACAGGTATTTAACCCCTCGGGTCTTGGTCACCCACCCTGCATATATATAATATATAACCTCGTATAGTCCACTCCCAAGCCAAGTAACTTCCTCCTCTGCTATTCTGCTTGCACAGTAGTGGGGCTGTGGTGGCCATGTCCTCCCTCTATGCTGAACAATTTTATTTCATTTGTTAACAATTCTTTCCTCACAATATTTTACAATGCAGACAACTAGAAGCCTGCAGGATGAGCTTCAGAGTCCCTGCTGACCCATGCAGTTCTAGTACCTCACGACTATTAGTTTTTAAGCTTACAGTGTGTTGTGTGAATTTTAGTTATTAGCGATTATGATGTACTATTCTATACCTCATGAAATATCGAGTAATTTCAGGTAAGATCGGATGTAAGTTGAGATGGAAAAGTTAGTGTCATGAGCGGGATTCGAACCCACGACCTTCGGCTCAATACGCAGCTGCTTCAACCACTTGAGTTATCTTCAATCCACTCCGACACTCTTCATCTCAACCTCGTCACACTAACTTTTTCACTTCAACCAAGACCTTAAATAAAAATTAATTAATTAAAATAGTCAATTATGACCGGTAAATGTATTAATGTAATTTATTAGCGTGAATGGGGTTTTATAAACCCCCTTTGAGGAATGTCAAATACCAGTCTTGTCTTGGGTGGTGAAGGGTTATTGCTCGAATATCCAGGACGTTCCACAGCATGTTGTCTGACAGCTTTTGCTGGGGCATGGTATGAAGGATCTGAGAAAAAAAATCCTTTTCATGTGCAGAGGGTCAGCAACAATCCACTTGATGTTTGTCAGTCCGTACATAAAAAATTATTGACGATTGTTATAACCACTTAAAATTAATTTTTTACACTTCAAGTAAATGAGGTGTCATTTAGACAGATAATTCAGGTCATAGATCATGATTAAAAAACCTTGAGAAATGGAAATAATCATTTTTTTTAATTTTTATTAAAAAGTAAACATATATACAAATATATCCTCGATATATTTTGTATATATTCTTTACCGCATATATATTTCTTTATTAAAACTATATTAAAATCTATGTTCAAATAATAAATTTGTATTAAAAAATAAATTATACACGATATACAATAGACTGTGTAAATTATCATTAAAAAAAGAAAAATGAAACAAAAAATAGGAAACAAGGAAAAACAGGGGCTTATAACAAACGATCTGGAGGCGAATGAAATAAAAATTGCACTTTTCATTTTTTTTCTCTCTTTTCTTCATGACTAGGTGATCGAAGCGATATCTTCACTGGCAAAGCTTTCAAGCCCATCACTATCACTGTTCGTAGATGTGTGTGTACTCCCTGGCATTGCCACTCTGGCGTACTCATCCGTGTCAATACTCTTGCAGAAGTGAATGGCATATTTTAATTTTTCACGAAGTATTGCCTATAAAACGTAAAAATTAAAAAAAAAAATTTACATTTCAATTTGTATTTGTATACCTTAGACGAGTATCGTGGCATTTTAAGAAGAAAAAAGCAAGTATAGCTTTCCGGTAAGAAATGATCTGGAGGGTTGTATTTATCCAATATCTACAAGATTTAAAAAATTATAATATCTATTTTTATTGAGAAAACATTGTAAACATACTTGTAAGACAAAATCCCGACCCCTGAAGTCAGCGATCGTCCTTGGGAGGCGAGTCCGTCCCCAGACGAACCTGAGGAAAAGAGATCTTTCCTGATTTGTGAACTCTTCCATTACTTCCCAGAACCATTGGACAAGAGATGATGTCACATCAACACCTGAAAACAACAAACGTAAGTTTTGAGTATTTAAGTTTATGCTTTCTGAAAGTATGTGAAGTGGATGGCGCTGAGGAAGTCAAAGTAAGACCTTGTTTCATTATCGCAGCTAAATATAATTAAAAAATAAACAATAAATTGAATAGAAATATTGTCCACATACCTTTGTAGGTTGCAACAGATTTGAGTAAATTCAGTGGTATATCTGGTGAACCGCAGACCATAGTTTCAAGCTCGTATCCGCTGAAGAGCGAGAGAAGCGGGACCGGGATTACTTTTGCCATTCCCTCCCTCACAGCCTGGATCTGGTCGTCGAACTCATGAAACCTGGAATAAGAATTTAGATCAATTTCTTGCAGCAAAGGGTCAACGTTTTTAACAAACCTGTAGTTTAACGCGAGCCTTATGTACTCGTGTTTGTTGCTGTGAGTTATTCGGCGGTAACACGATGACAGAGGGACATCTATGCCAGCAGAAGATGGTATAGAAAATGGCATATCTAAAGTATGGAGGTCTTTGTCTTCACTGTTCATATCTCTAATGCACAAAAGACCTAAAACAAAATTATTTTAAATTTATAAAAGCATTAGAAGAAAAATACTGGATTTTTTTAAAATTCACATACCAGGTATGTAATCCCTGTCGATTTCAGTCAGGTCGGCTAAAGTGAGCGGTATCCCTGCAAGCTGCTTCCAAACCGGTTCGGCCAGATTGAGACTGAGAGGACTTCCAGTGCGTATCGCTATACCCATCAGCATACCAAGGAATTTGAACATGTTGATATGCAAGGCCGTGTTGGCATGAGGGTTGAGCAGAAAACAGTCACGATTCGTCCCTGTGTCGTCTCTGCCATTGGGAGTTGGGATTAAAAGAGGCAGCGAGCCGTTCTGCAGTTCGTCGCACATTTCAGCTATGCTCTCGCTATACCCACCGCCACAATCGTCGACACTCTCGCCTTGTAAAATTAAAATCATGTAAGTAAATTTTAATTCTTATAGACTAAATTTTTTCAAAACACTTACCGACAAATTTGACTTTCCATATTCTATGGGGTAAAAATAAAGATTCTTGTGTTAGAAAGCCTTTTTTCGAGACCATCTGACCAAATACGGATTTCATGCCGTCTGGGCCGGCAAGACCACCTTTGGCTCTGGAGCGTTTCACCTGGATACGATTGAGCTCGACGACCGGCCCGTGCTGCCTATCGCGTATCATCGTACTCTGAACAACCTTTCTGAACGTTGTCTCTTTAGTTGCATATACAAGAATGGACCGCAGAGAGTTAAGACTAATCTCTCCATTAAGTGGTAACATTGTTACTATAGGACACAGGAGGTCAGATGCATGGTGTAACAGGACCAGTCGATTTCTCAAAACAGGCGTCGGGAAATCCCTAAGTAAATCATACTCCATCGGCACCTTTGATGGCACCCTGCTACTAGAAAGCGGTTTGTCGGTGCACCAAGCAAGTGTATGCGCCGACCCACATGCCACCCTTGTAATCTTTTTACCCTGTGCCGAAGAAAAAGATTAAAATCACATTCTCATACCAATGACGCAGTACGCTGCCTACCTGTAGAGCAACAACCAATCGGGGCTTCTGAATAGCACTAGTTGTACCATCTCCAAGCTGTCCTTCATCATTGTCACCCCATGTAAATACCTCACCTTGATCACTACATGCCACACAATGTAAAGAGCCTACAAAAAATTTAAAATTGATGTAAAGTTCAGCTAATTATATATTTTTATGGAATAAACAATAAAGGCTAAAATAATTATTTTTGTTTAAATTGACATAGATTAAACAGCAACCAATTGGAAATTTTTTAAACGTTTTCATTTTTATACGTATTGATTTTTAAATACAACTTGCAACCCTGTAACCACCATGTTTTATATTTTAAATAACAACCTGTCGCTATTGATATGATCTTCTTTCCCTGAAGAGCAGCAACTTTTTTCGGCCTTCTAATATGATCATCCGAACCATGTCCTAATCTGTGATAGTCACCTTTCCCCCTGAAAATTTCATATTGTCGTTTATAAATATAAAGCAGGAGTAAAAAAAAAAAAAAAAATAGAAGAAAAAAAGACAAACCAAGTATAAACGCTCCCGGATCGTGTTAATGCGACAGAAAACTGGGATCCACATTCGACTTTTATCACACCAAGGCCAGCAAGGGACTCAATTTTCTGAGGGATCTGAAATGAAATAATTAAGCCCGTTTGATCCGGTGTGAGAAAAATTATCGGTACGTACTTTGCAGCCGTCTGATCCTCCTCGTCCAAGCTTGCCGTAGTCGCCGTCTCCCCAGGACCAAACGCTGTCGTCTTCAGTTATGCAAAGTGTCTGAGCATCGCCACTTCCGCAAGCAACATCAAAAACATGATATCCCAACAGTGCTTCAACCTAAAAATGTTATTGATATTTTTGATTTAAACATAGTTTGTCTACAGTTCAAATTTAAACACAATAAGCTACCACAGTGACAAACTTATCAACTAAAAAATTTTTGAAATTAACAAACTATCACTGATAAGTATTTACATAATAAGTTCTAGCCAGGCATTCAATCAGGATCTAAATTGACCTACATGCTGCTTTGCTTCCCTAAATTTTACTCATTTTATTCTACACAATGATACACTTTGTCACATATGATGGGCGTGTTTTGGAAAACAAGATAACATGGAGGATGAAATAATGTCTTAATAAGTTTGATCATTTTTTATCAAGACGATGTTTTCTTATCAGACCCATTTTTCAAGTTTACCAAATTCAGCAGTTGGTCTGTCCATTTTTGTGGCAATCGTGTAACTTTATAATTTAGTAAAATGTGAATGGGTGAGCAGCATTGACTTAGAACTAACCAAAGTGAGAATAGGTGGATCAAAATGATCAAACTACAGGTTCATCACCTCTCAGACCTCACCACAAACTTTAACAAGGCATTATGCAATTTCCAAATTTAAGGTTTTACTAATAAAAAGTATTTAAACAGCATGGCTCAGAATGGAGCCTCAAGGGGCACCAAAAAATTTAATCAGGATAAAGTGCTATTGCCATAAGAATAAACAAGATAATTAACTGGTATTTATAACTCGGCAACTAAACAAGAAAAAGTATGGTATTGTAAAATTATGAATGAGCAGTTTAAAAAAAATATAAAAAATAGCAAGGGGCTAACGATGATCCTTGAAGGAGAGCAGTAACACAGTTTATACAGTAAAGATGAAGTGTGATTGCCATTACAGTAAATGATAAGATAAATAATTTTATATTCCGGCAGTCAGATGCATGGTATTGTGAAAAAACTTGTCACAAGTGAAAAATAAAAAGGAAACAATTTTTTTTTGCACTGAGCGTGCCCTTGGTTAGAGGCAAAGATGCGCGGGTGATCATTGGGAGCCAAAGGAGGCCCAGCTTGGGCTCAGCGGGAACATTGGCAAGGAGTTGGGCCAGGCTGGCGAAGACAGGCAAGGCTCAAGCTTTAACGGATAGGTGTGGACGAGTCGGAAAAAAAGTTTTTTTAAATATTTATTTTGGAATGAGAAGGAAAAGGACATGACGAGGATTCTCTGTTTCCCAAAAAGGAAAAAAAAACAGTGTGTGGTGTTGTAAAAAGACAAATGAGCAGTTTTAAAAAAATATAAAAAAATAGCAAGGGGCTAAGGATGGATCGATGAGGGAGAGCAGTAACACTCATACAGTGAAGATGAAGTGTGATTGCTATTACAGTAAATTATAAGATAAATAATGTTGTATTTCAGAGTCAAATAAGAAAATGCATGGTATTGTGAAAAGAGAAATGAGCAGTTTAAAAAATAAATAAAAAATAGCAAGGGCTAAGAATGGAGCTTTAAGGGAGATCAACAGGCAGTTTATACAGTGAGGATTATAATAACGTACAAGTTTTGGTTTCAGTTGGTTTTCACTGTCGCCATGACCGAGCCTTCCATACCGCCCTTTGCCCCATGTGTACAGTTCTCCGTTTGCCGTTATGGCTGCAGAGTGAGCACCACCACATGCAATGTCCACAATGTTCTTTCCGTGCAAGGCTTCAATTGCAAAAGGCCGATCGCAGTTCATCTTGTTCCCATGGCCCAATTGGCCATCCTCACCCTCACCCCACGAATAGACATCGCCGTCGGCGGACAACGCCAGGCAGTGTTTGCCACCTGAGTTCACGGCGACTTTCTTGATGAAAACAGTCTGCAGAGTGTCCACTAAAGTTGGTGAGAGGACTGTATCTGTCCCTCCAATGCCTAATCGGCCTCCTGCACCATAACCTGCAAAACAAAACAAGCATGTCAATCCTTCTCATGTGATTATTTAAAACATTTTAAACTTTAATATAGAAGAAAAAAGTTGTTTAAAGGATTCAGGTTAATTTAGAGGAATTTACCAGCTGCATAAACTTTCCCGTCGGGAGTTACTGCTAATAATGTCTGTTCTCCTCCGACTAATTGTATAGGATGAAGGGCAGAAAGAGATTCCGATATGGTAGGAAGTCTGACTTTGGCACCTTCCACACCTCCAAGCTGGCCACGATGGTTGTGCCCCCATCCGTAAATGGCACCACAGCCGCCCCAAGATAGTCTCCAATCGTCTCCCCTTTAAAGAAAAGTTTAATGTTTGCCTTAACACATCAGTCTGTGAGTTTTACCTGTTCAGCCAGAGCAGTAGTTGCTCGTCATGCTCCTGTTTAAACACCTCATGATTCTCATGATCTAATGTGAGCTCCTCATTTCTTGGGATCAGCTCGAGGATCTTACTCTGAACCTGATTTCATGGAATTTATGTTATTAATGGGGTTGTTTTGACTGGAATATATACTACCTCTTGACAAAATTGCGGTGGAAGAGGTGTCCTTCTAATAAGCGCTGTAGCAACTCGCACACCCATGCAGTATCTCCTGAACCAGACCCATTTGTGGACATCACTGGTACAAGGTAAACTGTCCAAATTGAGATCAGCAGCAAGTGCTACTAAAGACTAAAAATCAAAGTAATTATCATTACAAGAAAGTAAAAAAAGTTTAAATTTTTCATAAATGAATAGATCAATCATTGAAACAAGCACCTTGATGATTACAGTCATAAGCAAAACTAAAATGTACCTTGAAAAACGGGCTATGCATTAGCTGTTTGCCTCCTTTAACAGCAGGATCTTCATACTCAAACTGTTTAAGGAGTGCAACCGGCATCGTTTTGAGTAAACATGAAAGCGAACTGTCTATGCAGTCTGACTGTAGCATTGACGTTATGTCTAAAAGTTTGCCCAATGGAGATCTTATTACATCGTGCAACCTTTCTATACACCACATCCTTTCTTTTGCCCCTGTAAAAAGAAAAAAAAAAAAGAAAAAGAAAATTAGATTTGATTTAATATTTGTTATAAATTGCTTACCTAAAGAACTCAATTGAGCACAGGAAGCGAGAGCTGCTGCGAGCCTTGTTATCAGTGTGTGCTGGGTTGTCAATGAGAGGCAAGGTTCCAATAGACACATTACAACCTCGACCGAAGGTTTACTGAGTACATTTCTATCGCATCCGAGTTGGTTTTGTAAAAGTATGATAGGATATACTGTAAATTTCCAACCCCAGCCGTTCAATGAACTATCGCTTGTGAATTTCCATTTAAGCTCATCACCAGGTACGGTGACAGGGGTGCTCCAGTCCGACCATTCTCTTCCGGATTTGACTGCGAGCGTTTTGCCAGTGGGGTCCATGATACAGAGCGGATCGTGCCGCCTTTCAGTAGAGCAAGAACGGTCAAAAACGACCCTAAGCTCTTCAGCGCCGGGTATCTTTACCGTTCCAGATAATGAAACGTCGTCAATGTACGGATGGCTGCTTTCCCTCACGACTGGCATCGGCACGGATATCAAATTGTTGTTATTGAGTGCCACATCTTCTAACTCAGTGACACACAACTCTAAGAGCATGCTTGCTGCACTGCTCTGATTCTTAGCGATACCTACAAACAATATAAAATAAAGTAGCCCATTTTTTTTATCTCAACAATTTTATTACCAATTAAGACAGAAGTCAGTGTTTCTTTAGCGTTGTCTCCAGCCCGATTGACGACTGCAAGTTTCAATAAATCGACTAATAACCTAGCTTCATTCAAACCAAGTAATGCAGTGAAATCGTCGCATGTGCTATTTTCTGTTGCATTTGAATCTGATATCCCAAGCATCTAGAAGAAATCATTTAAATATACAACTGTTGTTAATATATTCAATTTAAACATTAAAAAAAAACCATGCGTTTTGTTCCTGATACATGCAGGAAAGTAAAATGAAAACAAAATAACCATTTTAATTGCAAAATAAAAAGAAACAAACCCTTTCCAAAAAAAAAGTAAAAAGCCAAACTACTAACACTCTGTACATCTACCATGTTAGGGGTCATTTGAGGGTTGCATTTTATAGTTGCTGCAATGATGCTCATGGCGCTGGCTGACATTCTCGAAGTCCTCGATGATACGCTAGTCGAGCTTGTCGTTAAAGAAGGAAAAGCTGCAATTGGACTTTCTGTGCTGTCTGGTGACCACTTGTTGTTCTTTATAAAATCAGGCAATGTGTGAGAAATTTTAAAGCAATTTTTATAATTTTATATTTAAAATTACCAGTGCGACAATTTCAGCCTCAGAAGCAGGTGCTTCTCCCCCACCTTGTGCTATTTCTGTGTTGTTTTGCCCGCCGATAAAAGAAGTTCCGCATTCATCGACGATGTCATCTATAAAAATATTTAATTTATTTTCATTTTCGAATAAATACACTTTGAATGTATAAAAATTATGTAAAACAAAAACCATTCGCAGGTGGTTCTTGAGCTCTTGTGTGATTCCTTAGAGCTGCTACTACAGTGTCCCTTGCATATAGAATCCTGAGGCCGTTTAAGATGTGTTGCAGTGCATTTTGTTTTGCGACGTTTGAATCAAGGGATAAAATGTTATGAGCAAGAGATTCCCTCTGGTAATTGGCATTGCCACAGTTTTGCGAATCTTTGGTTGAATCGCCTTCACCCAGTTCTAAAATGCTCGTCCCGAGAGGATCTTTTGCCTTGGAGAACAATACAGGTTCATGTGTCATCGGAGGTTTTATGTCTGGTGCGACCCAAGCAACCGAATGGGACGATCCGCAGGCGACTTGGTTCACCTTGACTTCACCAAAACCATGGACAAGTGTTGGTTTTCTGTTAACAAGCGTTGTACCGTTCCCTTGTTGACCGTGATCATTGTCTCCCCAGCTGTAAACCTATTTGAATTGATTTTAAAATTAAAAATCAAAAATTAATGATTTAGTAGTGAAATTATTAAGAGCTTACAGCTCCAGATTCTGAGACAGCTAAACAATGAAGAGCACCGACTGCAACATCAATTATTTTCTCTGATTTAAGTGATTCTATCACAGTGGGTTTTCTCACATGGTGGTCAGCACCGATTCCAAGGCGAAAATAATCTCCTTTCCCCCAAGTCCATATCTTTAATTCAAAATTAAAAAAAAAAAAAAAGTAAATGTGATAGATTATTTATATTTTTTTAAAGGATTAAAAGGAATTTAAAATGATTGTCAATTTACCTGTCCGGCTTTTGTGAGAGCTAGGGAAAATTGTGCGCCACATTCAATATGACAAACGCCGAGGCCGTTGAGCCTCTCGACGTTTTGAGGCAAATCGCAACCTTCGCTCCCGCCACGACCGAGTTTCCCGAAATCCCCATCTCCCCAGGAAAAGACCAGCCCTTTGCTGGAGAGCGCGAGGGTTTGGGCGTCACGGCTGCCGCAGGCAACTTTCACTATGTGATGACCGGCCAGTGCTTTGACCTGAGAAAAAAACTCATTTAAACTTAAATTCTTTTCACTTTAAAGTTTTTTTACATACCAATTTCGGTTTCAACTGGGTGACACAATCACCATGACCTAATCTTCCATATTCACCAAGGCCCCAAGTGTAAAGCTCACCGTTGGAAGTAATCGCCGCTGAATGCGAGCTTCCGCACGCAATATCTCTGATTTTCTTAGATTTCAATGCTTCTATCATTCTAGGCTTTTCAAGACTCTGAGTATTTCCATGGCCAAGGTTTCCATCGCTTCCTTCACCCCAAGAAAACACCTAAGTATCAAACAAGAAATCACACATTTTACCAAGGCTTCATCCCTAAAGTTTCAATTTTTTCAAATTAAAATAAAAAAGATTCATTTTATAACGTAATAGATTTTTGCCTACTGTAAATCAATCTTTCAACCATAATTTATTTTTGGAGTTTAAGGACTCAAGTCTCCCATCCTAAATTTTGCATTCATGTACTTTTCAAAGTGCCATCCTTTCAAAAGGTATTGTTGAATAGAAAAGGCAAGATGGCGTAATGTCAGGGATAAAAGCAGGGTGAGGCAAGACACCGACTCATTAATTTTCTACAAACTTTGTACAAAATAAATGCCCTTCTGAATTACTTTCTTCCAAATATCATATCCTTTACCAAGCCATAGACATGAGAGCTTCATAGTCCCATGAAATAATCAGTATAATTCTTTATAAAATAAATAAAATAAGACTAAGTTAAATGGAAACAATTGTCCCAAATCTTTAGATTTTATAAAAAATTTGTGAAGACATTGAGGTTACTTGGATGAGGCCTCTGACAAATCAAAAAATCAAAAGGATCTTTTAGCCGTGTATACCAGGCACCAAGTTTTCCAAGATGGTCGCTTATGCCGACATATAATCAATCAATTCCTTCATAGTTCCATCACATAGCATCTAAAATCTGGATTTTATAAAAAAATTGTGAAAGGACTGAGATTGCTAGGGTGAGGCTTCTGACAAATCCAGTGGATCTCTTAGTTATGGTATAACAGACATCAAGTTCTCCAAGATGATATCTTATGCCTACATTTGTGACAATCCATGCAAATCTTTCAGTTCCACCAAATAGCTTATAATGACGCAAAATTTTAGATCAAATTGGTGCAGACACTGTTCAGCTAAGGCCTCTGACAAATCAAGAGGTCTCTTTGACATGTTCCCCACAATCTAAGATGGTGAAGAACTTATATGTTATAATCCATACAAATCCTGCCTTACACTCTTGAATAATTCATTGAGCATCAAAGAACGTCTTGATTAAGTTCACTAATTTCGTGGTCCGCTTGACCAATTAATATATTATAATTAATTAAGGTTTTTAGTTGAGATAAAAAAGTCAATGGTTGAGCGGGATTCGAACCCACGATCTTCAGCTAGATAAGCTGCTGCTCTACCACTTGAGCTATTGTGATCTCGATCAACTCATACACCAACTTCCCATCTCAACCCCAAGTGGTAGAGCAGCGGTTCGTGCCATTGACTTTTTTATCTCAACTAAAAACCTTAATTGTCTTGATTAAGGTTGGTGATCCTAGTATTGAAATTACTGAATCATGCAATTACATAGAGAAAATATCATCTTATCTCACCCTGCTTATAACCCTGACATTCCACCTCTTTCCCTCAATATACTGAAATCTCCTAACGGTTTCTTTTTTAAGAAATACATTGACAGGCAAAAAATTCCACCCAATTAATTTTTTTTTCATTTTCTCAATAAAAGAAATTTTTTTTCAAATTTTCATTAAAACTATACTATACTAACTACCCATCCTCGATGAAATCAGCTGCAATCCTATTCTAATGCACGATAATGCCCATCCACATGTTGCTCGAATAGTACAAATGTACCTTCAACAGCGTAAAATTAGGGTCTTAGCTCAGCCAGCCTGCCCGTTCTCCAGACTTGAACCCCATCGAACATTTATGGGATAACCTTAAAAGACGAATAAGACCACGACCATCACTTCCTGATACACTCCACGATCTTGAAAGGACTCTTTGTGAAGAATGGTCTAACCTCCAGCAAAGAGACATTTCTAGACTGATAGAAAGTATGCCGAGGCATCTTTGAGACATAATTAAGGCAAGAGGTTAATACACGATATTGATATGTTAATTAAACATCTAAAACAAAATTAAAACAAATTTTATCTTTTTTTTTCTTAGCAATTTACATTTTTTTTTTTTTTTTTTTTTTTTACTTTATTAGACAAAGACTCAATTATTAAATGTTAAAAAAATGAACTTTGATTAATATATAAAAATATATACAAATCAAGTTATATTAAAAGTGGGAGGAATTTTTTGCGTCAGTGTATATCTCTTAACACTAGTGGGGAATATATGCATGATCTTTTTTTTATGAACATGATGGTTTTTGCAAAATCAAAAACTTTTTTGAAGAAATTTTGATTTTTTAAACATTTAAGGCTTGGTATATTTTTCATCTTGCTGAAAATTGCATCTTTTTTTTATAAGAAGCAACCAAGCTCATGAAAATTAAGCCTTTAAGATTGTAAAAAAGAAAAAAGCAATGATATAATTTCTATAAATTTTAATGATTTTACAAAGTGGCTTTAGATTAAGAAAAAAAGTGTCACATACCTTTCCATCTATTGTCAAAGCCATAGCATGTTTACCTCCAGAATGGACAGCAACTTTTTTAACAACATACTGGCTAAGTGTTGTCAACTGGCGAGGTACAGAAACATTATTTGTATGGCCTAGGCCCAACCTTCCATTTGTGCTTTCTCCACAGGCGAAAACCTTAATGAAAAAGCAAATTTATAAATTAAAAAATATAATTTAAAAAAAAACAACTTACTTTTCCTTCTTGAGTCACAATAAAAAGTGATTTAGACCCTCCGGCTATGTAAATTGGCCTTAGGGCGGATAACATCTCCGAAAACACAGGATACTTAATCTTTGAGCCTTTGAGTCCACCGAGTTGATCCTTGTCATTCAGGCCCCAGACAAATACTTTGAACGCTGAACTACCGTTAGTGTTGCTGTATGGTCGGTTCAGTTCCTTTAATTTAAAATAAAATTGTTACACTTCAAATTTAAAAAAAAAAAAAATGAGGGATAGGGTGAAAAATATAACATACTCCAATTTCACTTGTATCACTTGCGAGGAAGGAAACCGCAGAGTTGAGATCGTGCAAATGCGGCTTCTTTTTGCCGGTTATGTACAAAGCATGGATTTTACAATCGATGCCATTATTCCAACAGTATTTGATTGCAATTTCAATGCAGGGATAATACTATAAAATAATTACATGGCATATAAACAATAAACATAATGGACTAAAGAATTTCTAATAAATTTTTTATAATTACCTCTTTAACGTCAGTCAGAAGAGTGACAATTGTATCATTATTTCCATTGGAAATGGTTGCTAATTCTTGCATTGAAGAATAATTAATGCCTCCGCTGACAACAATTAAAGAAGGGATATAACTATTGTCAGCAGGGTTGACTTTAATCTTGAGTGATTGAATCAGTACATCAGGTTGCATGTCTAAATGGATCCAATGCTTCAAAACAAAAAAAAACTTTATAATCCAAAACTGAATATTTTAATTATAAAACTTACTTTTCCTTGTAGACCAGAACTCTGCCAATAATTGTCTCCGCTGTAGTCGAAAAGGTTGAGAGCCATGTTTTCCCTGCTTGAAACTGAAAACGACTGGATCCAATCGCCGATTACGTCAGGTTCGACAGTTGGAAAGTCTTGTCTGATGTATCTCCCCGGTCTTCCAGCGAACACTGCAGCACTTCCTGGTTATAAAATAAAAAAATGTTATTAAAAAGAAGGTTCATAGGCCGACGGTAAAGTTCAATACCAGGCTCGGTGATCCTGTTGAACGAGTGCCGATGTACTTTCTGCGTGTAGAAACAATTTTCACAGTAGTTGAAATTATCACAGGCCTTGCATTTGAACCTCGGACCTGATATGGGTGACATGCTGCACCCGTTGCACATTATGTCGATGTGGCATGACGGCACCACTTCCATCTCTGAGATCAAACCTGTCCAATTACTCTGTTCTGGGAAATTTACAGTCACTCTTCGCCCACTGTAACTCACGCCTAGAAAAAAAAAAAAAATTAAAATAAACAAATTAGTTAATTTTTAGTTGATTAAAAAAATAAATAACTCACCTATAACAACACCAATGCTATTATGGTCGATATAACCCCATTTAAATTTTGGAACTGTGACTGAAGACCTCACACGGACTTTATCGCCGATTTTAATCGGAGGAGGCGGGATGACATGGGACGAAAAACCAAGCATTTCTACGTGAACGAACATTACCCAATAAAGACCTCCTTTTCCTTGCCAGTCGACCTAAAAAAATTACAAAATAATATTTTTTTTCACAAGAAAAACAGTCGGCGATTGCATACCTGAAGATTCAAATCGTGTAAACCTTCGTGATCGACTTTGATCACACGTCCGACGTCAGATTCTGCAACTTCTTCATAAGCTTTGCAGCACCTCACGAACATCCCGGGGGCCACGTTGTCCCTAACATACATTGCATATTCGTCATTGCTTAGAAAATCGCTTCTCTTGTTGTACTGTACTGCAGAATTTGATACCTAAAAAAAAGGTTGTTTATTTATTTTTTTTTCTTTTACATTTATGGTATAAAAACTGTGCAATATATGTGAAGAAGTCAAAGGAATTACCAAATTTCTTTGAAAATTGATTAAATAAGATAAAATAAATATATTCTGGACTGTAGTAGTAAAAATAAGCAAGTTTTGAATATCATTATACAAGATAATATTTTTTTGTAAATAACAAATTTTTTTGTAAATGTAATAATATTTGTAAATATTATGATAAACTATAAAATTATGTAGCTTGATCATCCCTCCCCTTGGTCTACCAATTCTCACACATTTTCTTCAATGAGTATGGGCTAGATGGACGGACCATCATGAAGCTAAATTCATCACATATCCCACAATATAACAAATTTGTCGTACTTCCTCAGCTGCTGAGATACAATCCTCTGATAATGATTCTCTATCCGAGAGGGCTTCAAATGATGAAATTGATGCAGATCGAGACATCTGTTCATCAGGATGGTCCACCAACCAGGCGACAACCCGATCTATATTGAGCGCAATATCGCCGCCAGGTCCTCCGCCTTGAAATAATTGAAATATTTGTAAATAATCGTTTATTCTTGGTATAATATTTAAATAATATTAACATACTTAAAACTCTTATTGCAGTTTCAGCCGCTCTTTTTGAAAAGCCCATTTCATTCAGTTGTTGGATAAGAGGTGTTGTCATTGACATTGACATAGGCATGGGAGAAACCGTCGAGCCGATCATAGAAGCCGGTACTTTTATTGACTTATTTTCTGCCTCTGAGGTCACAAATGCCTGGCTTGCTAGATACTGGCTCACGCAGATCGCAGCTTCCTAAAATGCAAAGTAAAATTAAATCAAACCTAATATTGAAATGCAAGAAATTACCTCTAGCTCTTCACGAGTGTAGTCTGATTTAAGCGGTGACGGCTGCACTGCGTTCAATATGAGCTGGTGTATTAAAAGCGAATGTGGGTCTGTGTCTGTATCATCGCACTCATTCAGCGTTTCCAAGAATGAATACGGCTGCTTTAACACCCTCCTGAGCCGGCTCTGGTATTGCAAAAGCACCCTGCAAGCTTTAACAGCGGCTAACACTTGCTGTTGGTTATGAAGAAGTGGCATGTTTATACATCCTGCTATTTAAAAAAAAAAAAAAATATTTACCAAAAAAAACTATAAATATTTAATCAATCATACAAACCAGGAACAGTCTTAAAAGAATGCGAGTATGTCGTTAGAGATAGAAGGGTCGCCCATGTTTCCAGTAGTGAATCAGTCATCGGCATTTGGTCAAGGCAGAACTGAGGCTGCGCATGAGATTTGATTGCGTGTAAGCTGACGACACGTATGTTACTCGAAGAGTTTTCATCCATCTGGACCACAACTTTACCACGCTTTGTTATTTTACACATCACGCCTAAAAATATTTTATATTAATGAAACTGGAAGATTACAACCGGCCAAAAGAATCTTACACTTCTTGCCTCACCCAGGATTTCAATAATAAAATAATTTAAGGAGAAACTTACCATCTGCAGTTCCGTGCACAGAGACATTAGAGCCAATATGCGGTCTTGCATCTATACCGCCTAAAACGAGCAGTGCCGCCATGGCACTACATTGCATTGTAACTGTGTCAGGATCAATTTCATTCTAAAAAACATGCCAGATTTTATATTAAAAAGAAAAAATACAACAGTCAAATCATTACCTGTAGGTTCAAGAGTGGGTGGGCAAGAAGATCTCCAGCGATCGTTAATTTAGAAGTAAGCAGTTGATTAGAAACACTATTCCACTCCTGCAGTGAATGTAATTTTCTTATCAAGCTGATGCATTCCTCTACTAAAGTACTTGTATGCGAAGGTGTCAGCAATACAGGAACTTTTATTTCTAAAAATAAAAAAAATATAAAATATTATTTTTAAATATTATTGTTAGAAGAAATTAACAAGTTCACAAAATTATATAGGTTCTTCAAGTTATATATAAAATAATAAATAAATAAAGATATCACAGGGAAAAGTTATCACGTTTATAAATCAACATCACAATTTAACTTTTTGAATGAATTCACAGCACTCATAATTCAAAAATATTTTGAAGCAAACGGGGTTTGAGCTTGTCCTCTTTTAGTCCCAGGCTGAAGTAAATGGCGCTATTTATATGTAAGATTTTTGAATCTGGTCGTAATAAATTCTTCAATGAAGAAGTTTAATTCTAGATTAAGTTGAGAGTTTCTCACATACCACGGGGCATCTACCACTGTTCTGAGCATTTTATTTTGCAGTGCTTGGACTTTATTTATTTTCGTGCTGCAGCTCCCCATACCTCACTCCCATATAAGAAAGGTGGATGTATTATCGCCTGGAATATCAATGTGCAGAATTTTGTTTTTAGCTTGGCCTTTCTATTTAGCAATGGGTACAGTTTCAGCGCTTTAGCATATCCTACAGCTACTTTTTTCTTTGTGTCCTTATCCAAATAGATGCCAAGTTATTTGGGTGTCTTTTTTATCATTACTTACATCTGCTTCTTGATGATCAACTCTGTAAGTGCATGAGGAAAATGCAGAGAAAAAAATATTGCTTCACATTTACATGCATTTAATGTGATTTTCCATTTTTCTATTATGATTTAATTTCTGTGAGCACATTTCTTAGCTGCCTCAATATATCATCATTGTCATCTGTGATGATGTCATCTGCAAATGTGCTAGCTGAGAACCTGTGTGTTTAGGAAGGTTGCTTACGTACATAATAACAAGCATAGGAGAAAGGTTTGAGCCCTGAGGGATTCTTGCTTTAATTTGCTTTGTCACTGACATATGCTCATAAATTTCAACGTAGAATGACCTGTTGTCAAAAACAAAGATAAGGAGCAGTAAAGGTATTGGAAGTCCATATTTGTAAACTTAGAAAACTCAATTGAATGCTTTCTTCAAATCTAGAATTGCACAGATGGTGTGCTGTTTAAGTTCAAATCCTTTCACAATATGTTCAGTACATTTGAAAAGCTGTTGGGCTGAATGTTTTGGTGTAAATCTAAACTGATGTCTAAAGTGGACGATTTCAGCCTGTTCTTTGTGCACTTTTCAAAAATCTTTCCTGTGATAGGAAGGAGGCTGACTGGGTGATAGTTCTCAACTAAATTATTGCTTTTGCCAGGCTTTGGGAAAACTATTAATTCTACTATTTTCCACGTTGAAGTAAAGTTACCATTTGTCAGCAAATAGTGAAAATTTGAACTAGATTCATAATTCCTTTGATTGGTAGATTTTGAAAGAGAAAAACACCATCATGCCCTGGGCTTTAAAAAAATTAAAATGATTAAAAGGAAATATATTTACTAACCGCCATTGTAGACATGAATATCGGCGTGGCAGGTGATTGCAACTTCACCGAGAAGGTGTAGAAGCCTTTCTAGAACAGTGTACCGGTCTTCAATTTCAGAAAGGCCGGTTGGAAGGATCTTCTTCATAAGTCGGTATGTCAAGAGCTGCGTTTGGAGATCGGACGACGACTGCCATGTCACCAGGGAGAAGAGCTGGTCGAGCCAGGGCTTCGTGCAGAGCGACTTGCAGATCACGGGGTTTAGGCAGATGGCCTTTATTAAGCCGAGACTCGCCCAGTGTCTGCTTTGAACCAGCGACACGAGACAATCCGTGGGGGATTCCTAATTTAAACGAACAAAAAATAATCCACTCATAAAAATCTCAACTTCCAATCTAGAATAAATGGGCACTATACAGTTGAAAACATTATAATAATAAAATTTCAATATTGATTGAATTTAGTCATTCATGCTTATAAAAAGTTATTTTTACACTTTAACCTACACAATAAACTTAATTTAATCTACACAATACATCATGCTCAAATGATAAAAATAATATATTATTCGACTGAACTATAAAAAATTGATTGTAAAATTGTGAATACTTTTAAACAGAAGCATGCAACAAGTGTATGATAACTTACAGAATTTAATTACACTATACTATCCCATAATAATGAAGGTTCTTAATCTGAGAGCGCCTAGGAGGAAATAAAATAAACTATTTGGTTGATAATTTTGTGTCAATTATAAGTTCAATTCTTCCCAAATGTTTAAACAATACATGGTATAAATTTCAGAATTAATAAACAAGGATCTGCAATGGTAAATTATTGTCAGGTGGTATAACTGTTTAAATTATTTATCTACATCAAGTGTTAGCATAAGACGTATATGCAGCATTTTGTTAGCAACAAAATAAAAGAGTTTTACAGTTTTATAATTTTTTTAAAACAATTTTAATACTCTAATATATTAAAAATATATAGTATCGTAGATTGTTTGAGAGAAATTCTAACACAGTAGGCAAAATAGGATACACAAAATCCCTCAGAAGATCTCAGGAGGGGATGAAGGTATAAATCAAGCTTTGAAACAGCAATAGAATTTAAAACTGCCTCAAAAAGTCATCAAAGAACTTAGACAGCCTGATGGAATCACCTTGGAGAAAAAGCTAAGGTTACCCTACACAGGATACCTTATAAAGATGCACTTTACCCAGTGCAACATGGAAATCCACAAAGTTAACACCTTTCAATATTTGGAATCCTTTGTCTTTTCGACCTTGTGGACGTGGGTTCAAGAAGTTACAATACACTGGAGTTAATAAAGAAAAATATGAAAGGTACACAGCTTCTGACACGCAGGCAGCCATAAGGCACTAAAGACATACGCTTAAACCCAAACTTGTCTGCGAGTGCCTAAACTGCCTAATGATTAGGGAAGCAAAACAAACCTTAAAATGCGTTCCCGGACATGAAGGCAAGAAGGAAATTAACAGACTGGCCAACTAGCCAAAAAAGGGGCAACCCTCTCACCCAAGGGACCAGAACCTAGGTGCACCGTAATGGGTGCTTAAGTTGTAACTAGAAAAATGGACTGAGAAAGAAAAACAAACACTCCAGGTATGAGGAGTGTAGTGTACTACTAGATTTATAAATCCCTCAACTCGTAAGGCGAAGGAACTTCTTTCTAAGCAGGCAGGATTTGAAAAATTATGGACCTCTATGCCAGCCCTATTAACTATCATCTAAAGAAGATGGGTAAAGCTGGGACAAAAAATGTCGGCTCTGACAGGAGGAACCAGAGACATCTACATATATCCTTTGTGAATGAAAAGTGTTCGCCTGTTCACGGTACAGCCACTTTGGTAGGACATTTCTCAAGGAGATCCAAGGAAAAGCTCTAAGGCAACTGCTCAGTTTTATAAGTAAAAATGAACTTCAATTCACTAATTTTGTGGTCCGCTTGACCAATTAATATATTACAATTAATTAAGGTTTTTAGTTGAGATAAAAAAGTCAATGGCACGAGTGGGATTCGAACCCACGCTCTTCGGCTAGATACGCTGCTGCTCTACCACTTGAGCTATCATGACCTCGATCCACTCGGACACTAACTTCCCATCTCAACCTCACCTTTTGAAGTTTCCCTCCTTTTTGCCATTTTTCAAATGTCGTGTAATCGGATTTGATTCTCGACAACAAATGAAATGGCCACGGAGAGCTTTAGTGAAGTATACTTCATTTCAAATCATTAAATTCACTAATTTCGTGGTCTGCTTGACCAATTAATATATTACAATTAATTAAGGCTTTTAGTTGAGAGGTCACGATAGCTCAAGTGGTAGAGCAGCGGTGTATCTAGCCGAAGATCGTGGGTTCGAATCCCGCTCATGCCATTGACTTTTTTATCTCAACTAAAAACCTTAATTAATTGTAATAACGAACTTTGAATTGTACGGCTACAAGCAATAGGGGTTCAACAATGGACCTGTTCAGGTGAGAGTAGAGAAAAGAATCGTTTCTGCAACATGCCCCCCCCCAAAAAAAAAAAGCATACATGGTGAAGTTAACATCCTACTAAATATAGCCAGGATATGTGATCAAACCTTGAAAGATGGCCAACATTTTGAAGGATCATCTATTAAATAAATTTCAATGTACCAGGCAGTTAAGTTCTCAGTAACTCTGGATAATCTTAACAGATTAATTATCCAAATCAATAGCCAATAAGGAAATGGTGATGGCCTTCTTTTGACAAAATACTAGTAATAATTAAAAAATTGATGGTTCTACTCACAAACTGGTTTTACTGTGATCCTGATTTTGACCTGGGATCACCAGATAACGTAAAATCCGGATCACTGCAAAGCCAGTTTGTGAGTAGAACCGTCCTTTTGTAATTATTGCCAGTGTTTTATCTAAAGAAGACCATCGCTATTTCCTACTTCTACTATCTACAAGTGCATGCAGATTGTAGACAGTGAAATCCACCACCAGATGATTTGACTAAATACTGGGATGGCGAATTGCCAAATAAAGTCTGACATCAATGATTGTTTTGTTCTAATTGTTAAACAATGCACGATTTCCTGGATTTAGGGTAAATACTGCATGCTGTGTTGTCATAAAGACTAAAAATGGTTCTAATACTTAAAATGTGAAAGCAGTGTAGTATTTGAGCAAATTATTGGCACAATGAATTGCCAAATAAACCCTACCATTGGTGATGTCCTAATTATAATAATGCTGTAACTACCCTGTATTTAGGTTATTATTAAGGGGCTCCACACATGTGGGATTCGCCAAATGCTGAGCAAAGGTTCGCCGAATCCTGACAAGTGGGGATGGGTGCTCGGTTATTCGCCGCCTGCTTGCATGACTCAGCTAATTGTCGGTTTCCTTGTCTTCTTCAAAGTGCACAAATATTTGTGAAGTAGCCGAACTCAAAGCATACACACATTGGGAATCAACTGTACTGTGCGTAATCATCAATCAACACTGCTATTTATTTTTCAATAATGAACAATTCCTAACTAGTATAGATGTATTAATGAAAGAACACCGTAGCGTTGTTTCTGTCGGTTAGGAATGTATTGGCCCAACATACAGTTTTGGAGTTCCTCAATCTGTACCAACCTGAACCAATAATTTGAAACAATAATTTCTCTTCTAAATCACAAAAATCGAAATAACATTTTTAGTGCATAGAAACAGATCGAGGGAAAGATGGGGCAACTGTACTCCGTTACTGATTTGTGATTGAATTTGTAGCCCACTGCACAAAACAGTAACCGCAGCTGCAGCAATGATAGTTTCATTGCTGTCCATCATGATTGGTTGAGGACTCGCACAGCACTTGGCAAGTATGTTTTCGCTGTTTCCACACAAATTGTACGAACCCCGAATGTGTGTATATATATAAGCGCACTATTTGGTGGATACTAAGATGAGTATCTCAAGACTTGGCGAATGTTCGGCAGCAATCAGTATTTGGCAAATATCGCAGTCTGGAGCCACCTGTATATTTGATATTTGAAAAAAAACCAAAAAAAAAAAACCATGGGAATTATAAGATTTACTAATATTTCAGGGAGTAGGTTGTAATTAGAAGGCTGAACCATAGTTTTTCCAATAAAGTGATGTCGAATAAGGGGCATATAAGAGAAGAGGCATACTTAGATGCATAGATCAATATTGTGGGTGGTTTAAACATTGTGCAATTAGCTTAAAGTGCTTTTTAACCGACAATCATAGAACTATTAATTTTTTTAAATTTTTGTTTAATTAAGCAGGAATCATTCCTCACTTAGGAATAACTATCAGTGTTTAAATCATTACTTTTGTTAGCGTCCTCAGCAAACTTGTAAAAAGCCTCAGGCTAGAAGGCTGCATCGTTTCAGCATGGAGACCACAAGATAGAGCCAGCGACCACAAAAGCATCACTGAGGACTGTCTCAGAACGCTGTTCGGATTGCCATCTTCCAAAAAGTTGAAACCTTTGAAAAAAGAAAATCCGTCGGTGATTAATGTTTAAAGATATTTAGAATAGAAACTTACACTTGTTCTGTTCGAGCTCGGCTTCAAGCTCGGCGTCATTGTCTTCAGCTATAGGAGGATGGGCCAGCTTCAAATCGAACTTTCCTTCTTTGCCCATCCTGTACGAATTAGACGAGCCATTTTCCCACTGCACCCGAATCCAGCCGTCCTCTCCAAGCTCAGCGATCACCCTGCCTTCACCAGGAGGCGAACCGTCCTAATATAAAATTACAAAAGTAAAGTTTTTATTTCTTTTTAAGAGTATAGTAAATTACTTACTTGATCTCCCCATTTCCAGTCAGGACCTCGTACCACTCTTGTCCCTATTTGAAGCATAGCAGCGACATCACTGCCATTGAATGCGTTAATTTCTTGTTTATAATTTGAAGAGTGCTCTTCATATATAACATGTATCTCTTTTACATCTTTTTCAGCGTCTTCATTTGTACTATCTGAATCTTAAAAAAAATTGACAAAATAGCTAGATTTTTTTTTTTACGTCTTCATTTTAAAACTTACCAACATCTTTTAGAATAATTTCTATCAGTGATAAAATCCCTGAGTTGATAATCAAACTTAATTCATTTCCATCCAGTTTTTCAGTCAACATTGCCAGTGTGACAAGTACGAATCTTTAAAAAAAAGTATATAAATATTAAACAATAGTTACAAATAACAATAATGTTTTAAACATCTACCTAGTCCAAGATAATTTCCTGGTTGACATATTCCTTGAGTAAACTTTGTTCCACTGCCAGCCTTGATAAACTGACTTCCTGAGGCTGTTGGTCGCCCATTCAATTATTTTGCTCTTGGCCAAAATCACTTCAAGTTTCAAATTTGGTGTTACCAATTGGATATCGTCCATCGAATTTTTTGTCACCCTTCTTAAAATGATACAATAACACAAACTTAAATAAAAACTGAAATATTTTATTCTCACCTGGGTATGTTTTTAGAATAGATGGGCCCCAACCATCCGTTGTGTATGTTGTATCTCACAGAAGGTATCAAATGGTTTTTAGACAGAAGTTCTAACATCATGTCAAGCCCGCGCTTTCTGATGCAAGCCCTCTCGACCTAAATTTGAGTTTTCATTTTTGCTTAAGCCCTAAAGGAAACTTATAGGATGGACTTACTTGGCTGTACATGGCTTTTCTTAAAGTCTCGATGTCAGTGCTGTCCTCCTGAGTTACAAATTCTATGATGCTGTTCATCAAACTGACATCATTACTTCCTCTGACTGGATAACTATTTGGTTCTTCTGTTTAAACAAAATATTTAACAAAAAATTAAAAATTACGTGTTAGATTTTGTATTATTATTATTATTTTTACCAAAACTTGACTCTTTTATTTTACTGTTTTTATCAGTCTTATCAAGATTGCATTTTTTACTTTTCATATCTGGACCATCACCCTGAAAACATTTTTTTTTTTTTTTTAACCAATTATTTAAAAGGTTAAAATAAGTACTCTGACTTACTTTACAATGACTAGTATTGAAATTTTTTGTGTGTTTCAGCTTTGAAAAGTAACTGTGGATTTTTCTTTTCCAAGTAGGCTCTGTATATAGCAAGTGCAGATTTTTCAATCCGTTCAACTCGTGGCTTGTAGCAGCTCGTACTTCATAAAGAAGGAATCTGAAATGAACCATTGCAATCAAAATAATGTAAAAAAAACAAACCATTGTAATCAAAATAATTTAAAAAATCAAAGCGTAAGGGTTTTTTTTTTTTTTTAACACTTACCTGCACTTTTCCATAATGGGTGCACATACTTCTTTATAAGAGCGGTTCTGTTCTTGACGCATTTTGACTAATTTCCATTTCGTCTGATGAATAGCTTTTGCAATCGAGCCCAGATAAGTCGATCCTAAATCTGTAAATAAATATATATTTCATAAAAAAATATTCTATATAAAAAAATTAAAACATTTTATAATTACTTTTATCTTGTGTATAAATTATTGGCCCGAGTGCAAGATGTTTTATTAAAACTGCTAAAAGAAGCTTTGTCACCTCTTCGACAGGGTGGTCGTGATTGAAATCAGAATGTACGAGGAGATTCTGCTGTTTGCAATGTTGATCGATTGACGATAACAAAGAAGCCAAAGCTTGTTCCTAAAATTTAAGTTTTATAAATTACTCGAATTTTTTTTTTTCAAAATCAAAATATTAACTAACAGAAACACCAAGGTCGTTGTCCAATTGTAAGGAATGTGACAATGGGGAGGTCGGCTCTGTCGGTGTCGACCCTGTACTTCTCGCTTCTCCCTTTTCTTCGTAAGGGTTCGGTGGAGTCAGGACATGCAATCCTCCTTTGAGAAAGTCGGCCGTAAGCCATAGAGATGATTCGTCCTCAGACGGTTGACAAGGTGTGCTTATGTAAAGTGAGTATGCATGGAGGCCGAGAAGGTAGCCAAGGGCACGTTCAGCATCAAGAAGAGTGGAACCGCAACTTGTATCCACCCCAGACTAATCCATACAATTTTTATCTATATATTTTCACTATAAACAATTTTAATTTATTACCTTAAAAATATCTTCATCAGGATCAATATAAGTTCCAACGCAATATGATTGTAAAAGATCCATGGGGAATTGTGATAAGTTTAACTGGTTCGATCCATTTGTTCCTTCATTAACTATTTTTTGGATGAATTCACTATAAGCGTCATTACACCTAATTAAAAAATAATAATAAAAAAATTAAATAAACAAACTAATACTAAGAAGACTTTTAAATCACCTCAAATCTTGAACATCATAGACTTTGTTGTTTATTAAAATCCATAAACCGCCATCGCGGTTGTGATTTTCGAGATCAGCCTTGCGAATAAAGGACATATCGTCACCAGTTTTTGATTTAGTTATTCCTAGCGAGTTGACCACACCTGGCCATGAGATGTCGTCATCGTCCTCTTTCTCTAGGTTTGAGTTGCAACGGTTCAACGATTCGAGCGAGTCCAACAGAGGCAAGAACATGTGAAGCCAATCCTCGCCTTGCATAAGAAGCTGCATGTCTTCATGAAGCATGACTAGCAAAAAGATCAACTCGGGCAAGAGTGTTTCTGTAAGATAAAAAATTATTACAAAATTTAATGTTTCAAAACAAGAAAAACAAATTTTACCTATACAACTTCCGCGTAAAACAGAAAACACTAGGTGTTGATGTTTATTTCCTTGGGATGCGATCTGTGCCGCTGTGTCCAAAGTCCCTGTCACTTGTGTGCATAGCTGTTCAATGTATTTTTTCAACAAAGCTTCCGCCCCATATTTATTTTGTTCTGAAAGAAAATATATTGCATTTTTATATGACAAGAATTTTGTCCAACTTTGTAATAAACCAAATGGTTATAATTTAAAAAATTATTCATTCAATAGTCAAATATTAAAAATAAGGCTGTAAATTTGAGGGTCAACCACCCAGAAAGGAGCAAAGAGACATTTCCTACAAACCTGGTGATCATAGAAATGCGTTATAGTCAGGCTACAAAATAACAAAAGTCGAAGAATTATTTAATGTGGGAAGGTTGTTGCAAACACAGTTCCTTTAGCAGTTGGACATCATAAATTTGGGGTGCTATATATCTTTGCCAGACCAGGAGGCGCATAATGAAAACTTCCCTAGATTCTATCTGGCCCAACAATTTTTCTTTTCCTTTCCTCCTCTACTCTGGTTGGGTAACCAGTTTAAAATTGTATGATTTGGAAAGTAAAGGCAGTCAATTCAGCGATTCAGTCAGTGGTTCACAGAGACAGCTGAAGGTAGTGGTTGAGACACGAAGTCAACTGTTCAAGACTGGCCCGATGTAGGACGAGTCAAGTGTTTTAGAAGCAGAAGAGAACTCCATCAGCCAGAGTTAGGAATTCAATGAGAGCATTCAGTCAACAGCAGATACAATCGGCTCAAAGACTTGTTCCCGTCAAGACGAGGACTCAGACTAGAGCAGTAAGCACCCACACTCCATTTGCAACTCAGCTTGAGGACCCAGCCAGCAAGAGCCAGTAAGTTGACTAGAGTCGATTGTCAATGACGCAGAAAACTGCGGCGGGATGAAGATACCGGAAAACACTGGATGATGTGGAAGGTGGTATTGGTGAGCATCGTTTGGGGTAAGTCCTTTTGTGAATAAGCTCATCCCAGAGTTAGAGTCTTGGTGACTTGCCTTGATTGTTTGACTTTTTATTTGTTTCTTATCACATTAAGATATGTTGCTTGCTGAATTTAAAGTTTGCTTAGCAATAAGCACATGGAGCATTGGGCCCGCTTACAAAAATATAAAAAGAGAAACAAACCTGAAGACATCTTTTCTTTAGTGCTGTGTGGGTAAATATGGGCAAGTAGAAGCCTCTGGAACCTAAGAAGAAGGCTCAGACTAGGTGAGATCTGTTGAGTTTGCAGATTGTCATTTCCGATTTTTGACAGTCTTGATTCCGTGTGCCATAAGCAATTTCTATAAAGCGTAAATAATATCAATAGTTCTGAAATAGAAAACTAAAGAAAATCCAAATAATTACCTTAGAAGCTGCTTGATGAGGTAAAATAAAGGGACTGATGACATGCTTTTATCATATTTATCTTTTTGTTCAGACTCAGGATTACTGCCTCCTGTGAGTTCTATATGCTCAGCTTAAACAATAAAATATATTATTTTTTATACATTTATGAATATGAATATAATTTTACCTTTGATTGCTGCCTCAAGTGATGATTCAAGCCCACCTTCTGCCATGAGACTCGATACTAACAAGTCTGTCATGAAATGTTGCCCTTGGCTTATATTACTTCCTCGCCAATCTAGAAAAATACAAGTCTTTTTTTAATAAAGCCGGACAAAATATATACAAATTTTACAAGTTGAAAGAATTACCTGCAGCAGGCAAAAGTGAGGATAACGTTTTTGCTCTTTCTCCAACAGTCGGTAAAAGTATGCTCCACCCAGCTTGCAAAGTTGCCTGCGCTGCTGATTGAATCGTCTCAAGTACGCCACTGTTGCTTGCCAATTCAACTACAATATGCTTCAGACTGTTCAGGAGTGTAGATCCTGTCTCCAGGCCTACTTTTTTCACATCGACATTGTGCACTGTCATAGAATGAAGCTGAAAAACAATTAATTAATTGAAATAATGAAAACACAAGAGATATTAAATTACCTGAAGCCTGAGAAGATTGAGACTCGCTACAATCATACATTCTTTATTTTGAGAAGGTGGCCAATCAGAATTTCCAGTAGCGCCTTCACACGACTGTTGCAGAATTTGGTCCAGGTGCATAAAAGTTTCATAACAGACATCAACGACGAAAGGTACTTTTAAACTGACTTTCCAGCTCTCGCTTGTTCCCCATGCAAAACACTAAAACAGGTTTTATTCAAGTAAATGGATCAAAGATTTGAAATGACTCACCTGAGTCGGTCCTGCTGCAATGCCAATTACTTGTCCGGTTGAAAGGACGTTAACAGGAATCGGCTCTTCTATTAAAGTCGTTTCGCCTATTAAAGCGTATTCTTTTTTCCCCCAGGTATAAACCTCGCCAGTATCTGTGAGTGCAACGGCATGAACAACTCCGACAGCCACATCCTTCACTACTTTGTCTTCAAAAAACAGAATTAATGACTTAACATAAAAAAATAAATAAATAAATAATAATAATAATACCTTTAAGCGCTGATATGACTTTTGGATATCTGACATGTTCCTCTGATGGATGTCCGAGCCTGAAATTATCACCTTTACCCCAGGAGTAGAGCTCGCCGTTCGCCGTCAAAGCCAGGCTGAACTGATTCCCACAGAATACCCTTGTGATATGGACACCTTGTAGCGTTTCAACCAGCTTTGGCAACTTGCTTCCGTCGCTTCCTCCTCGTCCTAAATAGACTAAATTAAACACAGAAAATATAACTTGTGTAGTCGAAATTTACCTAATTTTCCATAATCGCCATCGCCCCATGAATAAACCAAGCCCGCTTCAGTTACCGCAAGAGTCTGAGCATCCCCACTTCCGCAAGCGATGTCAACAATGTGCAGGCCTAAAACATTTAAAAATAATGTTAAATTAATGTTTATTTTATATGTTTAGGTTTTGTTGCCTTTTAAAGCAGAAACAATAGTAGGAACAGCAACATCTTCACTACTTCCATGTCCGAGACGACCGTAATTGCCTCTTCCCCATGTAAACAATTCACCTTTGTCAGTAACAGCAGCACTGAAATTTCAGGGAGAAAAATCAAATAAAAATTGTCCTAGAAAATAACAATTTGAGCTAAATTAAGCAGGAAAAAATCAAAATATAATTACCTGTAACTACTTCCACAGGCAATTTTGACAATAGTGTGTGATAAGAGCGCTTGAATGATAACTGGCTCCTGGCGTGTTTTTATATCTCCGTGTCCGAGCCTCCCTCCATCTCCAACTCCCCAAGAGTAGACTTCGTTGTCACGTGTCAAGGCCAGAAAATGTTTCCCGTCAGCGCGACAGCAGATATCTATGATTTCCTTGCCTGAGAAGGCTTCTATTTTTTCCGGGCACTGATAAAAAATAAAATCATAAGACCAAAAAAATATTTATAATGAGTTGTTTAATTACCAGTGTTCCGTTTGTATGAGAAATTATATAAACTTGACCATTGGATGTGAGTACAAGAACTAGCTTTTCAGAACAGGCCATTTTGACAACGCCGAGTTCACCGAGTTGCTCACAGGCCTGAGGCCCTTCCTGGAGCCTCCATGGCACCCAGCCCCAAGCCCTGACTTCTTGAAACATCTTGGAATTCTGTTAAAATGGGAAAAAATTATTTAACGCCAAAATTTAGTTTTAATACATTACATCTAGAAACGTCGGTGGTGGAAGATAAGGCCCGGCGAGCCGATCAAGATGTGCCATTAAAACAATTGCAGCCAGCTGCAGATCAACCGGCTCAGAGTCGTTTTCAGGAAGCTGGAGGTATCGAAGAAAACATTCTGTTGCACTCACCTTTAAAAAAAAAAAAATACATTTATTACAATAATTAAATAATAAAAAGTAAACCAATTGTTTAAATAAGTACTTTTAAATTCCCTCCATCATTCCACATCTCGTTGTTTGATGGTGCTTTAAAAGGTTCTATTTTAGCCAGTCTTCTAAGTAATGGTACTAAAGGTGGGTTGTTGCAAACTATATTAATCCTGAAAATTAAATCAATATGAATAAATTTTTAATATTAAAAAAATAATAATAAATCCATTACCTATTATCTCTAAATTCAGTCCTTTTGTTATAAATAAGAAGAAGAAGTAAAATAGCATCTAATATATGGCTTAAAGTTGCACGTTGGACGGCTAGTTCTAATAATAAGCATAAAGCATAATGCTGATCATGTACGGGAATTTCCTGAACAGCATTACCACTGTTGTCATCTCTGAAATATTATAAGGGCATTATTTTTTTAGTAATAATAAAGTTAATAATGATTTACCCAAGAACGACTTGTCTTAAGAATTTTGTAGATCGGTCTACAACCTCCATCCAGACAGTCGATACGCCACATTCGTCAAACAGGTTGGCCTCAGGCAGAGACTGCAGTGCTTCCAATGACTCGTGAAGGATCTCCGTACAAAGGTCTGCATCCTCTCCAGACCTCCAGGCACGCCGCAAGAAAGCAAACGAAAAATTCAGAGCTGCTCGTGTGCCCACTTTTGCCAAACCCGCAGACGCATTTTCACTAATTTTCAGTGGCCTGAAAAACCCATTATGATTAATACTCACTGATATATACAAACTAAGAGGATAAACTTACGTCGTCTTTTTTGAAAGGGTGATGATATTGTTTTTAACATTACTACCTTTCTTGTCATCCTTTTTGACAGTTTCTTGTGGCCTTTGGCGACCCAGTGCAACAAAATACCTATGACAGACCATGAGCCTTTGTCTAAGCCTGCATGAAGAAAGTGAACTTCCAGCAACAAATCTACAAAGTTCCCTTTGCTCATAGTGTAGCGAATGTAAAGAATTCAATAAGTCATCGAAAACTGCAATAAAATGAAAAATAAATAAATACTGACCTAATTTTTTAGAAAAAAAACCTTACTTTGATCTTGAGACCAGGTCCATGAATTGATTAGCTGTTGAGATGGAATGATTTTTGGCTTTGCTTGAAGCAAAGGTGCATCTAGGGTCAGCTGTTGACACGGCCCACAATTACAGCCTCTCTGAGGACCACAGACCCCGTCGCAACATGTGCAATTGATAACTCTAAGACCACAGTAATATACTCCATTCTCTCCTGAGTAAGATCATCAATATAAATTTATATTTCAGAGGTTGATAAGTCATAAAATTATACCATACCCTTGCGTGCTAGAGCTCCTGCCGAATTGAGCAGGGATTCACTGAAGTCGCCGAATAGCTCGCCGTCTTTGACAAGCTCGTTCCAGGAAGTGGCAAGCTGGGGAGTGCGTATAGCCTCTTGCAAGTCTGTCTTCAGCCACTTAGCATCGAACCTCTGGTTGGCAACAATATTCACATCAAGGTAGGAGCTCATGGCACTGAAAAAGTAAACAAACTAAAATAAAGAGAATATAAATATTTTTTTAAAATATCCCATTAAAAAAACATCAATTATAGTTGGAATGTCCAAAATATCAAATATCACATAAGCATATTATTCTTTACATTGCATGTCTTAATGCTGATTCAAAAAATAATCACAAATTTGCGAAAACCAGTTGTTTACTGTAAAATAATCCAAAAGGTCGGATTTCAAGGACAGGAGGACAAAAAAATAAATAATATTCAAACAGCATTGAAAAATTAACAAATGAGAAACACACCTCATTGAAAAAGTTTTATTCAACTAAATCATCAAAATATTTTGTTTGACCTTGAGGCTAGTGTCATTAAACTCAATTATGCAAAACTGGTCTTGCCCTCATAAATAAAAAAATACCCAAAAAATCTATTCTAAAGAAACAACAATATGTATCATCACATTATTTATTGGTGTAATTAATTGATTTTTATAAGGATAATATCTTCTAAAATGCAGAATGCATTTGAATTACTTAGATAATTTCCTTTGGAATTTTTGGCTACATACCATTGTCATAAAATTATGTTCAATGATGGTAGACAGTGAAATATAAAAAGCCAAATCAGCATTTGAATAGTTTTTATTTTTGTTCTGTGAATTTTTTCATCGAGTAAAAATTTGATGACTTTAAAAAAATTAAAAATTTTCATGTCGACAATTATTTAAAATTGGAAAATGATTTTATTACTCTAAATACGTAGAACCAAGCATGGAATAATGATTTACATTTAAGCGTTCGGCTATTATTTTATGATAAAATTCTAAAATAAATCGTGCATGACCAATGATCTGTTGAGAAACGTCTTGAAGTTAACAACCACTCTGCCCAACATTTACCAAATTGATATTTATTACAGTTTCATTATTTAATGATACCAGGAGCCTATTCTAAGTTATACGACTAAAGTTTGACATGTTATTTTACACTGTTACAATTAATTTGTTTTCAATATTGTAAACATTATTTCTTCATAAAAGCATTTCTATCAGGTTTAGACAATGTGTAAAAAAAATTTGTTTTCAGAATATTTTTCCTGGGCAATTTGGTGTATAGTCTAAAATTTTAAGTTGACAATTATGATAAAAACTATGCTACCAAGAACACAATTATATTTTAAGCAATATTTTAGACGTAAGAGTTCGTAAACCTTTCACCTTTCCTTTACAATAATTTATTTTTCGAACAAATACTACAAAGTGTGAAATGAATGTTTCCTAGACAATTGTAATAGTTAAACTATTAAAATTCATACGAGTCTGATATATTAAAATTTCTATATGACACCTTTGATAATTATGGCATAAACTATTCCATGCTGAACGATGATTTTATAATTTTTTGAAAATTAAAGATAGATTATATTGGGTTGTCCGGAAAATAATGCAGGATTTTGGTATTAAACAAAAAAAAAGAAACTAGTTTCTTTAAAGCAATGTTCTTTAATCAAAATAATTTCCCATNACTGAATTATTTCCAAGTAGCGGAATGCTACAGAGGTAAACAAACAATATCATTTGGAAGAGGATTAATAAGTGTTGACATTCATACAAATGAGTAATCCAGTAAACGTAAACAGAATATTTTATATAGATTTTTTTTAATGAAAACTTAAAATCCTGCATTATTTTCCGGACAACCCGATATTTACTCAAAATGAAGTAATATAGATGGTGACTCATGGAAAATTTTAAGCTGACAACCCTTACAATCATGTCAATAATTGTACCATTTCATTAATTTTTATGCAATATAAAACTAAACTTTGTATTTGCAAAGACTATCCATCTTATGTTTTATATTATATCATGTAACACTTCGAGGATGGTGAAAAATTCTGGCAGGCTTACAAAACTTTCTAATTGTCAATTATGATAATAATTATACCAAAAATTAAGTAGAATAAAATATGTTCATTGGTATGCAATTGTAAACCTGGCCATTCCTTTACAAAAATAATTTTAAATTTAGGTTCCAAGCAGTTATTGCAAGTTAGACTGTGTTGATTTTTTATGAATCGTTTGAAGAATCTATTCTGAAAAGTTTTTGTTCTTTTTTCATTATCTATCATGACAATAATTACACAATATTATTGTATTGGTCATATAATAAAAAACATACCCAGGCATCAGCCCTATGACAATGAGATGCGTTTAGTCGCATGTGAAAAATCCGAAGCAAAATACTTTAAACTTTGTGTAATTTTATATTATTTAAAGTAGTAAATGTATCAACCAATTTTTTATTCACAGATACTCTGGATGAAAAATCAAATTCAATTGTTATCTGACAAACTTTCACAGCCCTTGGCGATGTTGGGCCTGAGCCCATCTTCAAAGAAATTTGAAACAATTTATTAAAAACTTAATTATGCCAATTTGTAGACATCTTTAAGAATATTGCCCTGATGATGACCTTAAAATGGGTAGAAAGTCCAGCAGAAAAGCATCCAAACCATACCCAGATCCAGATTATTCGTTTATTTATTATGTCCATAAATATAAAATTTTGTCTATTTTCAGGGAAGATAAAAAAGGATTGTGCAATCAGATAAATAAACATTTGCTCTATGTGTACTCAAAATGAAATAATGAAAACTTGTGTTGATTTGTGAAAATACCATTAATTACAAATTTTTCCCAATTGTCAATTAAGTTCATATACTTGTTATTAGTTATTAGGTGATATGAAAACATAAAACGAAGTCAGCAGACCTCTGATCTATGTTTTGCTCTTATACAAAATAAAGTTGGCATTTGCTGTCTTCTGAAGATTCTAGATAAACAACCTCAAACTCTTTTTAATTGTTTATTGTAATAATGATTACATCAAGTATGATAAACTGAAAATTTATATAAAGAATGCTCAATAATGCATCCTCCCATGATTAAGGATAGGCCATGCTAGACTAAAAGTGTGCTCGCATCATTGTGTCTCACCTAATTGAAGGGTACAACTCCTTGGTTTCATAAATCAATTCATAAAATCATAAGTAAGTATAATATAAGGACCTGGAACACGTTTATATACAAATGAATCAAAGGGGAGATGGTACAGGTAAGGGCAAAAAAGGGCCTAAATATGAGCACCACAGCTTTCAACACAAACTGCTAGGAATAGAAACATGTTCATTCAAATAAATAATAAATATCTCAAGGGTGCAACAGTAACAGACAGACTGGCAGCTTGTATGGCACTTGAAGCCCTACGTTTACTCTAGATTGGGGCTCCCAAAAGTGTGGTCTGCAGACCGCCAAGGGGCCTGCGGTGAACTTTAAGAAGCATTAATAATTACAAAAATAAACTAATGAATAAAATTAATAACAATGAGTACTGAGAGTGAAAGTTTTTCTTTTTAATTTGCAGAAGCAGTCATTGTGATTCCACAGACATGCTATAACTATGAAACAAATGCCAGTCTCTTTTAAGAAAGTTTTGGATGAGCCTGTTCAAATTATTAATTATATCTAGTCGCACCCATTGAAGAAGACTTTTCACAATACTGACGATACGGGACGTCTTCATCATTTCCTGCGTCTCTGTACAGAAATGAGGTGGCTGTCTCGTGGTTAAGCACCTTCACAATTATAGGAATTACGTTCTGAAATCCTTATCTCTGTTTATGGGCCACAATGTCAAATTGGCCAAAGTTTTCAATAATGATAAATGATAAAGTATGCTGTCATATTATCAGACATTTTCATTAAAATGAATGAGATACGTCTTTCTTTGCATGGGAAGAGTATCACAATTGTTGATGCTAATGATAAAGTACTCGATGTCAAAAGAAAAATCCAGTTTTAGGTTGAATCTGTTGTAAAGGAAAAGGTGAAGTATTTTCCTGCGTTAAATGATTTTTTAAAAGGAAACAAACGGATTACCAAATAGCTCAAGATACAATGCTGCAAAACCATGAATGGGTAGTCGAACCATTTTCAGTTTCAACAAAGCCAACCCCTCTATCTTAAAGATAATACAAATGTTTGATAGACTTCAGACTCCACTTTGAAATCTACTTTCGAGTTCGATAGTCACCCCCCCCCCATTTTTGACTCTGTCTGGAAAAAAAATTTGAAACGCTCATTGAAAAAGCAAAACGTATTCTTCTTCCATTTGCCACAACTTACCTACATGAATCTGTACGTTCTATGCAGCTACCAAAAGTAAATACCAAAGCTGTCTAGATGCTGAACCTGACATCCGTCACCAGCTATAAAAAATTAAACCCAACATATCCAAATTGTGCTGGTTAGAGCAACCACACTCTTCACCTTAATTCATTAGTCATTAATCTCCAAATTATTACTTTTGAATTTGGCTCGAGATTTGCATACCTATTGATTCTTTCAGTCCAATTTGACTCTGTGTTAAAGTAGTGTAAAATAAAGTTTAGTATGTCAATCTAATATTTGTTTTCATATTGATATCTCTCTCCTCACCTAATTAGGAATGCACTGGCTAATTTATAAAACTTTAATTTACTACATATATACTCGAAAAGTATTCAATGATGGTAAATGGCAAAGAATGCTGTCGTATTATCAGATATTTTCATTAAAATTAATAAGTCCTTTGCATGGAAAGAGAATCACAACTTTCGATGCTAATGATAAAGTTCTTGATGTCAAAAGAAAAATCCAGTTTTAGATTAAATCTGTTGAGAAGGAAAATGTGGAGTGTTTTCCTGTGTTAAATGATTTTTTACTTGAAAGCAAGGGATCCGTCCTAGATTTTGTTCCGTGAAAGGGCTGGCTAGAAAGTTTTGGAAGCCTTCTGTAGATGACAAAAAAGCAAAGTAAACGTATGTTGATTTAAGAAAAACCTAGTCTGTCTAAAATCATAAATCTTATTAGGTGATTTAAAAAAATCTTCTCTATGTTGTACTCTTACAAAAAATAAAGTGAAAAGTTCTTGACGATCTAAACACAGTTAATTATGATGATTGTACAAGACATCAACTATGGCAAAAACTGATAATCCAAACATGTTTAACCATATAAGTATAAATTGTAAACATGGCACATGTCTTTTTTGCTTTGTAATATATAATGCCGATCCGTAAACTTTGTATATATATTAAACAATAAAGACTTGTAAACATGGCGTTGCCTTTAATATATCATTTTCTCGTTCTATAAGCTTATAATTCAAGTTGAAACATGATTTTTTTATTATTATAATCAAATATTTAGTTTGTTTTGTGTTTATGCTTGATTAAATGGTGTAAACAGCTGAAGGATTGAAATAAGACGGGAACGAACTTGGATTGAAAATAAAAATTTGGAAAATTTCAAATTGAAACGGACTAAATTGTCGAAATCGTATCTCAACACGTCTGAAATAGAGTTTTTAAAATGAAATAAAACATGTAAAACCCGTTTTTTTTCTTTAATTTTTTGGTTCAAAAAAACTATGGGAGTGCACTCACCTTATCAGAAGCCCCCCCTTATCGACTCCGAAGTTTTCAATACATTTCACCGATTTTCCACTGAGGGAGGAAGACGTCGATTTCGGAAAAGCTTCTGTTTCCCTTTTTGAAATTTAAAAATTTTCCACCCGACCGTCGTTCAAACTACATCCTTCCCTGACACGGGCAATTTGACAATTTTCAACATTATATTTTGACATTTGACGTCTTTCTTTTTCCTCTCCCCCCGACGCACGGTCAGACTTTAATGATCGAAGGTTACGCCGCGGTTATAAAGTCAGCGGTTATCAGCGGCCAAACAAAAGTCAAATCCGACACTGCGTGACATTTCCGCCCCCTTTGACATTCTACACCTCCGCCACCCCTTCAATTTAATTTCAACCCGGATTTTTTTCACTAAAGGTCAGGCTGATCGCTTTTAAAAGGAGAATTAAATCGTTTAAAACATTTACTCAAAGGTAGGTTATTTAACAATACTAAATAATTATACCTCTTACAGTACAAAAAATTCAATATTAAAGACATTACAAGCACTGTAGTTTTACTTTTATTAAAAATCTAATATGTAATAAGCTTAAAAAAATCCCCATAAATAAGAAAAACTCACTAGGTCACCTAGAATCCACACAGAAGCAAAAAATGTGACCACCCTTAATATTTTTAATTATCTCTTAGACAGGCTACCATTGATTATCATACAGAATTTGGTCCGTTTTAAAACAGAGGCAAATAAAAAGAGATAAAATCTCTCCCACTTGTGTTTACAATTGAATTTTGTAAATAAATCTTTGGAGTCAATCTCTTCTTTGTTGTCCTGGAGTCCATGATAAAGCGTCATTTGTCTTTGTGTTTTGAGACGAAAGGGTTTTACAGCCAATATCAGGGAATTCCGTAGGCATTGTTCCACAGTCAATCATGCCTTCTCGAGAGTTATATTGTAAGTTTTTGAAAATATAGCATGCTCTGGCTCTGTCCTTTGACCTTGAGAAGGCGTATGATACGATGTGTGGATATGCGATACTTCGGAAATGTTGCGGTATCGGATTTAGAGACCAATTACCCCTTTTCTTTGAGGTCACGGCTCCGTCACAAAAAAATTAGAAAAATATGCGGGATCACAATGGAGGGGTAAGGTAGTGGATGAGCTATAATAAGGTGCGCCCGGCTAGACCCTTCAGGTGTATCGGAGACTCTGAACTGGAGTGAAAACAGCACTACGCCCTAGTAAATATTTACATAATTTTCAAACTGTTGTTTGCCTCATTTTATTTATTATTTTATTGATTCATAAGATTTTTTATCATTTTAATAGCACAAGAATTTATTTCATTATTAATCTCCATTTATATTAGTTTTATTACCAGAAACAATTATTTTGATTTAATTTGGTGTTGGGTATTTTATAATCATGATTTAATTATTTTTTTATTGAGGACTGTAATCCATTCCACATCTAAAATTATGGTAATACTAGATTTGTGTTCAATAGTAACTTTTCGTTTATTTTGAATGATCTTAATCAAATCCTTTTAGTATCCCTTGTAGTGACTTCCTGCCTCTAAACAAGCGACGGTCACACATATTGGTAGCAGAGCAAAATAATTCATCCAGTATATGTTTTAAAATTAAATTAAAATCTCAAAATATTTTTAAAAAATCTTAGAATTTCGTTATAGCCAGAAGTACAGAAACGTTTTAAAACGGATTAAGCCGAGCCCTGAACAAAAACAAGGCCCACTTACCGCTTAGCTTATTGAGAGCAGGACACGTCTAGAAATACGCTATTGAAACTTTTTCTCTATAAGTGAAAATAATTTAAATTCAATACCATTTAATATAACTGTTCGTTTGTAACTGAAGATTCCGTGTCAGATTTGAGTCCGTGTTCTCCAGGGACTTCATTTAAGAGAATGGAGACCCTCAGGTTTCAGTGATAAGGATTACATTTTTCTCGATGGCTGTGAATGGTGCCCCCCTTCTGAACAACTAGACAAATTACTGTATGTTGACGACTGCTTTTTCCTTTCGGGGAAAGACCTACCAGAGGTCAGAGGGGTGATGCAGTCAGCGATAAACGCTGTGGCTGGAAGAGTCGATGAAACCAAATTCGTCTTCTTTGCGTTGAAAACTGTATGCATCCACTTTTGCAGGCTGAGTAGGCCCGGGCACTATGACATGGTACATAGAGTTGGTGAGCTTCCTTGGCCTCACGTTTGATCAAAAGCTAGATGGCAGCTATGACATTGATGTCGTCGAGGTGAAGGAAAGGAAAGCAATAACATTATTAAATTAATCCATATATGTTTACCAGCCATAATTGACTGTATTAATTATTCTTTTTATCTAAGGTCGTAGTTGGGATGAAAAAGTTAGGGTCTTTAGTCGGATTCGAACCCACAACCTTTGGCTCAATACGCTGCTGCTCTATCCACTTGACTGGTGACTTCATCCCATTCATGACACTAACTTTTCATCTCAATCAAGACCTTAGATTAAAAAAAATAATTAATTGAAACATTCTTAAAGTTTATCAGTCACTTCAGGTGAGGAGTGGACAGGGAGACTTTCCTGTAAATATTTGACCTGCAGAAAAAGTTGCTCGATGTGTTCCACCTAATTGAAAGATGCAATTCCTTCGCTCCATACAGGAATGCCATCCAATTTGAGAACTGCGCTTGTGTACAGCAGCGATTGGGGCCACTGTTTTGATTCTTGGGTGAAATGGGGTTGTTCTATTATATAAAGCAATAATAGTTGTGTATATCTAGTTTCTGTTGAGAGTGAATATAATTATTAATGTGAATATGTGATGTGAGAAGGTAGATAGTGGAATATCAAGTACCCAATCGACTCTAAATTAAGTTAGTTGTATATGTGAAAATGGTGATGGAGTACACCATCACTCTAATTAAATGAATGGTATATAAATAGGGCTGAATGTGTTTAAGAACATAAGTACAAATGGGTTTAAACTACATGCGTTGGGTGCTGAATTTACCACAGCACCCTCCCCAGAGTCCAACCTTGGTAGCTGAATGGATAAAACTGAGGTCTGCTCCCGACTGCCAACACCTGGGGTGGGTGATTCTTGACTCTGCTGGTAGTAAAGAAAAAGTAAAAAAGACAAAAGCTGGAAGTGCTGGTGGGCTATGGGAAGCAAATAGGCTCAACTCATGTTTGTATGCATGTGCGGATTTTAGCACTAAAACTTTGAGGTTTTTACAATTTAACAAATTTTAAATTAAATTTTTTTTAACAATGCTACCACTCACAGATGAAACCAGAATTCAAATCTTTGTTTTCTATAAAGATTGTTTAGTTTTTTATCTTCTGAGTAACATTAAGTTGATTTAATTCATCACCCTGTTTGAAGGTGCTTTTTTCTAAAGAATGGCGGCTATTCGTCATTCTCTTCAGCATGAGGTGTTCCAACCGTGTGATGAGAGACTCCTCGCCTTCGTACACGTGAGCAAGGCTCTGAAGAAGAAAAAGTCCAGTTTTCTTTGCATAGCTGTCACAAAGGAGACGCCATTTGCCGTCAACATCTACCAGGTCGGTGACAAACCTACTGGAGATCTTTAATAATAATAAAATATATGCTTTGTATTGCAGGTGAAAAAGACTGAGAAAAACATCTTCAAAAAAAAGCGTAGTTGGTCGATCAATTCTCTGAAATTTGTAGATGGGAAATGTTCACTACCGGTAATAGAATCTCTTTATATTAATAGTTTAATAGTTTAAAAATCATTTTTATGTAGGATACAAGTGACTTTGATCTTTACTTTGACAAAGTTTACAAATGGTCGGCCACAAATCCTCAAGAACGGCAAAACTTCATCATAGTCCTTTGGAAGGTTTGTCATAACTATAACTTTGAGATTTTTACTATTTAACTATTTTTTAATTTAATTTTTTAGCAATGCTACCAATCACAGATGAAACCAGAATTCAAGAACGTCCCTTCAGATTGGATAGCAGGAGATAAAATTATTCCATTCGAAAACCAAGTGACTCCAGTCGGTTGGTTGTCTTTTTTTTCTTTTCAATATTAACCTTTTTTCTATTTATTTATGTTTAAAAAACATTGTGTTCCAAGTTTTAATTTTATGCTGGGATTTTACATAGAGCCTGTTGAAGCCGGTGATTTTGAGGAATTTCAGGCGTTGACCGAAAAGGAAGAGAACGACCTCGTACAGCTTATGCACGAATGCGGCTTTACGGTCAGCAACGCCGAAGCATTCATGGAAACACTCGCCAAAGATTTGTCCATCCTCGACGGTGTATGTGGCCTTTTAATAAGATTTTTTTTAGACTGGGCTGATTAATAATATTACAGGAGAACGTACAAAGCGTCCTGGCCTCGGAGGAGAGGGTCTCACTCCTCATGGCACATCTCGATGAGGCGATCGAAGAAGTCGAGAGGGTCGAGAAACAGCTGGATCACTACGATGATATTTTATGCCATGTGAGGAACACAATGGAGAAAATGGAAGAGAAGAACATGCTCATCGAAATATCAAACAGGAACAATCAAAAACTGCTGAATGAACTGGGCAAAGTGATTGTGAGTAAAGTGTATTTGATAGATTTTCTTTTATTAAATATTTTGTGATATAACTACACGGTAAAAATCCCTAAAATAAACTTTAATCTTTATTTATTTGTTTTAAATCTTTCCATTAACTGATATTCTTAAAATTATGGAAATACATAAATTGGTACAGATTTTGTGTCATCCTTGTTATAGGACATTTTAAGGATATAGGTGATTTTTTTTTTTTTTTTTTTTTTTTTTTTTTTTTTAGCTTGAATTGGAATTGGACAGTAAGCATCAGGCTGCACTCGTGGACGCAGATTTAACGTCGCCACAGGGCTTGAGAGCTGCGATCGAAGCAGGTAAAGCGCTACAGGCCGTCATGAATGCCGAAATCCATCCAGCACTTGTCCAGCTTTCAGCAGTGCAAGAACAGAAAAAGCGATTTGACAAATGGAAGAGCAAATTTTCTCAAATAATCACTCGCCATTTGAACAACTTGTTCATTCACCTCGTAAGTTTTATTTTTTATTTTTTTACTGAGATTAAAATTTAATTTACTATTCAGGGTAATGATGCTGGAGACCAATCGAGCATGCACGGAGGAGAATTAGTTCTTCCAAAACATGCTTCATTACATAGAGAACTCCGTCCTTACACTGAACTTATGCACTGGGCTAAGGTAATTTTTTAATGATTTTTTAAAATTATTTTTCAAACTTTAATATTTTTTAAGGCAATGGATAGAAGAGCTTATAATGCACTTGCTGATTTATACACGTCAAATCTTAGAAAGGTCTATGAAAGGGACATCCATCACTTCCTTGAAGATGCCAAGAATCACATTTCAGGACCTAGCAGTAAATCTTACTAATTAAAAATAATATTTTTTTTTAAATAAATATATTTTGATTCATTGTCAGGTAGTTTTACTGGTTCTAAAGAGGACATGAGTAAAAGCAAGAAGGAAGGGACAGGACAGGCATTACTCGGAATTGAAAGGGACCAATGGCCTGAATCAGATGAAGCAGAAAGGACACGTTTTCACCAGGTCTTTGAAAAAGTCCTGTCACAGCTGGAGCCTGTCTGTCTTTCTGAACAGCAGTTCTGCGTATATTTCTTCCAGCTCGACATACTCAGTCCAACTTCAAAAGTGAGCAGTATAACATTTTCAAATCATTCGAAACATTCCTTATGAATTATCCTTTTAGAATACGCAGACGACGCTCGATGGGCTGAGCAGCGATTCAAAATCGGAAGAGACTGTACAGATCCCCATGCGCAAAGTGGAGAGACAGATGAACGAAGAAGTCAGAAAAATGATGGGGGAGATTTTTCGCTGCATTGAACCAGGACTTATTAGTTTTATTTCCCACTATGAACAAATCGATAGCATGTAAGTCTACAAAATAATTTTACAATTTTTTTTCATTTATATTTTTTAATTTGCAGGTTCTGTTTGTATACACTTGTACGACTGAGTGAACATGTCATGACTGCCCAGGATGCTGGGTCCTTCCTTAGCAAAAGCTTCGGTCCAGTCCTCATCCAGGTGAAGCGTACCTACGACAGGTACATGCAAAGCCAATTGCAATCCATTCTCGACTGCAGGGGAAACAGAAAGTCAAAATGTGGAATCTTACCTTTTGTCAGCAATTTTGAGGTATGACTTTTTCACCCTCGGGGTACCAGTTTTTGAAAAAAAAAACCAGCTCATTTGTAAGTATATCAGGTTCAAATGCAGGGCCGCTGGATTCAATTCCAACCCAGGACCTTTACCTTACAGTGATGAACGCCATCAACGCCTAACCCGTTACGGCCACTGACTACCCCTATATTTCAACTTGATGCTTAATTTATTTTAAAAAAAATATATGTTTAAGGTGTTTGCCAAGACAGCTGAGAAAATATTTAGAAACACAAGCCGCAGGGGAGATCTTGATAAATGGTATGTTAAGCTTGTTGGGGTGATGTTTGAAGCGATACCCTCAATCGCCAACGACCATCCAAAAACTCCTCCTGAAGTTATTAAAATGGGTGATTTTTATTTTATTTTATTTTTTCAATTTCATTTTTAAAACCTGTTTATTTTGCTATTTTAAAGAAAATTTCCACCATCTATTTGACTTGCTTTCTCAACTCAAGATTCCGGTTCTCGACACACAGAGAAAAGACGCCAAAGTTAGATATAACGAATCTTTGAAAGCTTATGTCACCCGGTATTTCGGCAGACCTTTAGAAAAGTTAAACGTACGTAAAACAACTCTTGCTAATACTTATTGTATGTACAACAGAAATGTTCCTTTCCAGCAATTTTTCGAAGGTGTTCAAGCCAAGGTTGGTCAAGGTGTTAAAGAGTCAGAGATAAGCTACCAGATGGCGTACAGCAAACAAGAGCTGAGGAAACTGATCAAGGAATACCCAGCCAAAGAGGTCAAAAGGGGTCTCGACCACCTGTACAAAAAAGTCGAAAAGCACCTTTGCGAAGAAGAAAACCTTCTTCAAGTAAGACAGTCCAGCTCTAAACCTCAACATTTTATTCATTTTTGCAAATTTTCAGGTCGTATGGAGAGCGATGCAGGAAGAGTTTATCCAGCAGTATAAGTACATAGAAGACCTCATACAGCGATGTTATCCCGGTGCTATGATCACCCTCGAATTCTCTATCGATGATATATTAAACTTTTTTTCTGAAATTGCAAGATCTCATTGATTTATTTATAATAGAACTTGTAACATAATTACAATCACATTATTTTTTATGTACTAATTGCCTAATTGTTACAATTTTTATTCATGTAAAATATTGTTATTAAGATTATATATATATATATCTTGCATTATTTACATTTTTTAAATCCAGTATACAATTCATATTAATTTTTAGACTAAAATTTAAACCCTAAATTTACAATTTTTGTTTTTTAAAGGTCCTGAAACAACAGACGTGCCAAGTTGATCCTAGAGAAAAAAGAGTATTTTTAATTAATACTACTCTTAAATGGATTTTAGGAAAAAAGTGATCTGTGTATACACAAGGTTCATTAGAGGAACCGCAGTGATCAGTTAGTGTGTCCAATTCATATTTTTCAAAAAATGTTTAGTTTTGTGGGGAAAACAGCTCTTTCCATGATATGGTTCCACAAGATCTTTAAATTAGAATGACCAAACTGAGCAAATCAATATATAAATATATTTATACATTTAGAATTTAGAAAATTGCAGGTGGAGTAAAATGAATATTTGTTGCAAGATAGGATTCTTTAAATAAATTATCTACTTTATTTCTTACGCTTTATTTAATGTTTACAGGAAAAAAAATGAAAATGTACACTTTTATCAACAGCTATTATTTAGAAACGGCACAAAATTTATTTTCTAATCCCGTGTACTGTACGAGCTCTAAGAGAATGTCTCCATCGTAAGCAACTTTTATCTATCAGCAGGTAGATCGGGCCTGAGATAGTTGAGATAGAGTGCACCAGTTGATTTCGCCTAGAAACACAATTTAAATAAACTCGCCAAGATTTAACGTGTAAATATTTTATCAACTTACGACAAGAAAAGTGACAGAAAATACAACGACGCCCAATGCCAAATGCAAATTGTACTTTGCCTGTTTGGCCTTGTACTGCGCTTCCCATGAGCCGGACGGTACAGGCAAGTCGTCCATTGTTGCCATAGGTTCTGACTTACCAGATCCTGAGTAGGACGCCATCATCCTCTGGACAGGAGCAACTAAACATTTTAAAGTTTAATGTACACATGACAAAATATCCTGAAGCAAGTCGATATTAAAAATATAAAAAAATCCTCTCATAGAATAAGGCAAAATTCACCCTTTTATAGGTTTATTTTCTTTGCATATTCAGTAAAAGGATACCCCTTTTAGCATGTAAACTTTTACCTTTTGTGCCCAATAAATACAAATGGATTTTCTGGAAGATTTTAGTTTCTATAATGAAGTACAGAAGTCTTCTCAGGGGCATGGTATCTAGGTCTTTATAGTTTTCCTAGATACTATAGCATTTTCCTACCTATTGCAGGAAAGTTTGTTCCCTAATCTATGTCTCATCTAGATTTAATCAACATTGGCAGTTGATAGGCCCTTTTTTTCATATAAAACATAAATAAATAAATATAAATATTTTTTCCATGGATACTTTTACGAGTAGTCTTTCTACTTGCCTCATGTCTGGCTTACACTCCTAGTATCTGTTGTTTTTTTAGTTTTAGGAAGCTTCCAGTTTGTTTTTATAAGTTATAGTTTATGCCACAATTTTCCAGTTTCAGGGGCTATTAACAGCAAGGACATTTCAGACCCCAATCAATCAGTTTCTAAATCCAAACACATTCACACTCCCACTCACTCTTATATATCTTTCCTATTTACATACTATTAATACAAACAAGGTGGTGGAGTACTTGATATCCATCACCCTCTTCACATATTATCTAACTAATATAGTTGAGGGTAGATGTAGTACTCAATATTCTGCCATCAACCCATTCACACTAAACATTCACGCTAATAAATACAGTCTTAATATACAAAAATGAAATATATATCAATACTATACAATAAAACAGCCGTTTCCTCTAAAAATCAAAAAATAGGGACCCAAATACTTGCTGCTGTGTTCAGGCACAATTCTCATATTGGCTCTATATGGGGCAAAGGTATGGCACCCTTCAATTAAATGGGACAATTTATTTATTTATATAACATATAAATCTATTACAAGTAATTACACCTAAAAAGCTCATCATATTAACAATATTCATCTTTTTTATCTCAACCAATACCTTTCATAAATATTAATTAATTGAAAAAAGTTAATTGGTCAATCGGATCACGAACTGTAATGGATTTAATATTCATAATCATAATCATTACAATGTTTATACATAATATAGTGTTCGGACTTTCACCTCAAATGGTTGTCACTCCCCGATGAGCTGACCTTAGTGTCTATAAATCAGGGAGTTCACCCACCCCGTTATATGGCTGGGTCACGGGTATCACCATTAAACCAAATGACCAGGAGATCGAGGCTTCACTTCCACTGGGGGCTATCGACAACTAGGTCATTTCAGCCCCAAACGCATGTAATCTATAGTCTAATACTAAAGTGGAACCTCCCATAACAAGCAAAACAAAATGTAAAAAAAATGACTCTCTTAATGAGCGATGTTTCGCAGGACGAGAATGAGGAGACATCGTGATGTCACATGCAGGATCATGCCTGCATCTCGGCTTTCAGTCTGTGTTTAGTGCTCGTTCAGCAGCTAGCGTCACTGTCGCTTGTGAGAGTTGTATTCAGACACAACCTTCCAGTGAAATAAGCGACATGCTAAGAGCATGGAAACTGTTGCTTACTATAGCTATCAGTAGCTATAAATATACAAATTTATTTAATGATAATGCTGTGTCTCATTTCCACCAAATTTTGAAGTGTAGGCAAAACCAAATGTCTCTAGACAACTTTCTTATTAAAAAAAAGGATGTATTATAAATAGTAAATTACATACATTATTATAAATTTCTTTGAGTATTTTTTCCAGAATAGAATGCATTATCCCATTTTACATTGATTCCTATGCAAAAAATTGTTTCGCTTAACGAGTGTTTTGCATTGCAAGTAACATTCAGGAACAAATTATGATCGTTAAGTGAGGTTCCACTGTAGTTAAATTTGATCGACCAGTCGCATAAATAAATTAGTTGGTGGAGAACTGGATATTCCTCCATCAACTTATACACTATATTATCTAACCTAAATTTGAGTCAATTAGGTACTTTTATAAATATAACGCCATCGGCCCTAAACACACGCAATGCTGGAGGGACTATGGTGACGGTTCACCATCACCCCTCACCACTCACACCAATAAATGCACATCTGTAAACATATAACGACTAAACATACAGAATACAACTACCCCCACATCCTCTAAAAAATTGAATAGGGGACCCAGAAAATGACTGCTGTGCTCAATAACCAATCAAGCGGCCAGCCTACACGATCTCTGTATGGAGTCAAGGTATGACATGTCTCTATAATGTGGGACACATTGAGCAACCTTTCTCTGCACACCTTTCAATGCGGGCTTTGGCCCAAAAGCAGGAGCCCATATGTCAACCACGCCAATCCTCATTCATAAAATTGTGTTATTTACAATAATATTGATTTGGATAGAATATAAAGAAATTTTTTTATGTAAATACAATGATATATATGCCTAGATTGTCAAGATTTGTGAAGTTGGTTCAGAAAAATATTAATAGAAGAATTAAATAATTGTAAGTGAGGGATATCATTTGCATGTTATTCTGTCTAGTGGTGTTTTTGCCATAGTATTGTGGTATGGAATATGGAAAGTCCTATGCTGTCAAAGCTCATAAGTAGTGGAGAAGTTAATATTGCTTAGCAGTTGAGGTCAGTCAATGTACGAATTAATAATTTTAAAAAGAGTTAGTAAGTCGAAGGGTAATCTGCATGTTTTTAATGGGATTAAGTTTAACTGTGATTGAAACTGGATATAATCGGAAAGGTTTATTCCCAACCCAATGGCAATGAGTCTTAAAAGTGAGTTAACCTCGCATGTTATTCTTAAATGGGTGAAAATGATCCTGCCGAAAGCCAACCCTCGACAGCATTTTTGATATACAACTTCTCTACCAGTCCAGCGCACTGATGCCACCACATTCTTTTTAATCATGTTTTTTATTGCAATTTTAGCATCAAAGGACTGGATCGCAGCGATGCCTAGAGGTTGGTCCTCCAGCCTTTTCTACAGCCTTGTTGCATTCCCTCATAACCAGGGACACTCTGTAGCATTCAATAGCTTCAAGCTATCAATAGCTGCCGATTTTTTAGGTTATTCAAGCAGTTCAAGCCTAGTTTTGAGGTCAGAGAGACTTTTAGAGCCGCCAGGCCATCCGTATATAGTTGTGATGTTCATATTTAGGTAATATTATGCTTGCACCATCTATGATCTTTGACCATAGGGGAACCCACGACCTTATATTTCTTTATGATCTTTTGAATTGATAACAGGCAGCTTATCAGTTAGAAAGAAGAAAAGTGTTAGTTTCTTTGGATAGAATGTAGTTTATGTTTTTACAAGTAGATCAGGTAAAATTATATGATCTTTTGTTTATAAAGAAACCCTAGAAAAACTTTTATGTTACTATAATAAAATTTGAGTTGAACCTCCACAACATAAAACTGGCACATTCTGGTTCAGACCAAAAGCAATTCTTACCATCTTTACGTGGTTAAAATTGAAAAACCCATGTTTTAATGAGAAATGTATGTTATAAAATTTATATGATAAAAAAAAAAATCGCTCATGGTAAAAATATTGTTTGATAATGGTTTACCTGTAATGGGCCTCCTGGTGAGTGTTCTTACAGCAGGAAAAATTACTTGTCTAATCATTTTTTTTTGTATTTTTTAATCTAAACTTTCTTTTTCAGCAAGAATGGTATTAACACTCTATCTCGAGGGAGTTATAAAAGTAGGAGCAGCTGCTTTGTACTTGGAACTCAGAAGAAAATCCGTCTGCTGAATTGATCAACTCAGTTCTGTTGTATATTTTATTTTTTTAACATAAATCACATAAATCCTCTTTCTTCTTTAAATAAACACAATTTATCAATTTTCTCTCATCGGCAGGATTATTTTTTCTACCCGTTGAACATTTTCACCTGGTTTATTTTCACTGGAAATTGTTCTAAACCATTTAAAAAGGCGGGGCGCTTTGAATTTCGAATTTGCTGAATTGCAAAAATGTTGTCCATGGTTATTTTGATTAATTTAAATTTCGTATTTGCTTCTGAGGACGGTGAGTGCAGTGATTTACTAAAAAGAAAATATTTTATAAGCAATTTTAATTTTAGGGCATATTATTATTCAAACTAAAGCATTGTTTTCCTAAGCTTAGTGAAGTAAATCATGCTTATTTTAATCAAAAAAAAAAAAAAAAAAATTAAATACTTTAAACTCCATTAAAAGGATTTCTTCTAAAATTGTGCTTAGCCTTTCAACCAGTAGGTGAAAATCTAAAAACTGATAAAAACACATACTTTTTCGAAGTTTTTTTGGTATTTTGGCTATTTCATTAATTTCAAAATGTATTTTTACATATTGGGTACAATTTGTTAATAAAATGAAAAGCCATTTTTGTTAGACTTTTAGGGTTCTGATTGTACGTTCTGCGGCATTAGCTTGAGGGTAGTATGGTATGTTTAGGTAGTAAGTGATTCCAAGAGAAAAGCAAAAGTTTTTATATAAACGGGATCTAAATATTGCTGCTTGATCAGACACTATAATTTTTGGAATTCCAAAGGATGAAAAAACATGGAGTTTTAATGCGTTTATGACTGAAATGGTTGTTGCATTGTATAAAGGTTTAGCGAAAATAAATTTGGAGAAGGCGTCAACGCCTATTAAAATGTATTGTGCCTTTGTTATATTCCCTCTGGGTAAAGGACCTATTAAGTCTATGTAAAGTTTTTCGAATGGTTGTTTTGCATGTATGTTTGATTCTAAGGTATGTTTCATATTTGTATTGAGGGGTTTTATTTTTGCACAAATCACGCACGCTTTTATTCTATTTTTTATGTCCCTAGTCATTTCTTTATAAGTAAAATGTTGCCTTATACGTTGCAAAGTTTTTCTAAATCCAAGATGAGCTCCAATTTCACTATCATGGAAATACGAAAAAATAACCGTATACTTAGACTGTTACTGTTAGACTTTTAGGGTCTTTTTAATGAAACAATTAAAATACAATTTTAACAATTACAAATACAACAATAATTGTAATTTTTTTGACTATTACCATTATTTTTATAAAAGGAAAAAATTAAAAATAAAAGGCACTGTGAGGGAAACAGAATTTATTCACGCCAATTATTTCTTCTTTTTTAAATTATATTTACACTCTTCTTTCTTTTAAAATTGAATGTTAAACTTAAATCTTTACAAAAAATAAAATCAATTACTCTTGAAACAATATAAAAAAACTTAAAATATAATTAAGAAGTATTTAAACTGTTGTTAAAAATAAATTAATTCATAATATTTATGTATGCGCAATTCCCAAGGAATAAAATTAAGGAAATATGGAATAGGAAATAACTCACACGATGAATGCTGTTTTCTTGATGTTTTCTCATAAGATGATTCTTCACAAGCCAAGTTGAAGCAGCTACGTTCGAGGTGGTTTGTTCGCCGTCTCCCCATGGAATGCCTCTTGTCCATCGCCTTTTAGCCTTTCTGCACTTTTGTCTCCCACGAGTTCCAAAGTCCATCACCTCCTTCTCGTTCATTTCAATTTGTTTGTTACAAATTTTTGTACCGAAAGGTAGCTTAGATCTAGTTGAATTAGTCGAATGCATCCATTCCCCAATTCGCAACTAGCCCCTCAACTGGTCGGTGAAAATCTAATAACCGGTAAAAGTCCTGCCTATACACATCATAGAAATAAATTTAGTTTGATAAACCGAGTAAAATAATAATTACAATAATAATAGCAATAATAATAAAACAATAAAATTTACAAAATAATAATGACAATAATATATTCTTTAAAATATTAATTATTTATAATCAAGCGATGAAAGCATATTAAGAGGAAATCAAATAACCACAGAAAGAAAAAAAAATCTAATAACCGGTAAAAGTCTTGCATGTACATATCAGAGAAATAAATTTAGTTTGATGAAACTCAGATGCCATGGATCTAAAAGAAACCAGTGAAGAAGCAGAACGTACTTCCCGAGGAAGCAGATTCCATAGTCTTGACTCTGCAATTCAGGATAAGGCTAAAGTTTTAGTGTTGAAGACTTGGGATATAGTACGTTTTGGTAAGGAATGTGGGAAAAAAGATCGATATTGGGGACATTTATTTGATTTAAATAATGTACATTAAAACAGTAAGTTTGTTAAGATTGCTAAAGACGTTACTATAGGAAGAAATATGACCTCTTGGTTTAAGATCATAAAAATATCTAATGCAGTAACAGAAAGCAATTGAAGGCGATGAGCAAATTGAGTGTCTAAGGAAAGTGAAAAAAATAGTGCTACAGTAAAAGAATAAAGATCAACTAGCCAAAAAAAGGTCAGCCCTCTCACCCATGGGACTAGAACCACAACTATTACTGCACTAAATGTGTGCTTAAGGTGGAAACGTAAAAAATGGCTTGAGAAAGAAAAACTCAAACACAGGGCCAAATCTCCTGATATAACGCAAACTAAGAGATTTATAAATCTCTCAAAAAGGAAGGCGAAGGAACTCCTATCACTCAGCAGGCAGGATTCAGGAAATATTATTGGTCTTTTTACTGCCCACTGCCCTGTGAACTATCTCTTAAAGAATATGGGCAAACCAGAGGTAGAAACATGCCAACTCTGTCAGGAGGAACCAGAACCATCAGCACATATTTTTTGTGAATATGAAGCATTAGTCCAGTACTTCAATAGGTCAATTCTCACAACAAAAGACACACCGAGGAAAGTGCTTAGGCTATAATTTATAGATTATACAGATTGCAGTGGTGGAAAGGCTTTTTTAGGTAGTTAATATGGAAAACTAGTTTTCTGTGGAGTGTAAAAACTAAGGAGTCTATGGGAATGGAGTCTTGAGTAGACCTTTTTAATAATAGTCACATATTCATGTCATGTTAGCTTCTAGTTAAAAATAATGCTGAGATTTTTAACTTTAGGGCAAAAATAATTAGGGGAGCAATTGATATGAGAAGAGGATAGGCAATTTATATTATTATTATTTTTTTAATTAATAAGAGCTGGGATTTGTTAGAATTTGATAGCTTCAGAGATTTGCTTTCAGCATGATGAAATTAGGATAAATGAAGAACTAATGGAAGATCATATATATCATTGAATGAATCACTCGATGTGATCAATAATGTCTCATGCTAACCTAATTAATTTTTATATTATAGTCAAATCTTTTCTTTAAAAAAAATTCTTATTACAGTTATACAAATCGCCTAATTTATCTGTATTTTATAGCAACACGGCTTAAGGCAATTGTGGCTAAGAGGATTGAATGTGACATTTCTGGACTCGGCAGTAATTGCTTTCACGACGGAGGCTGGTCACAGTGGGGCAGGTGGAGCAAATGTCTCGGCGAGTGCGGGCATGTTGGCCTCCGCACACGCATGAGAAATTGTTCAAATCCGTATCCATCCAACAATGGTGCTCCATGTCCAGGGGGTAGTAAAGAATCAAAGGAATGTCACATTACCGGTAAGTCGATGTTTTAAATGTACAGAAAAAAAATCTTTTTAATTATTTATTTTCAGGGTGCACGCTTGAAGATTTCAAAAATGCTGCACAATGTGACTTGATAAAGAATTTGGAGTTTAATTTTTTGAAAGAAGTTCACGCAAGCGTTCCAGCCCTTGTGCCAAGATGTGTTGAAGCTGAATGTCATTTTTCAATAGTTGAACACCTGTTACATAATTATGCTGTAACATTTTTTATATTTTTTTATATTCAATGTTAATCATGGTAGTAGTTATGCATGTATAGCTTTTTTAGGATAGATACTGGAATGCACTGCATTGTGTGAAAAGGAATTATGGTTGCCCAGGTGAGAATAATTTATCTTTTTAAATAATCAATAATTTAGGACATTTTCAGAAATGGGTGGTTGGAGTGATTGGGGAGATTGGAGCGAATGCAGTGCCTTTTGTGGCATCGGGAGACATATGAGATTTAGAAAATGTGATCAGCCAGTGCCCATTAACGAAGAGTACAAGTGCCCTGGTAAAAACTACACGTTCAAGATATGCAAAGGGGAAAACTGTAACTTAATGGAAAGTAAGAATTTCCTAAGGAAAAAATAAAAATAAAACATTAATAGTTAAAATTTTAAGTCAGGTCTTGGAGCGAATGGAGCTGGTGGTCAAGATGCTCAACCACCTGCGGGCAAGGAGTCAGAAAACGAATGCGTAATTGTATCGCTGTTGAGGAAATTGGGAAAAGAAGTTTTGATTTTATCAAACATGCAAGTAAAATCTGTACTGGGCCGGCTTCGATGGTCAGGCCATGCTATTTAAAAGACTGCCCTGGTAATAATTACAACAAATCATTATTCTGTTTAAAAATAAGTTAAAATATTTAATCACTGTAAATATTATTTAAAAAAATAAATATTAACATATTTTAGTCAATGGTGGATGGTCTGAATGGGAGCCGTGGTCAGAGTGTTCTGCAGATTGCTCGCTTGGCACACAGTCGAGGAGTAGGACATGTAGCCGTCCTCCACCACTCAACGGAGGAAGGCCATGTGAGGGTGTAGTCAGTTGGATAAAGCATTGCTTCCTTGCCCCTTGTCCAGGTAAAAGTCTTGTGATTTTACTTATTATATCATAGATCTAATTTTTTTTTATAGTCAATTTTATAGAAGTTGCGGCTTTCTTCGGTGACGGGCTGTTAAGCTATTACAGAGCAGGACGTTCAATCAAACTGCTGCATATTTTCGTCAGATTCAAACCACTTGCAAAAACAGGTGAAATAATAAAAAGAGAACCTTTGGACTGCATGGATTCAAAATGCAGTCGTTTGATTCTTCACCTCCAAGCTGGCTTCTTATTATTCAGCATATCTATGTTAAAATCACAAGTCCTTTTAGCGTCACAACGACCAGTTGATGCAAGTAAAAAAAAAAAAAAAAAACACTAATTTAATAACAACTTTTAAAAATATATTTCCAGGTAAATAAATGGATTAATGTGTTAATATTTATGACACCAAGTTTGGTGAAGATGAGAATTAACGATGCCGAACTTTACATAAGTAAACTGAACTTCAAACCGACAAAGGTCAACTTTGATTCCGACATGATCCTCGGCCACAATTTCAAAGGTGAAATATCAGAACTTGTAGTTAACTTCATACCAAGGTTGTTAAATGTGGATAGTGTCACAAGTGTAAGTTTAAAATTCTTGAATAACTGTTTATTTTATAATGCTAATAACTTATTTTAGGAACCTAAAAGTATAAACATATTGCCTTTTAAGGGCATAAATGTTCTTATTGATCGGGTTAGTGATGAAGGGCTAGTCAAAGATTTATCAAAACTTATATATGTGCCTTGTTTCCAAAGTGAATCCAATTGGACTGTAAGCAAGCCACATATCTTTTTTATTTAATTTTTAAATAAATTTTATTGTTTTATTTTCAGATTGAGTTTGTGATCAAAACAGCGCAACAGGATGGTTTGATATGGTACATGACTGATTCACCAAGCCTGACAAGTATGCTGTTTTACGCTCTTCCTCATCAGTTTGTTTTAATGATGACTGTCAACCAATGCTTCGTTGACATTGATGTTCAAGTAGAGACTCACGTCAATGTCTGGACTCATGTTTTAATAAGCAGAGAGGATAATTTTATAGGGTTTAGTATCAATGGAGGCGAGAGGAAGATATTACACACATGCATGTTGAGCTCTTCGTTTGAATGTAGAGACTGGATCTACTTTGGAGACATACAGCCGATTTTCAGTTCAAAAACCGGCTCGATTTCTTTAACAGGCAAGTTAAAAACTTACATAGAACACCTCAAAAGTATGACCGGTTTGTTGGCCTATTTGAAAATTGACGGTGTTGAAATTCCATTGGATTCTCTACCAGTGGAAGTACTGACCGGATTTAAACAGTTTTCGAGCGATACAGTCAGCTACCCAGGTAAAATATTTCCAAAACTATTAAAAAAACAAAAAGTAACATTATTTTTCAGAAAGGTATATCGAGCTGGAAATAGAATATGGGGAGAATCTGGTGTTATCCTGTGTCTATTTCAGCGAAGAAACATCCTATGAAATTTTCAACAGAATTGATTTGAACCAGAGCACAATTTGGTTAAAGGAAGATATTCCTATAACAGCAAAAGATTCTTTTAAGCTGTGGTATTTTAACGCTACCTTTATACAATTATTTTAATTGAGACAATTCTTTTTGGCAATGTCGTTTACATATATTATCATTATTATCTAGATTGGTAATGTTATGTACTATAACAATTTCTACAGGGTGACCGTAATGGTTAAGGCGTTGACACGGCGCTCATCACTTTAAGGCAAAGGTTCTGGGGGGGGGCTGCTGGATTCGAACCTGACATACTTAAAATTGGACTTTAAAAAAATCAAATTAAATAAAAAAAACAAAACAAAAAAACAGCACCCTGGGGGTTCATACAACCTCTGTAGTTGTGAGCCCCATAAAAAAACACAAAAAAAATGTCGTCATGGTGTATGTATCTAAAAACATCATTATGACTTGTCTTTTTGCTTGTGTGCACAAAAACGTTTGGTCAGTGGTGATTTTTTTACATTAAAAAAAAATTAATTGTAATTGGAATTAAGAAAAAGAACCATACACAATTTTTTAAAATATATAAATGTCTGACAGGGGTGCAAATTTTACGATAAAGGACAACATGAGGAAATCCGTTCTGATAGCAACCAATTACACAGAGAAAGAGTCGATCGAAGGGTTTTACAGCTGCATTGCACCAGGCAGCGGTAGGCTGAAGACAAGGCAAATCCTCGTTACATACGGTGTTATTGTCATAAATGTTTCAAAAGGTAAAAGGTCGTTTTAGGTTGAGTTTATTTTTAACAATAACTTTTCAACGTCATCAGATTTCAACGGTTATGGAACGAAATTTCTCCTAATATGCACGTTCGTGTATATCGTTGTCACCTTTGTTGCAATATTTTGGTTGATCGCTGAGTTATTTATCAACTTCTTCAAAGGGTATTTTCCTTTTTCTTTTATGTGAAATTGTAATTTAAAAATGGATTTTTTCCAGAGAGGGGCTTTATTTAAACGACAAGTCAGATAGTCAAAACAGAGAGATGCTTTTTGTCCTGAAACATTTGAAATGATGAAAAACAAATTTCAATTGGTACTTTGTATACAAGGAAATAACAACATAAATAACACTGCCTCAATATTTCAATTTATTCCAGCCAAATTAACAATTTCGTTTAAAATAAAAAATTTAAATCAATATTTACAAGGAGACAAAATGAATGTTCTTTTGCAGTGCTTAATTGTAATAATAATAAATGCCTGTTCTACAATCTAATGCATATTATATTAATAATTATGTTTTTCTTATTATATAATATTATTTGTTTTAAAATATTATACAGAGTAATTCATGTTCAATCTAATAAAAAAAAAAAGAATATAAAAAACAGATTCTTAAAAACAAAAGCTCCCATATTAATTTCAGATGTCGCCTTGTAAAAAGCCATCAATTTGCAATTCTACTTTTTGATATAAAACTTTTTTTCTCAATAGACATATTGGTTAAAAATTGCAATAACGAAAGTATAAAAATATTAATTTACTCCCACGTCCTGAATTACTTATAGACATGTATTGTTTCTAAGATTCGTTGGTACCAGTTAAGGCTAGAGGTTGAAATTAAAAAATACACAAGTATGAATAAGAGAGAAACAAATATTTGGCTTATATAAAAAATTAAAACTCTATATTCATTAAAAAATAAATATTTAAAATTAGTTTCAACATCATAATAACACAATGTACAAGTTATTAAACAAAATGTCTTCTTTTTTTTAAATCTTTTAAAACTGCACACTTAAAAACTCTTTGGGATTTTTTTTCGTATATAATAAAACACAATAAAATGAATGAACACTAAAGAAATCACAGAACATTCAATTATACAGTAAATCTTACAATGCGAATTCAAAGATGTTCTGTGATTTCTGATAATACTGTAAAGGGTAAATTACTAAGAAACTAAGAAAAGTGTCAGTCATTTGATTAATTTCAGACCTTTTTCTACATAAAATAAATTAATGGTATAAATATGTAAAAATAATAGTCTAACTAAAATGGGGAAACATTTTCATCTACCTCCGAATACCACTAAGTTGATTTTTTCTTTGTATTGTTTTTGTAATAAAAGATAAAGGCACAACGAAGGGCAGAGTTTGATCAATTTAAGGGAAAATAATCCGGTGGTAATATACCCTTTGTGATTTATACATAAAGCACTTTTTTTACTATATATATTAATTTACAGAACACCGGTATCACGAATTTGCTTGAAAAAAAAAAAAAAAAAATTGGTTTAAACACAAAATCGTTTATTCCGGAAATGCTAATTGTCTGAAGTCTCAAACCAGGGATGGTCAAGGACATCTTCCGCTGTGAACCTGAGCTGAGGGTTTGACTGGAGCATGTGAGATATAAGGTCCTTGGCAAGATCAGACACGTCATCCCAGTATGGCGCTGGAAAGCCGTACTGTCCGCTGAGGATGTCGTCAAAGAGTTCTTCTTGGTTGTTGTTGGCGCTGACAAAGGGAGGAAAGCCACAGAGCATTATGTACAGGATGACGCCCATCGCCCAGACATCGATCTCGAGGCCGTAGCCGTTTTCAGTGAGTATTTCAGGTGCAACATACGTCGGCGTGCCGCAGATGGTGCAGAGAGGTCCTGTCACTTTCTGCGCCAGCCCAAAATCCCCGACTTTCAACGTCTTCAACCTGTCGCCTTCCATTTCAACCTTAAAATTTTATTAATAAATATACAACCGATATTTCAAATATACATGAACATCTTACTAATAAGTTTTCTGGCTTTATGTCTCTGTGAACGATGCTCTGCTCGTGCAAATATGCCAGAGCTGATGCAAGGTTCTGTGTCATTATTTGAGCATCTGACTCTGGGAATTTCACAGCCCTGGATATTGCATCAAACAAATCTCCACCCTTTAAAAAAATTAAATTGAACAAAATTACTTATCGATCTATTAGTTTAATTTTATTCAAAACTTCTTATAAGTACCTTAACTAATTCCATAACCAAGTAGAGCTCAGTTGGGGTGTCATATTCTGCCACCAGCTGTATTATATTGGGATGTTTCACAATCCTGAGAATTGCAACTTCATTTTCTATCATCTGCTCTTTCCCAACACATTTTGATTTATCAATTATTTTCAAAGCGTATTCCAAATTCTTGCTCCTGCAATTATTACAATAGTTAATATTAAGAATGCCGTTTTTCCCTTTTGGAAAGAAAATTGATTTTACTTTTCAGTGCATTTTCTAACGATGGCAAAATTTCCATCACCGATCACCTGACCGACGTTGTATTTTGCCAAGACTCTCGATGAGATGTTCGACGAGGAGTCGGGCCTTTTTTGTTCCTTCAGAGCTTTGGTCTTATTTGGAAGCTTTGGAATCCCTTTACCTATTCGATTAAGATCAAAACTAAATTAAACAGATTGATAATTTTATTTTATGATACTGTTCAGTTAAAATCAAAAAATGGTAGAGGTGGATTTAAAACCAAGCCAGTATGTTTTATAAAAGGTAGAAAGAAAGGCCAATTTCATTAGGAATAGAAAAAAGTAAAAAATGTACTTTTGACATTTATATATGATGCAAGGTGGATTTTTAAAACATCTGCTAGTATTTCAGGTTTATTTTTATATACACACAAAGACAAAAAAAAAAAAAAATAAATAAATAAATTTAAAAAAATAAATAAATAAATAAAACCGGACACTCATATTTTGTTGTTTATTTCCAACTATATGTATTTTTATAGTTATATTAATTATAACATACTTATTTTAATATAAACCAAATTAAACGAGATCAAAAACTCATGAGTGTTAATAAAATGCTTTACTTATTATGGTAAAAAAAAAAAATCAAGGAAGTACTGGAAAATCATTTAGAGATAAATTAAAATTTAATTAACAATTTATTCCCTGGTTTTCGTCTTAATAATTTACATTACCTATTCTGGCCTTGCAGGGGCCTTAGATTTCCAGGGTATTGAGTAAATAAACAATCGGATTTCGCCTTGTGAAACAGAATCCATTTCTTCTACAAAAATGGTATGAAATTGTTCAATGCATCCCTGATCTCGAACTTACTATTGATAATAATCAGTTTGGTACACCATGGTTGTTGATTCCACCCCACACCATGACTGTCTTTGAAAAGGCTATGACTCATGCATAACACACGAAGCTAAAGCACTCTCCATGCCTTCACATGGTCCGTCATCTCATTGACACAAACCAAACCAGCACTCATATGTAAAGAGAATAGCCTTCCACATTGTTCAAAAGTCCAAGCGAGATGGTGATTTGCGAATAGTCGACTTTCTACTGCCTCTCCAGTAGTAGTGAACCTAACGCGGGATGTCTAAAGACTCATAAGCCTTCTGATGCTATTTTAAAGCTCGCCCTTACATTACAGACCATCTGGAGTTGATTATCTATCAAGGAAGCCGTAAAGTGAGATATGTAGTGAAGTAAGCAAAACAAACTATCCTTTCTAGCCATCGTACATCATGTTCAACCACTACCAATTCTTGGATCAAGACTTTCAGTGGCCCTAAACTGCTGTAGATCATTATGGATGGTAGAGCGAGGCACACCCAGGACTTGGGCTAGGAAACTGACGCTACATCCATCATTGGCCAAAGCATTAATTTGGGTTAGATTTTCCCAATTTAAAACCATGCTTTAAAAAAAATTTACTTTTTACTCAAATTTATTGTTTCATCAAAGAAAGCCAAAGTAGCTCATCACTCTAATTAAAGCTAATTAAAGAAGAAACTTAACTGATTTTCTTTATTTGTAATCTAATCTAAAAGCATTCTATAAAGGTAAACAAAAAGTTACTAACATTGTATTCACATTTTAAGTCAACTATTAATCTTTATACCTAGCTATTATGAAAAATCAATAAATTCAGATGTCTGTTTTTTTATTTTTTTATTGTCTTTCAGGTTTATTTGTAATTTATTAGCATTATCACATATATGCATACAGATTACTCACATAAAATTGTTTCAACATTAAACTTATACATAATTATACTTCTGTAACCTTAAAGTTATTTATAACCAGAGAAATCAAATAAACCGTTTGTGTAAAAGTTTGTTGTGCAGAAGTTTAATTCACTTGAATTTTGTTCCAGGGTATATCCATTCATTATAGACAATAAATAAATAAACAATGTTTTCTTCCTTAACAATTTTTTGTAAAGTTTCTTCAAGGGGGGGGGGGACATGTAATTTGCTCATTGCTGGCCGTTTTGGTCTGGCATTTCTTCATCTTCTTCTGCATTTGAAAGATAGCCAGATCTAAATAATGGGTGGCCAAACTATTGGAAAGACGTATTTGTGTGGTTTGAAGGTTTTATTCTTCTGTTATTATTTAATTTTGGTATAGTCTAAAATAATTTAGCCTTATAAATTAAACTCTTACTCACCGAAAATCTTCCAAAATGTTTGGGTGTGTGGACATGGTTGATTTTAGCCTTAAAGTGCTTCTTTATTGTTAATTTATCATTAAACAACGGTTGAGAAATTTACACGTTATTTTATTGTTTGGAGATAATGCTTGTAAAATTAAATACAAACATTAATAAATTTGCATAGGAAAATTTTATTTCTAGGAAATTTTGACTCAAATGTTTTTGCATGAAAAATATCGAATGTGACATGAATGATGGTTGCTTTTTATGAAAGTTTGACTAAGGCATCTAAATTTTTAATATGCAAGCTTTATCCTTCAATGTTTTTCCTTTATAAAAAGACTTTTTTTTTTTAGCAAACAGGAGGCAACAATAGTTAACTAGTAATTATGCTTTTGTTGAGTTGTAGTATATATTTGTTATTTCTTCATGGCATTTTCTCTGAAAATCATCTGAGTTGATGATGAAGCATGTAAAAGCCTGTTATTAGCCTTATAAATAAAACGTGTCATCTTAAATTTAGCTGCAAGTAATAGAATGATTTTTATTCTTAAATATATTTTATTTCCTATTGTTATTTATAAAAATGACCACAATTTCAAATGATCAACTTAGCTTGTTCGATTTTATGTGTATTGCTGTTGCTTGTTAGTATGTTTCTCAATAATTTGTCAGATGTGCCCTAACCAGCAAGAAAGACAGACCAAAATGACTAATAACGACCCAATTAATTATTTTTGTTACGGAATTTATTAATAAACTTAAACATTCAAATATAGGTATCAGATGGAAACCATTGAGTATTTTTAATATTTTTATATGGGTAGATGAAATACCCTGGCGTGTAAATGTTGTCGTTTCTGCAAGCTGACCTCATTTTATGTAGGAATAAATGAGCAAATATGGTTGAGAAGATTAGAACCGCTTGATTGGAAAGTAGCATGCAACAAAGCAATAATGCAAAGAAAAAAATTATTAACTTAGCACGAATCATTAAGTTTTGCCATTCGTAAACCAATTGTTCACAATATAAAATAATGGTATTTTGTTAATATATTTAATTGCGAGAAAGATATAGAAAATATTAGATGGTTTGTAAATATTGATTACATACCAAATTTGTCAATGCTGTAAGTTCCAGATTTTAACTCTCCATTTTTGCGCAGACCTTTAGCAATCGACTGGACAGATTTTAGCTCTGAAGAAGGATCAATTTTGTTTTTAAATCGTCAAAGGTCAAAAGGTTTTAAACTCAAAAGCTCACCTTCGTAATCTAATTCAAAATCGTCCATATTCAGCCTTTCTGAACCGTATGCGAAGAAGATATCATCCGAATCAAAAAATTCATCTAGGTTTGTTATCTGAAACAGAATGGAACAGATGTTAGTCTGAAGTCGGACCGATTAAATTTGCAAATGATTGATGAGTGGGTTTACAGGATGAGTTCATTCCTTTAACTAGCCGAGACGAATTGGATATTAACCTTAAAAGAAGAAGAAAAAAAATTTAAGGGTGTACAAAAGATGGATTGAACAATTAGGTTGGAATGTGGAATTAAATAAAACTGCACAATTTAAGTACACCTATAATCCAATCATCTTTTAATTTTTGTTATCCATATTGCCAAATGTTTTGCAAACTGAAAAGGTTTTGATTTCTTATATTAAATACAGTCAGATATGTTGTACTAAAGTGAATTTTTTTTTTAAGCTGCAATACCATAAATCACAGTGCATAACTACATAAGACACTCATCGTCACTTTATAAGGAAAGAAATTATTGATCAAAAAAAGAAGACTTACTTGAAGCCCCTGCGCTGAGTATATTTTCCTAACAGCACCTGTGTCAAGTTTTACTAGATCTGTAATGCTAGATAAAGCGTGGTCAAAGGAAGGAGCGTTTCTTTTGCTCAGCAAAAGCCTAAAAACTTTCCTCGGCCTGTTTCCGTTTCTTATTACGATAATTATTCTCGGATGAACCGTTGAGTTGGTCCCTTTAAGTACTAAGTTCTGGACGTTGGCAGACGTGAGGCGTGTAAAAGATCTTGCGGGTTTTAGTTTTGGTGGGTGAGGTAGAGATGATGTGTAGTCGACCTTTTTGAAGGACTCGCCTTGGCCGGAGCAGACATACAACTTTCCATCCTCGAGTTCTTCAAGGTTATAAATCTTCCTTCCGTCCATTGTAAATATCACTCTGACTCCGGTTGCTAAATTGACATTGTTGGAGAGAGATCTTGTGAGTTCGTTCAGCAGGCTGTCGAAAGACCTGTACCTCTCCGGAGTTATTGCTATGACAACGCCTTTGCTAAACCTGTCCCCGTTTGCAAAAAATCGTATCCTTTTCGCCTTCCTCGCTTTAACGGGCGAGTTCTGCTGTATAACCATGTCCGCAACATGTTTTGGAATATCTATCGAGTTGTTAGGCATAAACCTGTCTAGTTTTGATGTGTTTCTTATGGGCTGATCATTTGATGCGACTAAAAGAGGCATTACTTCTGTAAAAAAGAAAAGAAAAAGGACAAATATTAATTTTAACACTGATTTGAATGTTTTAAATATTTTAAACAAATTGTTGTGAATTGCTTGGCTGGCATTACAGGGTGAATGTCATGAAATGAAGGTCAAACCCTAATCAGTTAATAATTTCCTCTGTTAAGCCAAAACACTGAGGACCTATTAAAACAAATCAAACAAAGTGGGTGCATTTGCGACAGTGCATGCTGAACAAGTTCAAATTTCAATTTCTCGAGCTTGTTTTGCTCAGACGATTTCCAACTTACTTTAAAGGAAAAAAAACAAATGAAACTTCCTACCAAAAACTTGAAATCCATTAAAAAAAAAAAATAAAATAAAATAAAATACATCAAAATTAAAACAGAAGGATTTCACATGAATAGAGCACAAGTTCGAAAGTCTTCTCCATAAAGTATTTAGTTATAAAATAATATTCCAGTGATAAAAAAGTGCAGCAATAATATTGTTATTAGTCTTTTAATCATGCTGATAATTAATAAAGGCTTGTAACTATATTTATTAGTAGAGAGAACCAATTTGCTAAAGAAATTGGAATAAATATGCCTTAAAACTTAAGTGTATGTAGTTTAAATTTAATTTTAGGGTTGCTGTTTTTTAAGCTCAAGTAGGTGATGTGTCAAAGGGATATTTAAATTTATAATTGTCAGAGAAGCAGCAGTTCTGGGTTTTAAATACCAAATAACTTGTGAAAAAGTTCTGCCGTGAATTTTAAAAAATTACTACAAGCATTTTCGTTAATCGATTTACATTTTTGGCATTAAATAAAGCATTATTTGTGTATTGATAATTCAAATATTTAAATGGTAAATTCACTTTTTTCCCCTTTAATGCCAGTCGTTGTCCAAAGAGAATCAATACTAAAATTGAATCAAGTTTGAAACATTGAAAAACAATGGGATTTATTTTCTTAAATTTTGTAATAATCTGTACTTAACTTTTTGTACATTACATATTTATTTTAAGCAGTAGACATTACAATGTTTGGTGTTTCAAGTTTAATCACTCCACTGCAACTATTAACACTGGATTTTTTAGTTATTTCGCACGTGTTCTCAATATTGGAAAATTTGTGAAAGTGGACGATTGTAGTAAATATTGTAAAATACAAAGACAGTTAATTGCCAGATATTTTTATAAATAAACATTAAAAATAAAATATGTTTAAGGATAAAAATCACTTTTTAGTAGCACATCGAAATTAGGCTATATGTGAAAAAAATATCTGTTAAATAAAATCTGTAGCTAAATTTAAGATGACACTTTTTATCTATAAGGCTAAAAACAGGCTTTTACATACTTCACCTATAAACTCACAGATGATTTTCATAGAAAAATCATACTACGAAGAATACCATTAAGCAAAAAACTAATATATGCTAAAAACTCATCAAAAATATAATAAAAGGTTTTATTAGTATCATTAGACAAAAAAGATTACATTGGGTCAATTTCACAACTTTTGTTTAATGATAAATTTTTCGAAAAAGAAATATTTTAAGGATAAAATCGACCATCACAACTCACCCAAATATTTGGGGGGTTAAATTTCATTACATTATATTTACTACTAAATTTACTGCTAAATTTTAAACTAAACAAAAATAGTATAAATGTCTGCAAGAAGGAACTCTAAAAAAATAATTGAAGAATAAAACCTTCAAACACATACTCCTTCGTTGTAGTTTAGTCATTATCCATAATTTAGATCTGCCTATCTGTCAAATGCAGCAGACCAGCACTGAAAATAGAGAAATGAGCCTGAAAAACCAAGCCAGCAAATGAATACTAAAATGATCAGTAATGACCTAATTACCCTGCAAACCACTAGGAGAAATCTGTCTTCACTTACTTTCTTTAACTTTGTTTCGGAGAAGATAAAAAAGAAAATATTGGAATCATAGATCTTTATGGGTAAATCAGTAAAAATAAACTAACTTGCTGGCTACCTTTGTGACTAGAAATATTAACAGGTACGATCTGTAAGACCAAAAACCAAAGCTTCTATACTCACAAACCACATAAATCATCAACTAAATTTCCTTATATTTGACACAGCAATGACATTTCATGAAGAATTTAATTTTTAAACATTTCATACACAAGAGTGTGAAGCTAAAAAGCTTGTATGCATTAGAACAATGCATAATAACTAGTTGATTTTTCTGATTCTTGACTTAAAAAAAAGTACTTTTGACACATTATTAATCAAAGAATAAACATTAATGTTAAAAACAAAGCAAATGTAACATCCTCAAACTGATTAGGACAAAAGAAATTATCTATACACTTAAACAAACAAAAATATTCATTCATAACTATTTCTAAGTTACTCCTCAAAAACCAAACTTTTCACGCATAACATTTATTTCATTATTAACTATAAAAGATTTAAACAAAACAAAAATGTTAAAAACTTATATAAAACAAACGTTGGAATAAAATTAAATTAAGCTTCATTACTCCCTAAAACAACTTCCAAAAAACGCCTTTTTTAACAAATCTTTTTGTCATAGAAACGAATCTTTTCATAACCATGTTATATGAATAAGTGGAAAGCGATACAACTGTACAAAAAGAGTCTTCTTTAATCACAAAACAATATTGCAGGTAATTTTAAGTTGGAGACTCAAACTCAACAAAAACAGCTAACTTAATACCTTTTATTTCAAAAATGAGATCTGTAATGCTCAGACGCAACATAAAGTAACAAAATGTCACTGTTATCAATGAAAAATTAAATCTGATAGGTGTCAAGATAACTAAAAATAGCTAAATTTTTCTCATATGGAATTTATTGGATTTATTAGACTAAAATCAAGTTTCTATGCCATAAACATCACCCCAAAACATATTTTGAAGGGAATTTTTGAGATAATAATGTCACTTTTCATGAGCACATTATAGGAATAAGTGTCAAAGGCTACAAATCAACAAAAGTTAGCTAAATTATCCTCTTTATCTTTGACAATAAGATCTGTAAAGCCAGGCAAAAAGTAGTTAAATTTAGTGATGATGATGATGATCTATCTTACAAAAGATGCCTAAATATCCCTCTTGTCCCAGATTACATCTGTTAAGCTGAAATAAAATTTCTACACTCTCACATACCACAAAATTCACCTTTCTTAATAAAAAATCACTCGATATTTCACAGGCAGCAATTACATTCTATGTGGACACATTATAAGAATGGTTTTAAAAGATTGAAAACTAAAAAAGTAGCTAAAACCTCATATTTTTGAAAAAAGAGAGAAAAATGATTGTAAAAGGCTAAAAATCAACAGAAGTTGGCTAAATTACCCTCTTGTTTTTTATAATAAGATCTATAGAGGGGGCATCGATGGCTGCAACGGTTTAGGCGTTGACACAGCGCTCATCACTGTAAGGTAAAGGGACCGAGTTCAAATCCAGCGGCCCTACATTCGAACCCGACATACTTATAAATGGGCTTTTTGATTTGAGGTTAACCTCTGCTGTTGGGAACCCTTGTTGGGGAGAGAAAAAAAACAATAAACCCAAACAAAAAGTAATTAAACTTCTGTTATGATCAATCTCCACAAAAAACGGCTATTTTGTCTCAGATTAAATCTAGCTAAATTTCACTTGCTTCTCCATGGACAATAACAATTTATAGACCATGAATGCCTTTAAAAGACTAAAATTTAACAAAAAATACCTAAACCTTCTTACTTCTGTAAATCAGATCTGTAAGGCTAAACCCAAGTTTCAAGCATCACAAAAATCACCATTTTAAGGTAATTGTTGTCAGTCATAAACTCATTACATGAATACATGTAAAAGGTTAAATTGACAAAAGTTAGCTTAATTATCTCTCTTATATTTGACAATGAGATCTGAAAACCTAGCAAAAAGTAGATAAATTTCTATTATGATCAATCTGCAAACAAAATAGCTAAATCTTGTCCCATATTATATCTGTTAGGCTAAAAGGAACTTTTTACACCTTAAACATCACACAAAACATATTTTGAAGGGAAATTTCCATTACCTTTGACACAATAATTTCATTTTTTATGTCCTTCTAAGACATAGCAATCTAAAACAATCTGATCTAGAGAGCTAAAATCAACTTTCTACACCGTCAAACATAATAAAAACATCTTTTTAAAGCAATTGTAGTCACACATTTAATAGCTAAATTACATTAACTGTCTTATCTTTGACAATGAGGTCTATAAACCCAGGCAAAAAGTAAAAATTTCTGTTATGATCATATCCACCAAAAATGGATAAATCTTGTCCCATATTAGATCTGTTAGGCTAAAATCAAGTTTCTACACCCTCAAACATCACACAAAAACATATTTGAAGAGAATTTCCATATCTTTGACACAATAATGTCAATATTCATGGGCAAATTATATGTCTAGGCGTAAAAGGCTACAAATCAACAAATGGTTAAATTCCCGTCTTTAACAATGAGATCTGTAAACCCAGGCAAAAAGTAGTTAAAATTTCTGCTATGATCATCTCAAAAAAAAAAAAAAAAAAAATCGTCCCAGATTAGATCTAATTGGCTAAAATCAAGTTTCTACACCCTCAAAAAGCACAAAATCACATTTCTTCCTTAAATATTCATGAGAAAATTATAGTTATAAGTGTAACAGGCTACAAATCAACAAAATTTAGTTAAATTATTCTCTTATCTTTGCAATGAGATTTGTAAAGCCAGACAAAAAGTAGTTAAATTTCTATTATGATCAATTGTACAAAAAAATAGCTAAGTCACATATTAGATCTGTTATGCTAAAATCAAGTTTGTACACCCTCAAACAACACAAAAATCATATTTCTTAATTAAATATCATTTGATTCTTCTCAGGCATTATTTTTAATGCAATTTAATAACGATGTGTGTAAAATCCTAAAAATCAACAGACAGCCCAACAGAAGTACCCTCTTATCTTTAATAATGAGATCTGAAACTCTTGGCAGAAAGTAGTTACATTTCTATTATGACCAATCTGCATAACAAAATAGCTAAATCTTGTCCCATATTAGATCTGTTAGGCCAAAAGGAACTTTTTACACCTTAAACATCATACAAAACATATTTTGAAGGGAATTTCCATTACCTTTGGCACAATAATTTCAGTTTTTATGTCCTTATTTCTAAAAAAAATCTGATCTAGAGAGCCCTAAAAAAAACCCTAAAAATCAACAAAAGCCAGCTAAATTACCCTCTTATCTTTAATAATGAGATCTGAAACTCTTGGCAGAAAGTATTATGACCAATCTGCACATCAAAATAGCTAAATCTTGTCCCATAATAGATCTGTTAGGCCAAAATAAAGTTTTTACACCCTCAAACAGCAGAAAAATCGTATTTCTTAGTTAAATATTATTTCATTCTTCACAGGCACTTACATTTTTAATGGATATTTAATAAAAATGTGAGTAAAAGGATAAAAATCGACAAAAGTTAGCTAAATTTCTCGTTGTGTCTAAAAATGATGTATTAACATAGGCACATCTATAATATAATGGTAAATCCAAGCATGTAGGACTTAGACGTCTCCTCCTAGACTTAGCTACACAAACACTCCAGCTTAAATTGTCGTGACTTCGGTCATTAAATGCAAAACGGGCAGGCGGTTCAAACGGGTTCAGCATTGTGAAATAAGGAGTGGCCACCCGGGACTTAAAAATGGGTCGAGGGAGGTGAAAAGAAGTCGTTCTCCGTTTCTCCGAGACAAATCGTACAAAAACGGCCGATTTTCCATTGAAAATAGATAAAAATAAACATACCTTGAGCACTATGAAAACGGAAATAAACGCACCGAAGGCGAGACTAAGGTCCTCAGAGAGGGCGGACTATTAACATTTCAGCCGTCCGGTTAAAAGAAACGAATATCACAGCCGGGTTTCGCAGGAAGAGCAGTTGAACGTTGAAAAAACGGTAAAATTGATTTAAAAAAAAAAACTATTTGTCCTGTATTTTCCTGTCGAAAGGACGGCGGCCGAGGAAATTCGGACAGTCATTAAAGTGAACCACCGAGGGTCGAACCTCACCTGCGGCCAGTGCTGGTCCAATCGTCGATCCGGGGAATTCAGATTTGGTATTAGCAATTTACAGACGGGGCGGACGGCCAAAGGGAAATTGGAAAAAGAAAGGAAAAGGGAATAAAAAAATTGGGAGGCTGGGTTTTTTTTTATATTTTAAAATTGCCAAAACATATGTTGGCCGGGGGTGCGCCGGCCGGGGTGACTCGCCTTTTCGCCCTCTCATTTTGAAATTGAAACCGTGCCGGGTTGGCGGATTTCATCCATTCACACACAGAAGCATCGTCGAAACAAAACTTTTCCCTCTAAATAATTAATTATTTCTATAAATAATTAATAATTTAAGGATTTCACTTAGGCCCCTTTCTTTTTAACAACAGAAGCTTCAACAGACTATCTAGTGTCCTTTGGGACTGCATAGCCCTGTCAGACATTGGAGAAAATAACAAAATTACCCTTATCTGGACATGTTGAACCAGCACACGGCCACTTACTGGGTCTGTCTTCTTCATTTGAGTTATTCAAATCGTTTCGGCATTGTGCCATCTTCAGTGAGGAACTAAGGAAGTGGCCGTGTGCCGGTGACATCAGTTCACCGACTCGCAGACCACCTGTTCTGGGTACAAGGGCACACAGGGCAGAGGGGCAATGAAGAGGGCGAAAAATAGGCCAAGGAAAGTTCAATGATACCTATTGGCCCAGAACCCTTTCGTAGCTTACCAAACTGCCAAAAACAATCCATTAGACAATGCCATGACAAGCCCTCTGCACAATGGGAATGAGGCATTTGAAAAAATTTATCAAAGGACCATTTTAGAAACCAACAACTACTAAATCTAGGCCATGCTAGGACTAGAATAATAGCTGGACTGCTAACTGGACACTGCAGATTCCTGTGGCATACATATAGACTCAGAGTGGCAGAAACAAGCCCGTGCAGATATTGCCAAGAAGGAAGAAACAGCAGAACACGTCCTCTGTTGGTGCAAAGGCCTATGAAGGCTGAGATACCTAAATCCTGGGAGAGCCTAGAGGAAAAGCAAGGGCATAAAGGATACACATGGGAGCCCGTGAAAAAGCTTTGGAGTCTGGTACAAAGCCTAAAGCTTAACAAAGTTCTAGATAAGAACATGGAGATGCACCTGTCACGGTGCACAGGTTATAAAGAGGCCGGCTCCTAGATAAAATAATAATCCATAAATTGAGCCATGATAGCTCAAGTGATTAAAAGCGTTAAAGCAGCAGTATATTGAGCTGAAGGTTGTGGGTTCGAATCCAGTTTGTGATACTAGCTTTACATCTCAACCAAGACCTTAGATAAAAAGTATAATGAATGAAAATAATTATTATAAAACATAGTAAAATGTACAAAACAATAATATATTCTTTAAAATATCAATTTAACTTTAATATTCATCAAGAGCACTGCTGATAGGTGGCCTGACTCGTAGGTTAGATCTGTTAGGCAGAAATCAAATTTCCACAATCTCAAACAGTACAAAAATCATCTTTCTTCTTAAATATTATTTGATTCTTCACACAATGAAATTTTAAAGCACTAAATTTTAAAAACATCTTTGCTGCCTTACGATTGATTAATATTAAGGTTGAAATGTTGTGAAAACTTAATTTCTAGGAATTACTTGGAAATTTCAGCTCATCTATGTATAATTACATCCTTTACGCCCTTTCACACTAAGCTTGTAAAAATTTGCCAAAAAAATTAATCTATTGATAATTAAGTCCTTGTGAAATTCAGGATAAGAAAAACTATTAAAATCTTTAAAAAATTTTTTTGTCTATATATGTAATAAGGTAATCTTTTTACAATAAATAAAGAGCAAGTAGAGTAAGAAGTTATTTATTTAACAACAAATATACATTAACGGATTTTTTTAAATCATGAAAGTGACATTTTTGACTCATGTCTACGATAATACTACATTTGTGCTGCTGTAAAAAAATTACATATATCAGCCAATTGTTGTTGAATATTGTTAATTTGAAATCAAAGTTCATGTTTGTCACATCAATTCTAAAAAAAAAGAAAGATGTACGTAAACAGCTAGAAATAAGTTAATTTTGATCCTATGTCTTCGTGCTAGACTTCTTAACTAGAATTGCATGTCATATTCCCAGTGGGGCTAGAAGCATTCTTCTGCTTGAAAAACTTGAAAAATAGTGCATTGAGACTGGAAAGCCCTTGCCTTGATATCGTCAGGCCGAAGAGAAGGGCTAGTTTCGCCCCGAGGGTCGCCGGTTTGACTATTTCCTCATTACTCGAAGGCATTACCTTAAATTAAAAAATAAGTAAATAAATCAGAATAAAAAATGAACTGATATGGTGGAATGAACTTACTTTATCTACGACATGCTTGTGGATAACTCCATCAGAACCGACGTAAAAAGTGGAAAATCCATCGAACCAACTATTGTACAAAATAAATGGAAATTAAAATAGAAATAAATAAAACTAAGAAAAAAATTAACCACATACAAATAAAAGGGAAAATGTTCATAAATATCAAGTAGAATACTTACGATTCTGGACTTTCCAATGAACTTTTTAACGCCCATAATTTAATTTTCCAAAATGTTAGTATGACCTAAAATTATCCACGAAAATAAATCCATAAATTATTTTACATTAATAATAAAAATCATTAACTTACTCGTAAGCTAGATACGCCTCTAATCCTCCATCTAACTTTGACTGAGTTGTCTTCAGGATGCCTTGTAATTTTTAAAACTTCAAGTTTAATGTAAGCAAATTTGAAATGGCCTATTAATTTGAGTAGAGCTATTTGTTTTATGTAATAGTGCAGGCCTCTGAAATGTTTATTTTTAATGTCAAACAAATTAAAATAGCAGGTTTGTACCAAATAAAACTTACACTGTCCTCACGCCTCGTATGTTGTTTTCAAAAATCAAGTCTTTGTGATATATTGAGTAATCGTGTTGTGTCGTGAACAATTCTGGTAACTAGAAAACAAATGGTGTCACAATTGAAATAAACCCAGTGGCATTTTAAAATTTACCATCTTTGACAAGGTGAGATAAATCTTCTCGAGCTGTTCTGCTGTCGGGCCATCAATATTTTTCGTCTCAGGGTCGGGTACTGACGCCACTTTGACTTCAGAAAGCTCCGCATTCTCCATGTGCACTCTGGATTCAGTACAGCCTGCTAGACGGGGTTCGGGAAAGCTGTACGATTTATATAAGTCCAGTCGGTCCAGATTTCCAAACGGCAAGAAATCCTCCTTCCACCTTTCCTTGCGAAGCATTGGTATCTCGCCATCCTTTCTGCACACTTTGCACTTAACCTAAAACAAAATGTATGAAATGTAACAAGTCCTTTACCTTAGCAGAACTCACTAATTTTCACAAGAACATCTCTATGCAGAAAAATAACATTTTATGAGTTGATAATGACAACTCTGGACCCTAACTAGATGGTACACTGGACTTCATAAGTCGCTGAAAATAGAATCCTGATTTACATTTTAAGATATAGGAAAAAGAGGGAAAATTTAAAAGGTTGTTTGAGTTGAAGTTGGTGCCCGAGTGGATTGAAGCCAATACAGCTCAAGTGGTTAGAACAGCGGGGTATTGAGTCGAAGGTATTGGGTTCGAATCCTGCATGTAACACTAGCGAAGGACCATAGATAAAAAGTATAATTGGAATGCAACTGCATGAAGGCAACAAGTCTTGTCTACTTCCAAAACCTGTCAGATCTTTCATTTTAATCCAAAACTATTTAACCAGACTTCTAACACCCTCTTTAATCTTAAAATTTCTTAATAATGTATCTAGTATATAACTATTGAGATTGTTAATGGCTGGAAAAGTAAAAAATTGGTTAGTAGTCAACTTGCACCTTGGGATGTTCTAGATCGTTCTTTTAGGCTAAATATAGTCATGGTATATAATACATAATTCACCTCAACAATAAACATGATCTAGTATCTAATTTAAATTTTTAAAAAAACCTGCTTACATTGCCTATACTGCCATGGAAAGTCTGCAATTTGTTGTCCTGAGCCTGGACTAAGTATGAAGGGATGGTCTGCACCGCCGGCACCAGTTTGTTGGATAATGACCTCAGGCACAATGCCATTTCTTCTTTTGTGGAGGAAATAAATTACGGAGGAAAGAGAAACCGACCGGTTAGACAATAAATGGTATTTTTTCGGGTCTACTGAAGAAACCTCGGCCTTTCACGGCTTTTTCGGCTTCAACACATGATCCAAACTGCACTACCCTGCTGATTTGACCTTATCCCTCTTGGTCCGCCTATACTCCGACGATGTACAAGATGATCACGAATTTTTTTTTTATTATTAACAAAAAAATCTCTTATTCTGCTTTTTCCTTAAATGGAAATTTTCCTTTATAAAGGCAGGGTGGTTAAAAGTACAAATTAAGTATATTTAACTTCTCGTGTTGCGAACGGGAAAGCGCCAATTTTTGAAAAACCTAGGAAAAAATCTTCACATAGGCTTAAATAACACAAATCAAACTTAATTTCATACAGCAACAAACTCGAAAATATTAAATTCGCATTTGAATAACGACAACAAATATCTACTTGCCAATCACGTGGTCGTCACGTGGAGACTGATTATCATCATGCTCGATGAACGTCATCTGGTTGACACTAGAAGGACTAAATTCTTCAGGTGATGACTTTGTTGCAAAAACAATTATTCCCTAAAACAAATTATCCATTTCTACAAGTCCCCTGGGCTGGACTTAATTCAATCCATGAATAATTTTATTATTCAATTGAATTCTCAATACCACACGAATCATATTTTTCACAAACCATTCAGACAGTACATTTGTTTCATCAAGCTTGGATTCTCTCCTTTAATCATCGTATCAAAGTATTAGCCAATAGAGCAGACAAATTATTATTCTTCACCTGATGCTACTCAAAGGATTTTAATCCCTCCTGTATCTCTTGTACATTTCCTGCGTCCATTTCCACTCTGTTATCTGTTCCCCACACAAATACCTACATTAAATTATTAAAGCAAATTCCTTAGGTGGATAGGCTGCAGTAAATTGGTTATATCCTATTATATTGTTCCAATTGACATCCTGTAGCAGCACTAAGTTTAATTTCACTTGAATCTCCATGTACCTCACTCGAAGCTCCGTTCTTGTATAAACTTTTTAACAAGATATACTACCCTGAGTTACATGAGCTAATAAATTTCCTCATACCCACTAAATGAACCCAATCCTGCTCACTCTTCTTCACTTTTCCAACTACCTGTACCATTATCCTACCAATGGACTGCTCTGGAAACAAAACAACCCTCGACCGGTTCAGAAATCCTTTAAAACCTGTCCTCTAAATCACTCACTACCTTCACTTCCTTTCCTTATATTTCAGTCATAATATATTATGTATTCCACGTATTCTTAGTTATATTTAAGTATTTTATTATATTATTACATTGATTGATTTTTTATTATGATTGTTACTATTGTCAAAACAATTTGATTGTTAATTTCATATATAATTATATTTTAGTTTTACATTATTATATCGTTTCTTCAATTGTTATTTCTTTTAAATTGTATAAAGGTACTTTTCTATTCTTTATACATTTTCAATTTTGTTATCTCATTGTAAATTTTAATTTACTTAGTAAACTGTTATATTTTTTACATTTTGTACCTGTGGAAAAAAGGGTGTCTCTACCCCCCCCCCTTTAAATAAAATAAATAATTAACATTAATGCATTGACGTTTTTAAAAGTGAGTTCTTACTCACAGTTTGTTGTTTTCAACAATCTGGATTTCAAGCATTAAACACTCATCATCAGGTTGAAGGAGTATCTATCGTTTCTATTAATGTATATCGCTCTCTCGTAAGACCTAAGCTACTATCGCCATTTACCTCATTCTCCTATCAATAGACGGTACAAACTTGACGGGCAAAAGAGGCAAAACAGCTTCTTTAAGAACATGCATTAGAATTATTCAACACTGTCATACAGTTTAGCGTCAAAATATAATGTGAATAGTAGCTGTCAATCAACTTTACATAAAAAATAATTACTATATTATACTCAATACACTACTATAGTACAACCAAACATAATACTACTATTTTATGTAATCAATGGTACTTCTTGGTCTTTTCAGGCCATTTATACTTCAAAAAATCCCAATCCTTTATTGAGGGCTATAGTGGACCACCTCCTTAGGTCTGATTGAATTGCATATAATAATATGATTCGGTCTGTTACTGTAAAAAATAATTTATTTTCCATAAGAAAGAAGAAATGGTTTGCACTACTATCTGAATTATTTAGGTCAGACTTAGAAGCAATAATTCCTACTTGTTAATTTCGTTGCGTAATAATTATAAAATTAATACAACTTGTATTTTGTACATAAAGCGTTATTTAGAAAAAAAATGTTTTTTTTTTTTTTTTTTTAATAAAATAACATTTGTTTTATTATAAATAAAATATGGACAAGTTGTTTCAATAATATGATTGAAAATTAAAAAACATAAAATTGCAATGTGAAAGTGGTGGCTGGAAAATTGTCGAGGCTGACTGCACTCAGGTGAAAGTGGAAGCCCAAAGCAAGGGAGGGACGGCATCTTGCTGATTTTGCAAAAATTGTCCCTATGGATTATAAATTACAAGTGAAAATCTATGCTGTTAAAATTGAGGAGATAAAAAGGCAATAACAATCTGACCAGATTCTGGTAAATTTTTGTAATAAATAGAATTTATTGTTTTTTCATGTTTTTTTTTGTTGTTGCAGAGGTTGCGGAACTGATCGAGGACGAAGTATTGGATCAGGATGAATAAGTTTACTAGAGTTTTTGGAAAATCGACATGGAAAAGTTTATCAACCTTCAATCCATTGTCCTGGTGTAATAAGTTAAACAGCAGTTTTCAAAAATATATCAGTGGGGTTTCAATGAACATCAACGAAAGAAATAATTGTAAGGGGATCAGCGCCTGTCAGTTTGCAAACATTAAACAAACTAGGAGATGCAACAGTACATTTGGCTGTGAAGAAAATCCAGAAAGGGGTGTTGTGAATCTTTTAGGAAAACGAGGGAACTGCTGTCCAGAGAAATGCAACCAGTTGCCACCCCCACGTTGCATGAGACTAAAGGCACCCCCTTGCCCTCCTGTAAAGCCTTGCCCACCTCCGCCACCACCAAAATGCTGCCCTCCACCACCACCATTAATGGAGTGTTGCCCACCCCCTGTTAAATGCCCGCTTCCGCCACCCCCACCCCCAATATGCTGTCCACCTCCTCCTCCTAAGCCATACCTGCCACCACCTCAACCAAAATGTTGCCCAATGCCTGTTCCAGCATGTCCCTCTCCACCTCCAATGAAAAATTGCCCACTACCTTGTCCACCACCTCCTCCACCTCAGAAATGCTGTCCACCTAAACTCCCACCTGTACCTCCTCCATGCCCTAAATGCCCTCCACCACAACCTACATTATGTTACCCTCCTCCTCCCAACCTTAAGTGCCTCCCTGTGCCTTGCCCTCCTCCACCAGCACCACCACCAAAATGTTGCCCTCCACCTCCTAAATGCTGTGTTCCACCACCGCCTCCAAAGTGCTGCCCGCCTCCACCACCATGCTGCAAACCTCCAAAAGACCCACCATGCCAACCACCTCCATGTTGCTCTTCTTAACCAACAAACTTAAATAAAAAAAATGTAAAACTATTTTATTTAATGTATATTTCTTTTAAGTTACAACTGAAAAAATTCCCTGGTTTGGAATGAACTCACAATTGCACAGTGTTTTATGTAGTCCAGGCTCAAACCTTGATCTTATCTGCCCTGCAAACCAAAGCTAGGTTGGTTCAGCCTCCAATGCATGCAGTTTTCTACCTAAACTTGTATTAACACTTTTTTCTCTTAAAATTCAACCTTTTCTATATACAAATGAATACAATAAAAACAAGAAAAGAAAGAAAAACACTCAGTTCCTTCATCAAGGTTTTGAGGAATCTTCTTCATCAGGATCCAATACAATTGTAATGTAGAATGGACGTGTGATAGATCTCGTCTACCCAACTGAGTTAAATTTATAAACCTTAAAAGCTGAAACAATAAAACCAATTGAGGGTTGATGCCCAATGAGGTACTCAATATTTTGCATCAGACCTCTAAATTTTATATTACTAAATTAATACACAATTTCTAATATAAATACACTCAATCTTAAAATCTTTAAAAAAAGTATAAAACCCCCTTTTCTACAAAAAATAAACACTACTGCAGACAATCACATTTCCAAACCAGCTGTAGTTTCTACTCACTGGTCATATTGAGTCAAAGAATGATACATATTGAGCAAAACTTTTTCTACAATTTGGACACATGCGGGCTCGTTTTGAAATTTCTCCAATTTATTCTTGCATCAACCAGAATTGTTTTATTTACAATCTATAGATGTGCGTGTTATTAATACATTGAGGGAATAATAAGTGTATCTTAAGGAAAATTTTTATTTCTATAAGAAGATTTATTCAGGTTGCACAACACCTAATAAAAGTGGGTTTATTGATTGTGTACTACATTAAGAAAAATACATGTTTTGAATATTCTTAAATGACTAAAATCCGTCCATTACAAATGTTCAATAAAAGTTATAAATGCTTTAAGCAAATATATATATATATATATATATATATAAACTTTTATTACATGACATGCTTTATTAGATAAATAAAGATTTGGCACAAGGTTACAAAATATTTTATGACCTTAGCTGAGTATTTTAACACTATTAAAACAAAATAGTAATTTTTAAACAAACAATTTTTAAAAAACTTGATTTTTAAAACTACTAACTCCTACCAAGCTACAATTTCATAAAGTTATTAAAATGAAACAAAATATCACAATGTGAAAATTGAAGGTGCCATCCAGATTGTTTAAAAAATAATAAACATTTGTTTTTATTAATAGTAAAATGTAAAAATAAAAAATACTTTAATAATATGATGTTCAAACAGTGACACTAATTTCACACAAACACAACATGATAATATAAAATTTGTTGCATGGAGCATTTGTAAGAAAGTGATGAAGAAGACGTGGTAGGCATATTCTCTGGGGAAAGGGCTATCTGGAAACATGGTAATGTGTAACTTTTTTTTCTAAATACCAAATTGTAATATGCTTTATGAAAATTTCATTGGCGTTTCAAAAGTTGATTAATTTGTAATGAAGTTGTTCAATGTGTCATAAAATTAATAATAGTGTTAATAAAACGTTCAACGATCTTTTTTTGAATTTATAAGCATCATTTAAGCAGTATCAGATGTTCAGAATGAGACATTTTTTAAAATTTTTATTTCAGTTATTATGCTTTCGATTTATATTAAGGCTTAACTTTAAGGATTAAAAAAAAAAAACTTTAAGTACGTAATAGTGAGTTTTGTTAAATTAGAAATTAGTACAATGAAAATAGACAGTATTTGGGTCTTTACGCATGAATTTGTCTTTCATGTTCATCATTTATTAATGACTGCGGTAATAAATTATGCAAGTGTTATAGAAATAAATTAGTATTCATTATTATTAAGCAAATAGAAAACAAAAACTCATTGAATTGTTAGCAGTCAAATTTAGGCTGAATATATATGCACACAGATACAGTTACCAAATAAAACAAATGGTGCACTTGTGGATTATTTTAAATAGTATATTCCAGTGTATTAATAACAATTACAGTTGGAAAGCTAATTTTGAGTTCGCATGTCATATGGTGGAGTTTGGGAAACAGGTTACCGTTATTTAACAATTGGATTTTTAATTTTGAGTTTCCACTGTATATTTTGAGTTTTGTCATTTTAGGAGTGGCAACTGGGGATGAAGGAAGTTGATATTAAGAAAATCATCCAATATGAGCCCGGTAGTTTTTTTAAATAAAAAATCAATTTCATTCACTGTGTTATTTCCTAATAGCTCAGATTACTACTATAATAAAAGTCAATAATTTTTTTACAGAACAGTATATGGAGTCTTTGTTTGGTCTCAAAAGAACTTCCTTTAAATTCAACATTTGCTATCATATGATAAAAGAGGAATAACAACAGCAAATATGGATAGCCGATTGTTTTTTGGCCTTTTAGGGAAGCGTAAGCTAAGTAAACTTGCACATTTGGGGGAATCGGCATGCAGGAATTTATTTTCATCCCGCCAAACATTTTTGGAAAGGAAGATATTAAGCTGCATAAAAAAGCAAAATTCCATCAATCTGAGTACAAATAGCAGTAGTTACAGAAAATTTTTAAAGGGTGGTAGTATTCTACAAATAAATGCTACAGAAGAATTGGGAAGAAAGTACAGCGGCACGTATGACTTGATAAGAAATCTTATGAAAACAGAAGATGCAAGTGGAAAGTGTAGTGTTGTGCACCCTTTGGCAAAACAAATAGAATGCTGCCAAGAATCAAGTTGCTCTTTGAAGTGTTGTGTTATGCGACCATGCTGCCCATCAATATCAAGAGCAAAGTCTACCTGCTGTTTTACCATAAAGCCTAAATGTTGTTCACCCCCACCATGTTGCCCACCAAAATGCCCTCCACCTTGTTGCCCACCACCAGAGAATTGCTGCCCACCACCAGAGAATTGCTGCCCACCACCATGTCCTCCAAAATGCTGCCCACCACCGTGCCCACCAAAATGTTGCACACCACCACCATGTTGCCCTCCAAAATGCTGCCCACCACCGTGCCCACCAAAATGTTGCACACCACCACCATGTTGCCCACCACCTTGCCCTCCAAAATGTTGCCCACCACCACCATGCCCTCCAAAGTGCTGCCCACCACCACCATGTTGCCCACCTCCATGCCCTCCCAAATGCTGTCCACCACCGTGCCCTCCAAAATGTTGCCCACCACCATCATGTTGCCCACCTTCATGCCCTCCTCCCCCATGTCCTCCAAAATGTTGCCCCCCTCCTCCATGTTGCCCTCCAAAATGCCCTTCATCATGTTGCACACCTCCACCATGCCCTCCAAAATGTTGCCCACCACCACCACCACCACCTTGCCCTCCCCCTCCATGTTGCCCACCAAAATGCCCTCCCCCTCCATGTTGCCCACCAAAATGCCCTCCCCCTCCATGTTGCCCACCAAAATGCCCTCCCCCTCCATGTTGCCCACCAAAATGCCCTCCCCCTCCATGTTGCCCACCAAAATGCCCTCCCCCTCCATGTTGCCCACCAAAATGCCCTCCCCCTCCATGTTGCCCACCAAAATGCCCTCCCCCTCCATGTTGCCCACCAAAATGCCCTCCTCCTCCATGTTGCCCACCAAAATGCCCTCCCCCTCCATGTTGCCCACCAAAATGCCCTCCTCCTCCATGTTGCCCACCACCACCATGTTGCCCGCCAAAATGCCCTCCACCAAAATGTTGCCATGTACCAAAAACCACAGAATGTTGTCCACTTCCGAAAGGTCGTCCACCATGTAAACCACCTCCAAGATTTTGTTCACAATGCTACTCTCTTACAACAAGATGCCCTTCATGCTGTCAAGTTTCAAGATGCCATTCAACAAGTACCATACTAAGTAGCACACTGGCATCCTCTTCTAGTAAAATCGAGCCCAAACTTGACATAGTTTGATTAAACAACGGAAATTAAACATTCTCTCTAGAAATTCTATAAAAAATGGTGATAATAAAAATACTACTACATAATTTTCACACGAGATCGGAGTTACAACTAAAATGGAATAATATGAAGAAATATGTAAAAAAAGATATTATAATGAGGAAGTAAAATTTAAATAAAAAAGATACAAAATTTTCAAGAAAAGAAGACTTTTAAAAAACACCCTTATCACAGTGTGTTTGAAAACTGACACCAAATAAACACATAAGTGGAAATTATTTTATTTTGAATATCATTAGCTTGTTTTAGTATAAATTAAGTAATCAATATTTATTCATAGAAAAAGTTCACACTTCTCCATGTAACCATAAATAGTATTATCAATATGATGATGAAAGTATATTTACTTAAAATAATAGTTGTACTAGGCTTAATGGTAACTGTTTCCAATGCAACTGTATATTGCAAAAAGTCACACATTGAAACAACTTACAGGATGGCATCTAAGATCAACACAACTATCAGAAATCCTGAATTAAATATTTTACTTGTTAGTTAGTTAAAAATTAATTAAACCTTATATTATTTTTTCAGAAATCTTTTGGGGACATAACTATTCTTTCGAAACAACTTCTTAAAGGTTCCCGACATGTGGTAAATAACAGTAGAGGGCTGGGCCATTCAATTGTGGAAAGAGGATTAATTCATAATCATTGGTCAGTGAGAAGTCTTTTGAAAAAATGGAACAAGCTGACTCATTCAATTAAACCAGTACATAAGATGATGGGTGTACGTAACATCTTTAATAGATCAGCGGCTAAAAAGTCATTGCAAGAACCAAAAAGATGTAACTCATCTTTGACAACAAGCGATGCAAGAATTATGAGAAGTGGAGTATTTAATGGTTCGATAATACGTGGAAATAATGGAAAAAGGTACAATGGTACATTCGACTTTCTGAGGGCTTTGTTTGGAGACAAAAAATGTTGCACAGAACCACCAAAATGCTGTGAACCTCCAAAATGTTGTACACCACCACCACCACCACCACCTTGTTGCAAGCCTCCGCCTTGCTGCAAGCCCCCACCGCCTTGTTGCAAACCACCACCTTGCTGTAAACCCCCACCACCTTGCTGCAAACCACCTCCACCATGCTGTAAGCCTCCACCCCCTTGCTGCAAGCCTCCACCTTGTTGCCCACCCCCTCCATGTTGCCCACCTCCGCCTTGTTGCCCACCGCCATGCCCTCCGAAATGCCCTCCACCTTGTTGTCCTCCACCGCCGCCTTGCTGCCCTCCTCCACCATGCTGCAAAACTTAAGCAATTCTCGAACAAGCTAAAGAAACATCACGCAAACAACTTGACAATGAATGGCTGATGAGATATGATTATTAGATGAACGAACTTTCTAAAGTAAGTGAAGAATGAAGAATTGCAACAATGAAGGGAAACGATGACGTGCAACAATTGGAAGACTCTCATGGATGCTCTTTGTTAGGAACAAACTACAAGCATTTCATTAAAACCCAAAAAGAATAATATGGGTAGGAACACATCCTGCCCACACACAAATAATAAACACTTTTGAGAAAATCAATTGTCTTGTTTTTAGTTAGTAATTTATAAAATCTCCTTGTTATATTAATAATATTTATAAACATAAACAATAAATTTAAATAAGTTATAATGTAAAACAATCATTTTAATTTTTCCGATGCCTTTAGGGCTTAAAAAATATATATAGATGACAAGCTATATAAGAAACTTGTTCTTGTGAAATTCCAACATAGCAGTAACATATATATTTTAATTATATAGGTTCAGGATGTGCTTTTTGACCCTATGAAAAATAAAAAGTGGGAAATTAAGAAACAAAGTGCAAAACAGTTGTGCTGCATTGTAAACAGTTGCTATTAAAAATTAGGACACATTATAAAAATGCTGTACTGTCAGACATAGGCATGATTTATCTCTGTTGCCTGTGGGGTGATGAACCTAAAGTTTAGTTAATGATCATTTTGGTTGGTGGCTTGCTGGGTTGGTTGACAGTCGACCTGTCTGACAGACTGACTGGGTGAGTACAGATTGACCAAAATGATCGTTAATGAACAAATTTCTGGCTCAACACCCCACAGCCAACACAGAGATCTCAATTTAAGACACCAGGATCAGGTGTTCAATTTATTTATTGCAAAATAAATTTAAGACAGAACAAAGCAAATATTATGAGAACACAAATCTGAAATGGTTGAGAAAATTTAAAAATTTCAATTGCCTAGATAAATTTAACATTGATGATGGGTAAATATAAAATTTATATATACAGAAAATAATAGAAAATGGCACGATAAAGAAAATGTTTTTCTGAAACCTACATCACACCAGACCGCATCTCACGATTTCTGAATAATTATCAATTAACGGTCACTAATCACCTTGCATAAAATTTAATGTCGCTGACAGTCCTTTGAAATTCAACAATAAATATGAACATATTTCCCAAAATTTTAAATTCCTATCAATCGAAAGAGTAAATTGTTTATAAAGCTTCACTGTCTCCTTTTAATTTTAATAAACATCATTATTGGACCCGAATAATTAACTCCTCATTGTTCATAATCAATAAATTAGTGTCAGTGTTATACAATTAATATTCTCTATACATATATTTTACTATTTTATAATATTTAAAGAAAATGTTCATTCAGAAAAGTATAAATTACAAATTTACAAAAATAATAAAGCTTCAAAATCTATTCACTAATTTTTAACAAGACATACATTGATCACAAATCATCTCACTTTTTTTTCGCCGACTAAATATGGGATTTTTAGGCCTGTTTTGCTTTTAATTCTAGATTTTCTAAAATATAAAGCCTTAATAAAATTATAAAATATTATGTCTTATGTGGTCCAAATAGAATGAGTATAAGCTTTCTTTTAGTTAATAACTTTAAATGTAACTTTTAATACTACCTATAACTTTTTTTAAATCAATGAACTAACACCAGGGTTGCTCTATTATTTACTTATTTTAATTTTTGTAATTACCTTTTTTTCGTTAAAACTTAATTGCACAGTTTATTTTTGGCCGTTTAAATTAAAATTGACATTTTTGAAAATGTCTGTTTATAACAGACAAAACCAATATAAATTGGTCATTTGTAATTAAACTATAAACTCTGTTATCTATTTACTAGATAATACTTTCAATTCATTTTCAGGGAAACGAAACATAATTTTTGTTGTCAAGTCTATTTGCTAAATATTTAACTATATTCTTAATTTAGTCGTTACTGATAATTTTGACCTACCTATCCTCTCTGGGTTAGTCAATCAGATATGTTTTGCAGTAGACACACTTTAGATGGCATAATGCTGAAATGTCTGACAGGGAGGATAGGAAGGCTAAAATGATTAGTAATGATCAAATCACGCTTCAGATTATAGACTTCAACAGATTTCAAAATAAATTCACTTAAGTTAATTTTTGGCAAAAGCCACCATTCAAAATAACTTTTTTAACATAAAGGACATAAACATAAAGGAAGGGTTGAATAAATAGAAATATTTAAACGAATTTACTTATTTAATTTTATTAGCTTCTGAATAAAAATTCATCATTGGAATGTCTTAAAAGCATCTGTATGACCAATTTATATTGATCCGGTTATAATAGACATGACCATTGAGAAATATATAGTGATATAAAATTTTATCAATCTTTTTAAATTGCCTAAAATACCAAAGAAAAGTTTAGTTTTGATTTTTATAAATTTTAATAAATCACAGTGTTACTTGAACATTTTTGACGAAGTTGCTCCATTCGACCTTAGACGGTACGAGGTAAAACGCCGGTGACACCTTAGAACCGCAAGGACATTGACAACCTGGAAATAAATTGTTTAATTAAATCATAAAAATAAAATTAATAATAATAGATAAATTAAGTCAGAGCTTTATAGCACTCAGAAGAGATATAGCTAACCTAAGATAGAAGGTTTGGATGTTAGGGCGTGAAATGACCTTAGCCGTTAAAACGCCCTTAAAAATTAATAATAATAATAATAATAATAATAATAGATAAATTAATAATAAATAATAATATAAAAAAAAATTCATTATAAGTTAGTACCCATGGTCCAGCTGAAAGAACCGAGCTTTGAATTGCACTTGGGGCAATTGAGCTTCCCCTGCTCGCTGTGCATCGCACTTTTCATCCATGCAATTGGCTCAATGAAGTATATTAGTGTGCAGAATTCCTGACTATCAGAAGGCTCGAGCTTTTTCCACGACATCCGTCTGCCACGCACGTGCGGTAGGAGGTTGCTCACACAGGCGACCACCCGCCTACATTTGATGCACCGGTACACCAAAGGATCTGGCTTGACTGTTATTAACGCCGGATCATCCTTCACAACATCCATGTGTTCAATTGGTAAAATCTTAACTGAAAAATTGTCGTAAAAATTCAATTTTTAAACGTTCAAATTGTAAATTAAGTATTATTAATTATAAAACACCTTGCATCACTTTAGCAGCTGCTACGTTCAACTTAAATAACCTGTAGTGCAAAAAAGTTTTATCGATTGTAAAGCCCATCTTTTCATAAAGTCTCAACTGACTCTCAAAACCTGCGTTTGGGCTCACAAACTTTCTTTTTGACTTTGCCCTACAAAAATAATTAAAAACAATTTTATAAAATATTCTGGGATAAATATATTGGCGCTAATTATTATTATTATTTCTTTGATTTAACACTTACCTCTCAAATGCTTCATCATAAGAAATCTTAAACTTCTTCATTAAATATGCAATAACAATTGTTGAACTTCTCGAAACCCCGAAATAACTATAAAATAAATAAACACTCTAATATAAGGAATTAATAGATCATATTACACATATGATAATACATTTTACTTTACCAATGAACAAGTACTACCCCATTTTCCCTTGCTTCTTCTATAAATTCAAACGCACTTTCAAAATGGCTCAATAAATCTTCTTTGTTCATATCAGTAACTAATAAAAATAAACCTTTAGTATGGATAAATAAAAAAAAACACGAATATAGTAAATTACCTTGGATGAACATAGTTTTTATACCAGGCAGCAAAGAAATATTTCTTGGCAGCGGGCAAGAATCAACGGTTAGGATATAATTGCAGTGGATTTTGGCCAGTTCTTCAAGATCTGTTGCAGCTGTGAGGTTACCTGAAAACGTTATAATAGATTATTAAAGTTCAGTGCATTTTTTTCTGATGGATGACCTGTTAGGAAACTCATCATATTGTAAATAAAATATGATGTTTTATTTGATTTTTATTTTTTTTAATGGGGTTTACAACAGTAAAGGTCATATCAACCTCCAGGGTGTTTTAGAAAAATCCCATTTGTAGGTATGTTGGGTTTGAATGCAGGGCCACTGGATTCAAACTTGGAACCTTTAATGATAAACACATTGTAAGGACAGTGATGAGCATATCAATGCTTTCACTGTGGCCACTGATGCTCCTATTACATATTACTATTTTTCAGCTGGCTAGCCTAGCTACCAGGCCTATTGCCAGCACCTTGTTTGTTTTTTTTAATGAAAAGAATTGACTCTCCTGTAGTAGGCCAGGTGATCTTTCTGATGGAACTTCTGGGACTTGATTTCTACTCGCATTTACCCCTCCACAAAAGGCTCTACAACTGATGTATGCCTAGGCATTCAAACCTATAGTTTGGCGGGTTTCAGGGTACTTGATATTCTGTTGAAGGCCTGCCCTCATTCATGCTAATAAATACAGTAATATTAATTATAACTTTTCATACCATATGCACAGCTGAAAATTGAGCAATCACTGGGTTATTAATATTACGCCTGTACCTCTCCCCTTTCACTCTAAAAACACCCAACCTATACCTAGTTTAGTGGGTCTGTGGGGTACTCGATATTCTGCCAAAATCCATCCACCATACTCAACACTCACGCTTATAAATACATTCATTCAGGACACAAAACACTCACAGAAAAATCCTAACATAGTCTGGTGGGTCTAGGGGGTACTCTATAGACCACCACCACCACGACCCACCCACACATACTCAACACTCACACTAATAAATGCATTCATTTCTGGCAGGAAAACCATGTGTGGAAAATCATCAAATGGCATATGTATTCAGGAATTCGATCAACTTTTGCTGCCGACACTGATGTGTTTTAATGCCTCTTTCCAATTTTAGTATATGTACCGCCGAAGCGAGTTGACACAGCGCTCATCACTGTAAGGTAGAGGTCCCGGGTTCGAATCCAGCGGCCCTGCATTCGAACCCGACATACTTACAAATGGGCTTTTTTTCAAAAACACCGGCACCCTGAGGGTTTATATGACCTCTGCTGTTGCGAACCCTCGTAAAAAAAAAACAAAAAAACAAAAAACAATGCCTCTTTGAGAATCGAAGAAAGGTCACACATTGTTTCTGTGTGGCGCCAATTGCTCGCAATCAATCAGAATATGTTTACTTGTGCACTGCTCAGTGGCTTTTTGTTTGTTGCTCATACATCAGTCTGGTGTGGCCTATTTGCAGTCATCAACACTATTCTGTTTTTATCCATCCTCTCAATTGCTTACGGTTTGATCGACAGTTTCACTTCTTTTAATTATATGTTGGTTGAATGCCGTGGGATAGCAGAAATTTAAATGAATTGATAATGTCACTTCTAGTTCTTTTAGTAAGTTTGGCCGTATTATATGATCTTGGTGGGGAGTCCTTGCTCACTGACAAAACTACAGGTTTATCACCTTGGGCGCCTAACCATCTCATGAAATGTCATTTATTATAAATAAAATGGCCAAACAGAATTGGCAAAAAGAATACGTCGAATCCAAACGAATTAAAGGGAAATACTATGCAATAATACAACCTGCCATTCCCTACAAGCCATGGTTCCACAGACTTACTAGACCAAGGAAATTTTTCACTACCATTATCAGACTTAGACTTAACCACAACCATCTTCCGCACCATCTAGCAAAAATATCCCTCATAGAAAACGCAAATTGCGACTGTGATGGAGAAACATATGCCGACCCAGAACATGTCATATTAACATGCCCCAGCAGAAACAAAGGTAGAGAGGAATTATATGAGAATTTAAGAAAGCACGGAGTAGCGTTCCCAACAAATATAGCAACTATATTGAGTGACACTAAAAACATTCCAGTATTTGTCAGTTTAATGACCTTTTAAAAAAGGATGACATCAAAATATAAAAGACAACAACATGTAGTGAAAGAAACATAGTAAATTCTATAGACTGCGGCGATGCCGAAGGAAAACGCATGGCCAATGCATTGATGCAAAGCCCAGGAAAAAAAATTCATTTATTTGCACCATCCCATGCACCGTACCACAATGTGAAGTTTTTATTTAGGGTAGTTTCTTCATCTTCCCTACAGCTTACAAGCTGAAATATTAGTTTCTATACTGTTCGTACCTTGTGTTAGCCCATAAACATACTGCTGAAGGTGACAAAATGCTATGTCTGACACACGCGATATGATCAAAGATGGACAAACTTTAACCACTAATATACCAAATAATTTAAACCTTTATTTAAAATTCAATCAACCTAGCAAGCATTGTGTCTATTGATTTCATAATATAACTTGTTCAGGCAAGTTTTTCTGCTCTTTTGTCACTAATGAACCAACAAATTTGTTATTCTTGGTCAAGGATTTGATGTGCCTGCTTCCATTAGTTAGTATTTATCTAATGATCATTTTTGATCCTTGATATGTCAGACATGTTTTTCACCATCCATGATTTATTTTATACACTGTCATAGCAGATTTGACAGATACTTGACGTTTTGTAATAATTCAAGTAATTCTATACCTTGGGGTTGTGGCAGTATATACTACATTGGTTATGGACCGGTTTGATAAATGTGACCAAATTTTTCCAAAATTTGATGGTAATTGGAGTGTTTCATCCTTTAGGAAACTCTGACATTGGTTACATAACGACAATTGCTAAAAATCATATTTCCAGCAAGTTAAAAAGCTAGTATTCAAGATGTTAACAATACCTTCTCATAAAAAATCCGTTTCTATTGTCTTCCTACAAAAATTGGTGTAATTTGTTTAAAAGAGGATTTGATTATGCTTACTACAAACTCCAGATTTACTAATCACCTTTAAAACACTTTAACAAGATTAGCCAGCATATCTACTTTTTATAATAATGGCCTTTGATCTCATTGGGTCTCATTTCTTCTTGAACATTTTGCATTGAAGAAGACCGAAACAGCGGCACATCACCCTCAGGCAACACCCCATGCGTTCAACATTGTCATTTATTCGTTTTAAAGCCATACCAAATATTTCTCAACCTTGGTGTTACTGCAGTATTATCACTGGTACCTTTGTTTCATTTTTTAAGTAATAGCTAGAAAATCATACTTTAAACTTAAGTGACAGTTGGAGGTGACAGCTGAACTAGGGACAAGGGTGCAAATGGCTTCTGCAGATCATTGTACCTAGTTAAACAATATAACTGTTTCTATATAGCTAGAGCTATATACGTACCGATCCAGAGCCCTGGCTCTATTTCGTCTAGGTTGGTCGGCCCAGCGTCGAAGTCCTCCCTTTCCAGTCTCCCTTGGTCGACCTTCTTCCAGCTTTTCCTGTTCCAATCCATTCTGGTGTCTACTGCAGCCCGGACGGAGTGCTATGCCGAACCAGTGGATGTGCTTTCGCCGATTTCCAACTTTCAGCAAACCGTCCGAGATTCATATTGATTTCTTTTGGCTCAACAAGTAACCTCGCGGAGCGTCAAAACAATCCTTGACCCAATTCTGCTTAAAGGGACCTATAGACCTTCCAAACTGGGCGTCGTCATCGTTCAAAGTATAGGTGAATTACACCATTTGGTGATCTCAAATGTGAACAACTAATTATGGCTTGCTAAAAGCTAAGTACGCTGAAAGTTTATCTATCATTAATAAACCTACAATACTACAGTCTACTTTAAAAACCACAGTTGGTCACAACCTGATGATCATCCAAGATCAGTATCCTTTTATTTTACATTTATTATCATTTTAATTTTTCATTTTAAACTAGTATTTGTTATAAAAAAACAGAAGAATACCAAACTTAATTGAAATATAATAGTGATATCTTCCTTGCAGCATGCTTTACTGTTGCACCTGTCAGTAACCAAGAACTTTCTATGTCTTGCTCTTTCTTTACCACTTTATTTATCATTGGACACATATTTATTGCTTATTACAAGCTGAAAAGCTGAACTATTGCTTACCATTTATAACTTATAATACATTTTCCTTAAGAGACCTTAGGTGTCAACCTCAAGACCATGCATGGTCATTTTTTTAAACTTTAATTAATCTTTTCATGGTTGGCATCATTCATCTGTTTTCAGTTCTCTAGAATGGATCAAATTTCCATGTTTGGATACTAAAAATGTTTTTAAACCTATTCTTCAGAACATAAGTTAAACTATCGATTAAATTTAGCGGCCTGATTGTCCAAATTACTTTTTGCAATTAATTAATCTTTTTATGTAAGGTTTTGGTTGAAATGAAAAGATTAATTTATTAAAAGAAATATATAATAATATTTTCCAATGCACATATTTACCAATATATGCAATCTTTTAGCTTATGAGAGGTAAAGACTATACAAGAACGTAAAGAAAGATCTGTTTAAAACAAATACAATAATTGAAAACAGTATTCAATTAAATTAAATTCCTTGTGTTTGTTGTTTATAAATCTCATGAGAGAAGAAGAAAAAAAAAAACTGTTGTAAGCTTTAAGGTCTCACTATATTCTGAAACATTCTTTAAGTTTTTACCTTTACTGAAGAAATAAGGATTGATGCAGAATGGAAAAAAAATGAATTAGAGGACTGCAAGGGTTCAAAAGATTTTATGGAGGCAGAACGATGTTTAACTTGAAAATTTTTATTGCTTTTATCAAGAAAAAAAAAACAATATTTACAAAATATATGCTATTTACAATTTCTAAGGGTACAAAGTAGCTATGCGTTTGTTTTATTTTAGTACATGGCACTAAATCACATATTGGTATGCTGTCAGCAGTACATTTATTTATTTGTTTGTTACAAATTTAAATTTCTTTGGAGAGTATACTTAAGTATTGTACTGCTGACAGCTTTAAGGCCACCATTTTTTAAGTCAAAAATTTATTGTTTAAAAAAATAAATTCTAAATTATTTTTTAATAAAATAAAAACTATTCTAAAATATTAAAGCATTGCACATAGTGATTTTTTGTACAAATTAAAAACTACCATTATATGTACAGTAAAAAACAATTTTAGGAAGGGGGGGTTTTAGTTTAAAAAGGTAAAAAAAGTTAACAAACACTCTCAACGAATTTCAAATATGTGTTGTATGAAAATTATACTCGTGTGCTCTAAAGCGTAGATTCGCTATACTTGAGCTGATGCTGCAAGGTGGCGGTGGTGGCGGATAAGCTCCAAGACCTGATGAAACATTGTTATTTTTCATTTTCTTGTAATTATAGAAATTTTAAAGTAAGTGTTTACCAGTGGAGATAAAAGAGCAAGGTGGAGGCGTAGCATGGTGCTGGATCATGTACTGTGGTACGTTTGGTTGTTTCCATTCTCCCAAACCAACACTTGTAGCGCCAACAACTAAAGAAAAAACAAAACGATGAATTCAATCTAAAATTAAATTATGAATGCATATAAATTAATATTTTCTTATTTTTAGCTACTAAGAACGAAGTTACCTGGTGCAGGTCTTGGTGCAAGTGGCTGTTCAGGTGGCACCATTTCCAACCCTCTCTGCGACATCAGGCTACGCTCGTTTCTTCTAAACTTTGCTCTACGGTTTTGAAACCAGACCTGGTAAAGTGAAATTTTAAAAGCCAGTTTATGACAATTCTTTCTTGGGGCGTACCTGGACTCGGGCTTCTGTAAGGCCTACTCTCCTGGCGAGTTCTTCTCTGACGAAAGCGTCTGGATAGTGTGTCCGTTCAAAAACCCTTTCTAGGGCTTCTAACTGTCCGCTTGAAAATGTCGTCCTATTCCTTCTCGGCTTGCCCTTTTTTTTCTCTTCATTGTCACAATCGTCCTCTACAAAAATAAACAACAAATAATGATAAATTGTATTAACAACTGCACAAAAAAGTAAAAAATAAAAATTAAAATTAAAATAAATTACAGAGAAAATACGAGAACAAAGCAGCATCTGTTAAGGCTCGAGGGTACAGAGATTGCTTACAACTGATTTTTCCCAGATTTAATGATCGATCAAGGCCCAACTTTAAAATAAAATTTTACCTACATCAAAACAAGATTTAAAAAAAAAAATCAACTTATATCACATTTTGTCAATCATTATGTCGGTTAGACATTAAGAAAATCAGTTTTGGTTGTCATCACAAAGCCTGGTTTAGATCCTCGGTGGCTTCTTTTAAACTGATTGTAACGAAGTTTCGATAATGAATTAGTACAAATCTGATAACAATAATACTGTCATTTTAAAAGTTTTATCAAATGTAAATTGGATGTCAGAAAGTTATTGCCAGCCATAATTCATTTCGCGGGGGAATTCCTCAAAACTCAATTTTACCAAACTTTGTCGATAAACAAAGATTTATTGTTTAAATTATCCTACAATATTCAGCAAATTTATACGGGGTTTTTTAGGTTTGAGATTTAACAAAACAATAAAGTTTGGTTCTCTGGTTATTCGATCACGTGCTGAGATCTTCCAGCAATCCAGTGAAAATTCACCAAATTCTGACAAAATGTATAGAGAATGTTAAGAAGAGGAAATGTTTGACAGACTAAGTTAAAACTATTATTGGTGGTCAAGTTTCGTCGAATTCTGACAATAAGTTAGCGAGATATTCAGGAAATGAGTTTAGAAGGATTTTCTCGCCAAGCTTCACTGGTTTCTTCCCCAAGGCGGTTGGTTTCTTAACCCGTTTTAACAGAAGTTGTGCTATTATATCAAAGTCTTCAAAATTTCAGTGAAATTTCATCAAATTATGTAAACCTAGCGTATCAAAGAAACCGTTTGGGCGGGTCCATTTTGTCTTCATGAGCAATAGGCATTCAAGTCCTACGGTGTGGATTTGTTACAACCGATAGCAAAAACACTTTCGTCAGACTGAAAATCAATTGTTTAATAATTATGCAAGGTTTCGTCAAAGTACGTTAGTCGGTTAGGCTGAGATGAATGAAATTTGATTTGGAGAGATCCATACGGTTTTAAACCAATGGTTTGAGTATTTTTGCTACAATTTTGATGAAAGATTAAATCAGGGCGAATTATCAGATTTGATTTTTCTTTTGGAAAAATGTTTGGTTTTTTGGATAGCCGTAATTTAAAAAATAAGACAAAAAGGTTTTTCTATTTGGCAGTTCAAGATTCAAGACAGCTAAGGATCATCTTAAAGAGCATCTTTGTGCCATTAGACAGTACGATCAAAATACCTTGGGATGATAAGTCGTTGCTGTCTGTGGTCGTAAAACACAAAGATACAATTCTTTAAAGATGCTTCCTCAGCGGAAATGCTTTCTTGGCTAAATCCGTTAGTAAACCCTTACATTTGTCCGACACGTGCGCCGACACCATCAATTTGCTTGTTTTTTTGTTTAACCCTTTCCTACCTCGCGGACAATCCTAGCATGACAAGTGGCCAATTCATAAGATTTACAACGCCGTCCATTTTCCTTTGATATTACAAGAAGAGTTTCAAGTCTATTTCTGAGTTTCAAAGGCTTAAGAATTTTGGGGTAACCACCTCCTTCAGGCTGTCTGAACTGTTTGCAGTTTTTCAAAACTTGCATAATTATCTATTTATTAATCTAAAAATGTTTAAAACAGTTAATAAATACTAGCAACTTAGTAGAAAAAGGGTCTGAAGTTTTATCTACAGATATCAACAGGTGTACCCTTGTGAATTAGAATAAAAATATTCTATATAACACATTCTGAATTTTGAAGGTTCAACTGCTGAATAAAACCTTTTCTTACAATTAATGTTTAATCTCTTGCCAAATTATTAATGTGATTCTGATTCAATTGTCATTGGGAAAATTTGATTGCTTCAGTTCTGTTCCAACGAGACCAAATCGTTCAACAATTTTGTTAAAATGGTAAATGAACGTTTTGTTAAAATCACTTGAAAGGAATCCACCTGGGAGGCGATGGAATATTATTTCCGGGAGAATTCTGACAAGTATATTCCAAACAATATTTGTTTAATTAATGCGCTAACTGACCTGCAAGCTTTTATTTCTGGTCCATCTTGTCTCGTTTTACGTATGGGTGGCATATGGACGTTATCATTCTACTGATTTCTGTCTACTTTCTCGAGGGTTCAGATATCACTCAAACGCAACAACCACCAACATAAATTTAGATTATTATCAGCAGCACTTACACACCATATTTGAGAAAGTTCTGTTATTAACTTATGCATCATAATTAGAACGTCTTTTTCTTGAGTTCCTTATTTTGGTCCGTCTGGTCTCGCTACATACATTTAGTCCTAGAAACAGCTGCCTGTTAATATCATGTTTGAAAAAAATTCTGATATGGGCAATAAGAACTTTTGGAGTGTCTTTTTTTTTAAATTTTATTTAATTTGCTTGTCACAGTGTTTATAATATTTCTAGACGAATTTGTCTTGATTTATGTATTGATAAAATTACCACAGACTGGTTAAAACAGACACAAAAGGTGAGAATGTTCTGACCTATAAAAAATGCATTTTCCTATTTTATTATTTAGGTCGTTTTGTCTCGCTATATATTCATATATTTAGTTGTANGACAATAAGGACTTTTAGGTTGTGTTTTTATTTTGTTTAGTTTACTTGTTTATCAGCAGATTTTATAATAGTTCTGGTCCGTTTTGTCTCGCTTTGATTGATAAGATTAATACGGAAAAGCAGATTTTTTTTTGATAGTTCTAAACATTTTCGGGTCCATTTTTTCAACTGATTTTCATCAGGGCTTTATTTTGGACCGTCTTGTCTCGCTTTATACGTTCATATATTGGGTTCTAGAATCAGACCACGACACATCATGCTTGACAAAGTTTTGGGGGTCGTCGGTGGCCGCAACGGCTTAGGCGTTGACACGGCGCTCATCACTGTAAGGTGAAGGTCCCGGGTTCGAATCCAGTGGCCCTGCATTCCAACCCGACATACTTACAAATGGGCTTTCTTTCAAAAACACTGGCACCCTGAGGGTTTATATGACCTCTTCTGTTGCGAACCCTTGTAAAGAAAAGGTTCTGACATGGGCAATAAAAACTATTGGAGCTTTTTAAAAATTTTTATTTAGTTTGTTTCTTTATCAGCATATTCGTAATATTTTTGTATGTTTTGTCTCTGTATATTGACGAAAGTCCTATAGATTGTAGTAAAACAGACAGAGAAGTTGAAAATGTTCTGACCTATAAAAAAATCTCCGAATCTCATGGGATCGTTTTTATTATTTGCTAAAAGGTTTTAGCTTAATATAAACATTTATAAAATGCACTTTTTTCCCGAAAAACATACCACCTTAATTCATCGAGCCTGTTGGTGAGTTACTGCAGGCTCAACTGAATTCAAGGTGCTCAATTTTCTTCTAAATATTATCTGCAAGTTCCCACAGAGATTGGGTACGTGGTGTTAATCACTGTATCGCTCACAAGTTATCATACGCCGTTAAAAAAAAAGCACAACGTTTATTGAGAAATTTCCAAACGATAAAATTCAATTAAACAACACTCTGGTTAATTGACGATAAATTAATCGCCTGTACTACAATTGATTACTTCACGCCTATTAATCAATAAATACGTGGAAATTTAAATTAATTTGTTTTATTTCTCTATAAAAATTCTATATTTAGTGTACTCGTTTATTTTGCTTTTATTATTTGACCTTATTTTCAATAATTAGTTGGGATTGTTTAAAATATATTGAGAGTGTTTTATATATGAGTTTGTTTTACAATTTATCGTGCAGGGAGACCCGGCGGACCCAAAACGACACCTAAGGTTCATTTATTTCAGTTTTATCTCGATTAGTCTCTGACCAAAGTCTTTTTTTTTGTCTACATCAAATCATAATCAAATGTTACGCGAGCATTATGCACATCCTAATGCATCTAAAACCAAAAAGATGCCTATAGATAAAGCGAGACAAGACAGTTCAATAATAAAATGAAAAAATAAACAAATTACGTTGATAAATGAGAAGAAACATGGAACATTTCTATTAAATTCTGGTTGATCTTAAGCCAAAAGATCGAAATATTCCAGATGACTCAAAGCGATGCTTCGTTTTGCTAAAGTTAACCGGCTAAAAAGCAGAACGAGGCGGACCAAAAACAAAATACGCTTATAAAAGAATGAAAAAGCTAAAGAAAAAAAAAATGCACCTGTACAATTCATTCTGTTTAGATCAATTTCAAATGTGTGTTTATTGCTTCTTAGGTTTTGTAAAACAAGTAGATTGTTGGGATATAACGCGAAACAAGGCGGACCGAAAACGAAAGCAAGGTCGATGAATGAAATAATTGAAAAAGCTCAAGGAAAAAAACACTTATGCAGTTTGTCCATTACAAACAAGTATTCAAGTATACAAATATTCAATCGGCATGTTTTCTTTTTGCAATTTTGATTCCGTGCATATAAACCGAGAGAAGACGGACCGAAGAGATTAAAATAAAAATCCGTTTAATCACATTTAATCACACTGAGAACACATGCAAAACGATTCTATCGTCTGTAGCGAGGCAAGACGGACAAAATAAAAGGCATATTATAAGTACGCTCGACAGTCGAAATATTTTACATTTTAATCCTTTTCTTTCTTTAAACTAAGCAGATCTAATCTAATTTTAAACCGAAACGGTTGAACGCATCTGGGACCAAGGCTGCACCAGATAATGCATTACAACCAAGAAAAAGACCTTCTGTTCCGATGAATGCCGGCCGTTGTTTCTGCTTTTTGAGAAAAATAACGAAAAAACGAATAAGGAAAAAAGAATACCAACTAAACGATCTTCTCGTCTCGAGCTACCCCAAGGAAGTATACTTGGAACCCTTCTATTTTCGTGTACGC